GCGAGCTATGATTGCGTGTATCAAAAAGCTGTTATTCAGCCGAAGAAAAGGTCGTGCGCTGACAATGAAAACGGGAAAATAAAGCAAACCATCGGTTACAAGGTCGACGACGAAAGTCGTGAATTACGAGCGGGTGTAACCTTCGCAAATGTAGATGCGACATTTGTATATTGCAAAGCGATAACGATTCCAATTGAGTGAGCGTATGCTCAATGCAGGTAGAGTTTCGAATAGAAGAACAAATGAAGATGCAATTCATATAAAGATACCTATGAGTATCAAAACCTCGGGCCATAACAAAAAACAACCGACCTTGATTTTACCCTTCTATCGCGATAATGAAAAATTATGCGCAGCATCAACTTTAAAAACATACATAGAAAAAACAATTCAAAGGAGAAACAACCAAAAATTAATTTTTTTAACTAATAAGAAACCGTTCAAGTCAGTAAAAGCTGCAAACCTAGGTCATTGGGTTAAATATACTTTATCCAAGAGCGGTTTAGATACTAACATCTTTACTGCCCATTCGACACGACACGCATCAACTTCGGCAGCTAAAAGAAAAGGTGTTGACATTGATACCTTACGAAAAACTGTCGGTTGGACAAAAACGTCAAATACATTCACAAAATTCTACGATCGCGAAGTTATTGTCACAAAAAACGCGTTTGCTAATGCTATTCTTAATGATTAAAAGTCTGTAAACTCATTTTTCTTTCTTGTATCCTATTTTCTCTTCCAAATAAAGTATTGATCACCAAGGACGTTTAATATACAATTCCGTCGCAACTGCTTTAAACAGCTACAAGTATATTTGATCATGAGGAAGAAGCGCTCATACAATTACAGTGCCGCTCATGCACTTTTACCCCCCCACGGGCAAAATCAGTCTAACTTCAAAGTTTTATATCTCTGGTAGAAATTAACGTACAGAGACGCGCGTGGGTGCGTTTGAAAGGTCTTTCGGAGAGCTTTCAAATGATATGACTCACGGTTGCCATCGATTGTTTTTTTAAATTTTGCAACAATTATGCAAAATTGAAAATTCTGGAATTTTTTTATTATTTTTGACAATTAGCCAATTTTGGAAAAAAAATCGTACGAAAATTTGAAGTACACCATTTTTTAGCTATTACCAAGCCCTATCTGAATCACTCATCAAAAATTTATTTTCATCAAATATGACGCGCGCACGGGCATTTTTTCCTGAAAGTGACAGTTTTTTTCAATATTTTTTATCTCCGTCAAATTGTAACAATCGAAAAAAATTTATAGAAGAAAAAATGTTTGTTTTTTCACGTAGAATACTGCAATAATTTTTTTTTTGGTTTTTCGAAAAATTTTTTTTTTCGGTTTTTTTCAATTTTTTTTTCTCACAGTCGGTACGCTAAAAAGATGAGAAACCACAAAAAAAAATTTTTTCCGCCCATTCAATAATACTACATAACAAGTATCGTAAATTACATAAAAAAAAAGATCTTTTTTTTTTCGACCTTGAAAAATAATTTAAACCGAAAAAAAAAATTTTTCGAAAAACCAAAAAAAAAATTATTGCAGTATTCTACGTGAAACAACAAACATTTTTTGTCCTATAAATTTTTTTCGATTGTTACAATTTGACGGAGATAAAAAATGTTGAAAAAAACTGTCACTTCCAGGAAAAAATGCCCGTGCGCGCGTCATATTTGACGAAAATAAATTTTTGATGAGTGATTCAGATAGGGCTTGGTAATAGCTAAAAAATGGCGTACTTCAAATTTTCGTACGATTTTTTTTCCAAAATTGGCTAATTGTCAAAAATAATAAAAAAATTCCAGAATTTTCAATTTTGCATAATTGTTGCAAAATTTAAAAAAACAATCGATGGCAACCGTGAGTCATATCATTTGAAAGCTCTCCGAAAGACCTTTCAAACGCACCCACGTGCGTCTCTGTACGTTAATTTCTACCAGAGATATAAAACTTTGAAGTTAGACTGATTTTGCCCGTGGGGGGGTAAAAGTGCGTGAGCGGCACTGTATAATAGAACTTCACTTACAGGTAAGTTCGTTTAATTATATAATTTTACTGCAGTGATTACTTCTTTGATTTGAAGTTGATTTATCTTCGTTAAAATTTCCTTAAAACTTTCTTGTTTTTTGTAAGCTTTGGACAATAAATAAAAATAGTGATACGATTTGTAATTTATCTAAATTCTAAGCAAATTTTTATTCGATTAAATGAATTTTAGTCGTGGAGTTACAAATAACTGCAGTGTTAAAATTTTTATCACACACGGAAAACTAAATATTCGCATAAACGATGCTTATTCCTTTTCATTTCGTAAAAATATTACGAAATGTTTTTTTCGATGAATGGACGGAGTAAGATTATCGACAATATTTTAGCAGATGTATGTATTACTTTCCAATTTTTTTTTCTAAATTGAGAATGTTGATACAGTATTTGAATTGTTATATTTTTGCGAGTAGAAAGAAAAATTATATTTATAATGCAATAAATTAACTATCAATCATCTATTCACTTATAAATTAACAACAGTAATGAAATCGCTGTTAATGAATGATAAAAATATGAAATGAGCTTATTTTTCTGTGCAGCATTGAATTAGAAAAGATTTACAAGAGGCGGAAAATTGGCGTGCACAAGCATGAAAATTCAGATTCACGTTACAATTTTTCGAGATTAGATCCCTCATTCGTTATTTTTTAGACATTTGTAAGACTGATTTACGAGATCACGAGAATACAAAGAGATAAAAGAGAGCACTTACACTCGCATACACCGATTGTCGCAATCCTAACCTAAACTTGCTTCCCGACCCTGATCGCTAATCAAAATTGACATCTTTTCCATAATTTATGTTCGCCCTTTGTGTTGCTCTGTTTCATTGTTTTATAGAAGCTTTTTGTCTTTTTTCACTCATCGACGGTGCGTATACCTTCGAGGCATACGTGATACTAACAATGTATTTCTGTATTTTTGTCTCCGAGAGCGAGGAACAGCTTTGGACGCGCGATATCGTTTTACGAAGTATAGATACTCGTACGTTGTCAAATGCGTCATTCTACTTGCGATGTGAAAGAGAATTGATCAAATAAATTAGACTTAATTCGATGTGTGTTTGGTTAATTAATAATCCAAATTGATTTATTGTGAAACAACTTAAGAATACTTGTCGACTTTAATTGAAGGCAAATAAGGTTTACAATGTGAGTACATTAGGATGACAATCCTCGTTGTAGATGTACTAAAAAATTGTTGACGTACCCAGGGATTCTTGAGGAGAGTTTTAACGATTTATTTTTTCAGAGAAAACAAAATGCTCGCAAATCTTTCAACAATATTTGCTAAGAAGTTGTACATACAATATATTGTGGCCTCTGACAATGAAAATCAAGCGGATTTTGAAACATGAAGCGTGACGTCTTATCTCGCAACGACTGACTGAATCTTAGGATCAAGGTATTTTCTCGCTGAGTGAGTTATGAACTAATATTTAAAAAAGAAGAAGAAGAAGAAGAAGAAGAATGACACGAGTCAAGAGTGTATACATCAGTCGAACGAAGCTTCAAAGTGATGGATTAGCACATCATAAATTTTTTTCGCGTTTTATTTTAGCCACTCCATTTTTTGGCTGTTATCCAGATTTCATACGTGTGCTTTTGCACGTTGTGCTTTGCACAAACAGTTTTGAATTCCCCATCGGTTGCGATGAGTTTCGCGTAACAGAAAAGAAAAAAGAAGGAAGAGTCTAGCGGAAAGTCCAAATATCAAGCTGACCTGATCGATACTCAAAGACACGTTGCTGAAGCATGTTACATGTCGGTTATCCATTATCATCAACTACTCTCAAGGCTTCTGCGTATTTACAAACATTTCCCTGAAATCTGTTGGCGCGTCAGCTCGAAAACGAAGAAGAGAATTGCTTAGATAATCCGTTCGGTTCTACAAATGAGACGGGCGATCGGTCCAACAGCGATAAGCCTTTTCGTTAGAAAGCGCAGCAAAGTTGACGTGCGTGCGTGCATCGGAAAGCAATTGCGTCTCATGGAAGGGTCGTTAGTCGGAATCGGCACCGTAATAAATTTGCCGACACACGGCCGCCGAACGACAGATTGCACGCGAGACGTCATTGTTTGAGGAGGGCCCGCACGGGCAAGGCGGAACACGACCGATAACGCGTCGCACTCGAGCGCGTCGTTCTCGTTGCTCCGCGTTACGAGCCGCGGCTATTTTCGCGCGCGGCGCGCGATATATTTAGCGCTCCATCGACGGCCAGCTTCGCGCGTGTGTACAGTTTATCGGTCGGATCCGATGTTGTCTTTCGCCCGGCGCTCGAGATGGTCCGTCTGGCTTCCGGAGTGACGTCGAGCGGCGCGAACGACAATCGGATTCGCTCGGCGGCTCGTCCGTCGTGCATCGCGAGAGCGACGAGTGGCGCACTTTTCTCCGCGGGCGCATCGTCGACTCTGGCAAGGCGCCCGCGAGCCGATCCGAACGGACGGCGGCCAGACGGCTTGGGCTCTCCGCGCGCGCCCGCGCGCGGTTGCAACAGCGCGCCGGAAACGCGACTCGCCGAGGTCGTTTCCTAGACCAAAGCGGCGCCCCCTCCCATTGTTCGCCTGCGCGCCGTCAACGTCGTCGGCACTGCTATATTTGCGCGCGCTCGCGAGGTCTAGCTTTCGCTCGCGATGTTGGTCGGTCGTCCACGGCTCGATGCAGCTCGATACCGGCAGCGGTACCTTTTCTTTTCGCCGCTTTATATTTAGATCCGCCGGCTAGGCTTGAACGCACGTTTCGCCTCTCGGTTGCTCGCCGCTGGACACTGGCGCGTGCGATCGATTGCCAATGAGCGGAGCTGCGCCGCATAACGCGCGCATCGTCGCTCGATCCATCGGCGGTGCAAGCTCCGATAGCTTTGACTCGTAGCATCAGGGCACACCGGTGGCCAACCTCTAACTTTTGGCTGCTTCGGGCGAAAACGAAAATCTCACCTTGCCGATGAGAAGAGATCGGTCAAGTGATCGCTTGAGGCTCGGTGTCGTCCATCAGACAGCCTCTCTCTCTCTCTCTCTCTCTCTCTGTCCTTCTTTACCGATGCAGCTTACGCTTGAACCTGAAACGTTTGCGTTCGATTTCGCTGCGGCACGAGCGAAGTGTCATGATTTCCCTTGGGGCTTCTCGATCGGTTCGGGTTTTCCAATCTAACTTCACAAACTTGGTTGCACTTTCGACTCGGCAACTAAGCGAACTTGTACTAAAGCCTCCATGCCATTTACCAAATATTTGGACCCTTGCAGGAATCTCGTTGTCCCGACGACAACCTGAAACAGAACGTTAGATTTGCAGCAACCTTCAACGTAAGCCTGATTTGGCAGGCTGTCCGCGCGCAAATGTTTGTCAACGGCAGCCAAGCCGCGCTTGATTCGCTTGCCGGTCGAGCGGCGAAAAAGCAAGCGCGCTAACGCTCGTCGAACAACCCGCATACGCGTTTGGGCAGTGATTTGTCGCTCGCTTTCGCGTGCCGCGCAACTTTTACAAATCGACGTCGTTCCGCCGATAAGCGCGAAGCAGCGGCAAGGCATCCGGCACTCGCTAAGAAGAAAGAGAAAGAAATCTTATCGAGGAAATGCAATGGAGTGGCACTCGAAGCTCAAGCAATATACGCACCTCGCGCACTCCGACGGCGGCGGTGATCTCTTTTTGCGATTACGCAACGGTCGCTTTTTTTATCGGCGAAAGCGCGCGCGCGCGCGCGCGAACGTCAAGCAGGTGAGAGCGAAACGAACTGAACCCGAATATTGGGCCGCTCGCGCCGAGTGAGTGAACGGCGCGCACGCCACGCAACAGCCCGCGAAGCACATGAGCGAGTATACGCCTCTTACTTGGCCGCTAGATGGCCCGACGTCGAACACGAAAAATAGAACGGCCTTTTGTTCGGAACAAAGAGACTCGGTCGAAGCTCCGCTTGTATCGGCGGGGCCGCTGCGAAAAACTCGGATAATATCGTTCGCGATGCTGCGATAAACGACCGACCATTCGCTGTGCACTGCGTTGAATGGGCGACGTGGCCGAACATTACCAAACGAAGAAAACAAACCTTTTTTTTCGAAATACCTGCGTCCGACGTTGTTGACCTATGGTTTTCGACGCCAGATGGGAAAATATTTGCGATTCATCAATAAACATCGCCAAGTCCATTGTAGCTTTCGTGTTTTTAACTCGCAACTGAAAATAGATGATGAACGGCCAGAGAAAAGCTTCTCAACAGATGCAGACACATTCGAAAATTAACGATAACAATGGGAACGACCGAGCCACTCCGTTTACCCCTACACGCGAGATGACAAACATAAAAAGATTGTATCGCGATCGTGAGTTCGCGCTAAGATCATACGTAGCTTGAAAGTGGCCATTCATCACGCGTAATTTAAATGTAATATTTGATACTGTCACGTTTATCTACCAGGCTCGATCGCACGGTTACACGCAACGTTGAATTCGCGTGTACAAAGAAAATTGCCGATTAATACGGAACGCGAGACTCGATGATAACGGATAGGAAGTAAACAGTGTAGCTGGGATTTAGATTAAGCTCGCGACGCTTTTGTAAATTTGGCGTGAGTGGGCGTGCGCGCGATTACGTCGCGTGGCAGGCGACTTATACTGATTCACTATTTAAATAGCTTTGCTTTCGCTCGTGGCTTATCTCGGTTGATTGACTTTCGCTATTATCTGTCTATAACGCCATGCTTTTATGGTCGCTTTTCGGACAACTTTGGGTTGACAGATAAAAATCGCGACGGCAGTACAGCACTGTGACATGCTGCTGTCGAACGACGCTGCCGAAATCGACACAAATTCGATTGCCACTGTCAAATCACAACGGAAGAAGCTATCGCGGTGTAATCGAACCTTTTTACAATTGTAATCCACTAGATGAACGCCGCTTCTGACAGGTACACATAAGTATACAGCCAGCAGTAAACTTTAATTATCGTCTGCTCCGAGTGCACACGATTTATTGGTTATACCGGCGTAAATCGGCGCGAACTGGTTTTATCTCGAAACCTTAACCTAGAGCTTCTTTCTGTTTTATCAAGCGTGGCAAAGTAGGAAGAAAGTTAATATTAGTTCTTCGCGTGTCTTGGCTCGGCCGTGGCGCTTAAAGATTTATTTCAGTCTAAGCGCACGAATTCGAGTCCTCGGCTGCGCAGAAAACCCCGTCGCCGGTGAGTGCCGCGCGCTACGCGATGTACATGCAGTTGCGTCCATATGCCGTCTATTTGCCAATTCAGTACCAGCTACACATAATTCGAATATCAAGATTATAATATTTTTTAAGCGCCACGGCCGTGCTGTAAGCGTCCAAGACGCTTAAGTAGCTAATACGAAGAAATAGAAAATCGCGCCGAAACAAACGTCGCTGTTATCTTTGTGAGAGAACTTTATTAGACTGATAACAGTTGTTATCTCAAAGCAAGACACTCTTCTGTTCCTTAATTTGCCAATCGATCGCACTAGAAACTTCTAGCGACGAGAAATAAAAGACGACGTAGCCGAAGTAGATTTTTTATGATGATTGCTTGTTCATTTATTTTACAAGATTCTCTCTCAGTTAACATGATTATTCATGGAAAACTTAGAAAGAAAGAAAGAAAGAGAAAGAGAGTAGTGTCACTTCCGAGTTCGCCGTCGTCTTCTCTGTAACGGCCGGTAATCATACTTAAAATCATCGAAGCTTTTCTTAAAAAAGAACGAATAATAATATTACGTAAAAAACAAAGTAACTAGTTGTAATTCTATTAATATATACATGGATAAACTGGAATAAAGTAAGAAATACAAATGCACAAGTTATAAGTCACATAAAAAAGGAAAGATCGTATATAAAAAGAAAATCAGTACTTAAGTATGACTTAAGTAATAAGTTCTCTACAGTACAAGTAAACGTGAAATCTTTTGTGAATCTCAAGTAGATCTATTCTGCACAAATGAAGTCTGCAAATATACTTTTCTTTCTTTTTTCTCATTCGTGTGTTTTCAGAGTTAACATATTTTTGAAATCCATTGGTTATTTCTTTCGTCATGAGGGACTGGAAGCCTTGTTTTTAATTGTGAATCCGGCAAGCTTTCTCATTTTGTCTCTGCCTGGCGTAGCCCAGCACATACCTGCGGCCACTGCGAAAAAGTAACAAGAAGTGAAAAATACGTTGATCAATTGGGAGCTCATTTGCGATTTCAAAGCAACAGCTGCATATGAGCGCGATTTAATTGAATTTAATTTGAATTTGGTTCCTTATTTGATACCGATGCTGTTACGTTAATTCAATGTACTGCAAATCAAAGCAACATCGATCATCGATAAAATGAAAAGAATGTAATCAGACAATTGCAGATATCGCGTAGTTGGGTAAACTCGAGTGATCCGTGCTGATATAGCAATCAAAATAATATACTTACGAAAGAGTTCAGCGCCCATAACAATGATGAGTTCCATACAGTACTTGTCGATGAGATAACCAAATAGCATATTGCCGAAGAGTGAACCACATCGACCGATGAACAGTGTGATTGCCGTGGCCATTACCCTGAAAAATATCAACATATACAATTCAATTTCTAGGTTGCGATTGAATTACATGCGTCTCGTCGATATTGAAAAAAAGAAATTAACGTGATTACTTCGTTTGCAAACGGATAAAAGCGAAAGTCTTCAATCTAACAGCCGCAGGCTTAGGTTTCAACCGAAAAGTTGGCGCGCCAATTAAATCATCGCTCGCGTTGATAGTAAGCACATGACCGCCACTCGCATGATGCTGTACGACCGCGAGAACTTTGCTCCGTCGTTAACTATGTTTTTGAAAGGGGAATTTCCGAAACTCGTAATTTATTGTTCTCCACCAACTAGTGTGATTTACTAATTCAACTTCACGTGTGTTCTCGGGAATTCCCAAATGGAACTTTTTTTTATTATTCTTTTGGTGATACATGATATTCAAGTCACATGTGGTATTTTTTGTTGTATTAGAAGACAGAAGAATAATTATTTTTTGATAGGCGTTTATTAAATGTCGTAGTGCTTAATTCATGGAGAAAGTATAAAGAGTAAGTGATAAAATCTTGATTAGGTCAGACAGTCCCATAAAGAATGGATTGTTTTTTATTGTGCGTTCGGTCACTTTTATACTTTAGAGGCATCATTTTGAAGTTGTTTTGAAAAATGAACTCTTGAGAGAATTTGAAATGTTTGAGCAAGAATTTCGACAAAATGAAAATGTAAGCTTAGATTTTATCAATCATTCATCTAGTTTAAAATTTAGTTCGGGCAACAAGTCACTAATTAAAAATAGACACGACCAAAAATTCCACGAAAAGTTTATCAATCGTACGAGCTTAGAGCCAGTCGTAAACATATCAGGTAAAGTGGTAGGTGGGAAACTTGGAAAGAAGCAGCACATGGGCACTTGTTATCGAGCGCTAGATCGACGCTAACAAGAATAAATTCTGCCTAATCTTACGATATCAATGCCTCGAAGAAAGTGATAAAGTCAAAATCAATCTAAGCTCATCGCCGGGTATAATAATACCTCTCGAGATTATTAATAGTACGCCAATTGTACATTGATACACTCGCAGTCGACTTCGCAATTGCATATGTCTTATCGCGCGAATTCCTAGCTGTTAGTCACTCACGGAATCGACCAGAGTCCGTGTTCTTTTATCGATAAGCTCGGATATTGTTTATCTTGCCCGGCAATGCCATCAAAACAATGTCGTTAGCTTTTTTAAATATACCAATTGATTTGACCTGCATTTCAAAGTTGCTTATCGACTTCTTCTTTCATTTTTTGTGCGTGTAATGAATGCATGAAAGTTTACATCAGAGCGATCGTTAATTAATGCGACTCTTGTATATATTAGTCATCCGAGTCAATGAGCGAATAATTGACTTTTTTTATGGCCGACGTGCAAGTGAATTTGCTTACCTGAGATTTGTTGGGAAAAGCTCGACGAGTAAACAGAATGTGACACTAATATTCAGCGAGGTGAATGCCTCGAATATGCAGGAAAGTATGAGATTCTGCGTTGATGTTTTCACGAAGAAAAAGGCAATCGTCACTGCGCAAGAGATTGTTGCTGTGAACACTGAGGATGAAAAGCAGAGAATCATATTTTTTAGTGTTTCCGAATTCGTTCCATGAAATCGCTAAAGAGCATTTTTGTTTATTTGGGTAAAACGACTTTATAGCAGTACCAAGAAAAATACACAATTCAAATGTAGACTAGAACTTGATCATAATAAGATTATCAATTGACTCGCGGTCGCTGTCTCTTAAAGCATAGATTATCTGATAAATTAATAGGCGTATATGTCGCAATGGACTCAATATAATGATAAGACGATCGAAAAATCAAGCTAATCTTGTCTACTTACTAGTTTGGCTCTGAATAGTACGAGTATGGATGAAAGAATTAAATTGCTTTTAAAGCGGTGTTTTGTAAGTATCCAGGTACAACATAAAATCAATGAGTTACGATCGATATGTGATAATTGTTAAACGATTCGATTTATATAATCTAAACTACTTAGCTATATAAATATTGAGCTTTCTTTTTTCTTTTTAATTTAATTGTTTTTACAGTTTTATTAATTAATTATTTACCAAGTTTTGAACGGCGAATTCATTGGATCAGAGTGAAAAGGAAAAAAAATTAATGGGAATGTAACTAAATTTACTTACACATGTAAACGCGATAGCCGAGATGATCGACCGTAAGTGGTAGGAGTACTGCTCCCGGAAGACAAGCGACGCCTAACCAAATGCTATTCACGTATACACTTGTGTCCATCGGGACGTTGCATCCGTAGGGGTTTGTTTCGTTAACCTGTTATTGTAACATCAAGTATATATGTTTTTTGTTTAAATGTTGCCAACGAAAAAAATCAAAATAACTTGTACAGGTAGCTTTTTAGATATTCAAATAAAATTCATTTAAGTTAAAATTAAAAACAACAAAAAAGCAGTAAAACTTACATCCACGGACTCATTAGTGGCAATCAGTTTGCCAGAAATAGTACAAACACTGGCAAACTCGCCGGGATATCTGCTTTCAAAGGCAGCGAATCTCTGGAATAGCTCGGGAAACCAAGTCATGAGCGAGTAATAAGTTGAGGTCATGCAGAACATAACAGATCCAGTGACAAAGAGACGTTTGCCGTAAGGTTTCTCGAGCAAAGTCTTCACTTGAGTCTTTGAATTGTTTATCATCTCTTTTAGTTTCTCCAACTTTGTCGGCCGCTTATCCGAGCACTTGTCCAAATTTATCGACTCCGTCTGGCTTATCAAACTGCTGATTGTCGGACAATCGCTACGAGCGAGAATTTCCTATTTTTTTTGCAACAGCAAAACAATTTTCATTCAGTAAGTCTGCAAAGGACTCTACACTGTAAACGATGTACTACAATGTACTCAAGTGCGAGTAATATATTTTGATTGAAATGCGTTTTCGAATAAAAGTATCCAGTTTTCGTGGGTGCATAAACGCATCCTCGATGCTAAATGTTAAACGACTATATAATGGCAAAATAGGTACTAACTTTGAACTTTTCGGCACATTCACCGGTGTTTTCAACGAACATCCTCGTTAGAACCTTCAGCAGTATTTCTCGCTGACCCGTTTCAGCGAGAAATTTGGGCGTTTCAGGCAGCGTCAAAAGCCAGAGGAAAGTTATAAGAGCAGGCATCGCGCTCGCCAAAACGAATAGGTTCCACGAGCTGAAGAAAAAGCTCGAAGTTTTGTAGGCGTAGGGTATGGGTATAACCGCCCAAGCGAAAACTGTTGAACATAAAGATTTTTTTCATTGTTGGAAGTATCTCATTGCACTGGGAACGTGACAAGAGCAATCCTCTTTGTTGCGTCAACGATTCTTTTCAGGCTGCGTTTTCATTGATACTTACGTGCCACGGCGATTACACCAATTGCCCATGATCCTTCCATTCCTGATAGTATTCGATGTCTGTATCGTGTGGGCTGAAATTCACCAAGATATGGGAATACTATGGACAGCTGGCCACAAACACTGGAAATGGAAAACATTTTTTTTTAATTTAAAAAGGCATTTGGATTCTTTCTTTCGATTAAACGATTCTGTTTATTAAACGCGTTGAGAATAACAGGCGAATTTTTGCTATTTGCTTGGTGAAATATCATTGAACTTTTATAGGCCTGAGTCATTCGTGTATTTTGTAATTTTAAATATAAATTTGAAAAAGTAGACAGGTACTTATTCATTGATCCGCTTTTTATCAAGTATAACTTAAGATAAAAATTATTGATGCAAACTTCTAAAGTTTTAAGTTTCAAGACTGAAAAAAAAAGTTGAATGTATTTAGTGGAGTTTAACAAAAACATTTGTTAACCGCTATTTTTGAGTCGTGAAAGCAACCAAGGCAGCGATGAGAGAGATATAGAGAGAAAATGACGACTTTTGAAACCCTTTGAATAGCTACAGCTCAAAGTCGAGGAAGTTTTGGTATACCGTCCCCTAAATGCTTCTAACGACGGGAGACTGCGGGAAGAGCTCGTAAGAGAGTTCCATATCCCTACTATTTGACGTGGACTTGTGCTAGATAAAAAAGTATGTCAAGGATTCAGGCTCGTGCATCTTTATATTTCTAAATATTAATAAGGTAGTAAAGTAGTCTCTCCGCGAGTCTGAGCGCAACCAGCCCAAATATATCCTACGGGAAGTGATGTGCTCATTTCTGCTGGCGTCATACGTGTATATCACACGCGATTTAGTTAGTCTTTGTAATTTCACGAGAAGCGTCCAAGCACACCATTGTGCGGAGGAGCAAGCGAGAGCACTCGTTGGCGACGAGAACAGAGGCGCGAGGGAGGCGAGCAAGCCAAGGCAGTATCGCATCGTCTCGTCCTTTTTGTTCACCTTGTCGCGCATAAAGTAGTCTTACCAACTCGTTCGTTCACACCCTCCCCCCCTTCTGCACATGAAAGTTAAGCAAAGAAGTACGTGGTTCCCTAGTACTGTTCGACTGATATGTGGAGAGCGAGATTAGCAATCAAGGGGAGATACATCGAGAGATTCCTTTGATCGCTGTTCTCGCCTGCCATAGTTTCATCTTAGTTGAAGCTGTACTCGATCAGTGAAGGTAATACGGAAAGATAACAACTTTTGACGATTCGTCGATAGATTAGTTGACCTATTCAGAAACCTATATTAACGAAAAGTTGTTTCCTTTTCGTATTTTCTCCACGCATCAAGAGATTCTCTTGTAAAACAACAGCCGATCAGCTACTAAGGGCAGCCCGAAGGTTATCACCTGTAATCGCCCAGTGCGGCGGCAAATCCCAGCTGAAGGTTTACATTGACGCAACTGACTGCAGCAGTTAGCGGCGACGTAAGTTGCTCTATCTTTGTCTCGCGCGTTCTCGGAGGTGCGAGTCTATAGTTGCGCGCTGCGGTTTGTTTTCGTTCCGTCTTTCTCTCTCGTTTTCTTCGGGCGCGTGCGTGACATTGCCATTCGTTCCAGATCTCGCCATTACTCAGCGACGTGTTGACTTTCGCCGAGCACGATAAAGCAACACGCTCGCGACTTGCGCGGTGTTTGCATATTAACCAATCGCTTTTCATTTACTCGAGGGCTTCTGTCGCTAACCTTTCCCAGCCCGCGAAACCGAGCTCACGCGCTCGACGAAGTGGCAGCGCGAGTGGCAGCGCAGATCGAGGCGCACCCAGAGATATCGTCCGCGGCTTCGATTGAAATATATCAGTGATCAGCATTAATTACCACCCTCCCCTCCATTACAGGAGATAATAGAAGCGTTCGTCTGTAAAATCAAGCGATAAAATAATCGGAACAGTATAGACTGTCAGAGCTAGATATCTTTTGGCATACAATTAAGCGTTCCGGAATTTCGCCGATGGATCTTTTAGGGTTTTGAAATTAATATTTTCTAAAAATTAGTAAATAAAGATTTTTACAAGCTACATCGACTTCTACTTCCCATTATTTTTTCAATTGAAATGTTTTACTACAGCTATCTATCGAACTTACTAGTCGTTATAAAAAATTTACTATAGCTAAAGAATGGTAATTGAAACCAAATCTTCTGTAACAAAAAGAAATCTTGTCATGAAAAAATAATTTTGTTGCAATTTTCTATTTTCCTTTTGTACAAGAAAGGAAATTTTTACTAGACTATATCACGAGAAATTTTCTTGTTACAAAAGGATTTTATCTCAGTGGTTTTTTTTAAGATCATCCTCAAAAGAAATACTCTTGACATAAGTTTTGAGTTTTCATGAAAATCGACTTATTTTAAAATTACGATTGTATTTTTAGCAATAATAAAAATAAACAGTTGATCATAACTTACCCAATACCGCTTAGAAACTTAAGGAATACGAATATCCAATAATTAGGCACAATAGAACACAATGCGTCAGCGATAAATTGAAGACTGGTGGTTAATAGGAGAGAAGTGCGACGACCCTTGATATTCGCCAAGTAGCCCCAGATGCCTGTGCCAACAACCATACCTGTAATTCAATTAATGGTCATTTGTTTGTCGAGATTAATTTAAAAATTCTACAAGCTTTTTTCCTCTGAATTGAAGAATATCTTTTAATAATTCTCTTATTATGAAATCGTCTAGTTGACTATGCACCGTTAGGGAGAAATGGATGTGTAGTTTGATGGTTTGACGTAATAGCTAACTCAATTATTACTCATTAAATTAATACTTTCAATGAATTCAAATTGATTGATAAGTAATTCGAAGTAGCACCCAAATTATTCAACTGCTCCTAATAATTTTTCATAACTGCTAATAATGAAACATCATCTTTTAACGTCTACAGAATCGATATTTCTAAAAGTACTTGTTAATTTGCGACACAATAAGAAAAAAACAAGGAAATCGTGCGTAGTAAACAAAAATTTGATTGAAGGAAGCGTAATTCAGAAACATGAAATCAACAGCGGATACTGTTGCGCTCGAAAATTGTCCACAAATTTTTCGTTTCCTTGTAGCGGTGTTTTGTAATTTCATCAAATGCTAATTGACTATTTTTTATCCATTTTCTTACTAGGTCATTGTCTAAGTTCTAAGCTATTAAATATTTCGCTTATTTCATTTTCACTTGCGCCCGTCATGACCAATTATTCGAATTTACGTTTATAATGCAAAATAAATTGATTTTTATTTTCAATAAAATACCAAAAACTTACGTGAAAATGGTTTTACAAGGTTCATAGTCAATTATCTTTCAAATTATGTACAAAAACTATTGATTTTCAGTATGTGCATTAAGTTATCTACGAGGCACTATTTAAAAATAACACAATCATCGTGGAAAATCGTATGAAGGCATTAAGAATACTTCTTGTTAGCTCTTTTTAATGTATATATTTACATTAATAATCTACAACTTTTATCAGTGCAAAGATGCTATATATATTTTAAGAATATATGATCCAACAATCAGTGTTTATAAAATGTGATTCAAATTTGAATAATTAGCTAATTATCTAGAATACTAGTGAGCAATTACACGTAACTCTATTTAAACTGTACTTAATGAGACACTTATATTTAATTCAGAAAACGTTCATTGTTAGACGAGTAGGCTAAATATGTCAATGTATAAACTAATGAATATGAATCATAGCTACACTGTTGTGAAATTTCACTCAACCATCATAAGCCTTACTGAAGCATTCCAGTAAGAAATGATCTGTAAACAAATCTATTCATGAGTTCACCTCTTTTAAACGGTTAGCATTAATCAATGAGTTATTATACACTATTTGATAATAAGAAATTTATATATTGGCACTGAGCGAAAAATTCACTGAAAAATTAACAGTTAACTGACCCAGCATAGGAGCAGCATTAATTCGGCCTTTGTCAATGGTCGTCATTTTAAAATCACAGGCAGCGGTGGGCACGACGAAGCCGACGCTTGTAATGCAGAAGGCAGCATTCAAGTAAATTAAGGCGCAGACTCCTACTATTTTGAGATTGAACTTGCCAAAGCCTGCACACGATAATCAAGTGTTTTTTGTTTCTTTTTTTTTCAACTTAATCAAGAGCTTTGTTTTTATTCAGCCACGCGATATCGCAGTCGGTGAAAAGTTATTTTTTCATTTGGTATTTCTTTAATTTACCTGTTTGTTCGACAGCCCTTTGGGCAACGATCTCTTCCATGTGCATGTCTGAAAGGTACAAGCACTTGTGAGTAAATTACATCGGTGCGCTTCTGAATGTAACTTGCAACATTCGAAAAATTAATGGCTTGACATTTTATTTCATGCTCAGCTATTAACGAATTTTATGAACCAAATACAATCAATAATCGTTAATTCATTTTTTTATCGCTCCATTACGCGGGTGACTCATTCGGCTGCTGTTTCTTCAACAAGCTACAGCTGGATGCAAAAAAATCCCATTCGTTTTCACACTTAAATTTTATTTCTAATGCCAGTGGATATTTAAAAATGTTTAAGTTATAGCTTGGAACTATTCGAAATACTGCGAAAAAGAAAATAGAAAATGCCGACAGTAAAACAATTTTCGAAGGAATGAACTGAATTATAGATTATACGACGAAATATTAATTTTTTTAGTCAACTTATTTTGGATTTGCGATTATTCTAACTTAAAACGAATCATACGAGTTTAGTACATTTCTTTGACCTTTCATTGCGAGACACTACAACAGCATAATGTTAATGAACATACTTGTACTTGAAATATTTTTTGAGATAAATATAGTTGATAGAGCTAAGTATTCGACAATTTTAGTAATTTTCCACAATTAGAACGTTCAAAAAATATTACGAAGCACTCACTGCCTTTTATAAATATCATATTATATAAAGACAATAAATATTTATCTGCGGATGCGCAAGTTGACCTTTCCTTTAAGCTGTTGAAGCTTCAACATATTTCTACGGAAAATACATATTAATGAAAATCACTCACTTGCTAAATAAAAGAAATAATCTCACTTTGGTGCAACGAAAACAAATATCAGTCACGTCGTAAAAGAGTCGCCAATAAAACTCGTCTTTTGCAGGTAGATTATCACAGGTACAAATAAACGCGTCGACGGTCCAGCCGTCGAACGCCCGGCGAGTAAACTCTCATCCGGGGCGACGATTGCTCTACGGGAAATACATCTAGTACAATCGCCAGATCTGCGAAAAAAAGAGAACAAAATGACTTTTTTTGCCGTTGACTCGTCATCTTGCCAATTGCTTGCTGACGACGAAAATATTTCTTCGTAATTTGTAAATAATATCGTGTTTTATAAGCTTCCGTGGTCGATCAAGTGATTTGAAAAGTTTAAATGAAAATTTTATCAAAGTTCCTATTATCAACAAAGTGGTTCCCTTACTCGATGACGACTTTGAGTAACCAGAGAGCTATAAAGATTTTGTCATTTCATTTACGTTTGACAATCTCTACGATCGTTTCGTAAATTCTGGTAACATATCATAGTTGTAACTAACACGTATTCTAATGTCGTTGGCATAGTAATTGACTATAAGATACAAGTAGAAATACCACGAAACTGAAATAAGATAATATGTTCAACTCTTTAAGCTTGCACTTCAATTCTCATTCAGATGCTCACTGAAACACTCACTCAAATTGACTTTCACGCAAAATTGAACGGATAATTTTTACCTCTAAGTGTAAAAAAAGCACTGGCGTTCACAAAACTATACACTCGGCTCGGAAACACTCAGACACGCACGCGCAAAGGAACGAAAAGAAAAAAATAATCCGTCGGCAGTCGCTCGCGCGTATGTAAGCTCGCGCGTCAACCGCGCGTCTCCTTTTTATCGTGACTCGCGTGCCTTCTCTTCTCTCCGCGCGCGTCCCAGCTAATTAGCAATCCCTCCCTCGAGAGACCGAGACGAGAGTGCGGATTTTGAAATCGGCCACCTGTACCTACCGCGGTCGCACAATTTTTGCTTTTCATTCGTTAGCTATTGCCGTTGCTGCTGATAAAAATGTTCGATTGAAATTTTCACGATTTGCTATTTTTTCAAACTCGATCATACATGTGATTGTCACGAGATAGAGTCGTGGAAAGTCTTCGGTTCGGTTGAATTACTGTGTAACTAAAAAAAAAAAACGACTTGATAGCATCATTTTTCATGTTTTGATGAAGTACTTTTCAGGAAACGGCTCTTACTGTCACCCTGATGTTTTGTTAGAAACTTGACAATGGTCTATATTTTTGTAAACTAATAAAATGATTTTAAGTGCTGCTTCAATTTCAAAATTGCGTCATGCGTAGAGTCATTGATGAATCGTGATATATTTAATGTGTTTTGATTAATTTGGCGTCCAAAATTGATATTTGATTAGAACTAAAAATGGTAAACAGAGAAATAAAACGGAGTCACGCACGATTTTATCAAATCTTCCAAGATAAATTTAAATCGTACAACTATTTACAGTGGACGCATTAAATCATTTGGTTGATTCAATGTTCATCAGTAGAATATCCATTCTAGTCAACAAAATTGATATTACTAACTAGAATATTGAAAAATAATACTTCAAGTTAATTTTTCATAGACGTTTATAGCTTATCGAAAATTTTATTCGTCAACGTTCAAATTGGATGTTAAGAAAGCTAAATTTGGCAAACATTGTTTTCACGTGAAAAAAGGCAGTTTTCTATCGAAGAGCGGACATTATTAAATACAATGGGATCACTTATTTGATTAGATTGATTGAGACTTATGTAAAGACAATTCGTATCATTATTTCAAAAATAGATGTTTGGTTATATAACTCATTACTGAAAGAAATACAAAAAAGATTAATATGAAAGCTGGATTTTTCAAATTAATTTGTTTATTATTGCGTTAATTTTATTCACGAGAAACAAAATTATGAAGAAGACCCTGTCGCTAACATACGATACCTCCATGATTTTCATTGATTTCGAATATCAGTATCGTTTATTATCGACTGTTAATGCTCGAAATTTTTTCAACTAAAGTTGAACATGATATATTGTCGAGAGAAAAGTCTTATGACAATTCTATAATTACTTAGCATCCTCGCTTAACCTAATTTTAGAGTATTAATAATGAAGAACTATTGCAAACATTATAAATTTAGAATTCAGCTGAATCACCACTGCCAGCCGAAAGTCGAAAGAGAAAAAAACTTATCTACGACAGGTGAGATATACGTAACACCATTTAATGAGAACCGAATTGTTGAAGCCAGTACACACTGAACAAAGACACACGATATTTGCCCGACTACTGGCTTGCCGTAGGTTTTGTAAATAGCCACAAATAATGATGATCGCAAGAGAGACTCATAAAGGAAATTGGTGGGTAACGCGAACTACTAGATAATATAGAAAATGGACTTGCGTAATTTTTTCAATGTTCACGTTATGTCGATATTTCATGTTTGCATTGTGGAACGTAAACAGTAGCCACTTTTTCAAATTTAAATTCGTTTGATAAACTTGTCGAACGTGCGTACGAAAATTTTGGAAAAGCCACAAGAAGTGTGCCGAATATGATCGAACAATTAGGTAACGTAAGTTTTGTTAACAATGATCTCTTGTTACTCCCTTTTGGAAAGCTCAATTTTTCTCATCATAGGAAAAAAAAACTGCAGTCAGATGTTTTTCAAATTACGATTAATTAGGACTATGCCAAATGGGATTGAATTTAGCGAGAAGAGTAAAAAACCGGAATTTTCGAAGTGAACGAAAGGTTTTTCGTAAATAAATCAGACGATTGAAATGAGAAGCGCAGGGCTATAAGAGTCGTCGCAATGCTGTCCGCGTATGAATTGATCGTCCACGTCGAAAGCCAACGTTCAATTGATTAAAGGCGTCTGGGCTGAAAAGTGTTGGCGCTACGGAGAGAAAGGCACGGATAGCAATAACAAATGCTGTTGCTATTAGATCAATGAGACACACGAGTGGCGAAGTCAATCGACTTGAGCAAACAAATGGCTCTTCCTCGTAGTGACAAACGAGCGCGCGGCTGTGTGTACTTGTGCTTTCCAAGTAATCGATTGTATTCAAGAGATGCGAGCCGTCGATTTGAAAAGAAAACGAAGACAAATTTGCACATTCGCGAGATTCAGCAAGCCTTCGGATTTGAGAAGCAAATTGCTCAACAGATAATTAAGTGCAACAATTAAGGCTGTAATTGATATTGATGACGATTGAGATACTCGGCCGAACGCGCAGTAGGATCAGCTATCACAATTATACACATTATCGTTACATACGTTAGCCATGTAAATCGCACGTGCGCATCGAAAACAGAGCCATGCATTGTCGATTGTCGTTCGACCATCTGCTGATTTTCTCGATTCGCGATTCCCAATGTAGATTGCCATTTAACGAAAATGCTCGTAATCAGGATGAGCCGTCGCCGGCGCCGCTTGCATGCATTTTCTCGGCGGTCGAGCTTTCGGCGCAGACTTGAGAACCTCGCTGACGAATTCTCAACTGTAGAAGTGAGTCGCGATGAGAGCGCGGTATGACTCCAACAAACGTTTCATCAAAATTAGGAAGAAATACGAATCAATCGAGTTCGATTGCTTAGCTGACGTATGATCGAACATTACAGAATTGACGTATCGGAAGTTGAGTTTGCTTGCTCGAGCAGTGCATCGATGGTTAGATCGAAATGTACAACTTTTTCTTTATCACTCCCACGCACTTTTTTATCCGGGAAGCACATTTTTTTTCTTCATACCTGCTGAACTCGCCAACAATTATCGTACAGACCAGCAACGCGCGACGCGCACTAACATTGAACGAATGACTAAAACCAAAACAGTTCTGACGTGTGCTCTCAACATAACGACTGCTGCGACGTAAACACACACACACGCCGACAGTCCAATAATTTTCATTAAAGTTGGAGTCTCGTGTGGCACCAATGTCACACTCGACTATTGCTTTTCTCTGCCTGCGTGTGATTTTAGATTGAGAGGAACTTGTCGTGCCTATGACATCGATTTAATTGGCAGACACGGACCGATTATATATTGTTTAATTTTGAAATGCAATGCATTGACAATAGCGCGCAAGCGCAGAAATTTCCATGACTGTCCGATTATATGCCGGAAATTTTTGGTCCCTGACAGACTGATTTAGTACGCGAGCTTTGCGCTCGTAAGATAATTTGTCTGAATGGTCGTCAATCACACCAGATGACGATACTTTCAAAACATTTAATTTCTTTTCATACTTGTTGATCTGTTGTAAATTTTCATCTCCTTTTTTTAACGTGACTTGTTATTGTAGCCTGTTCATTGTTTGCACATCGTTCTTGCCAGTGTCAAGCGCCAACTGATATCTTGAGCCAAGGTTGCTTTTTGAATTAAGATGTAAAAGAGCTTGAATAACTTGAACTGAATATCAATTCAATTTATTTTATAGCTTACTGTCGGCCGATAGACATCTTTTTGTTCAATAAATCGAAAGATTTTATTATTGCATCGACAGTAAACAAGTAAAAGTATGTACGACAAAAAAGATGTTATCGATGCGCAGCATAAAGTTCATTCAATCGAAGGATGTCATTGAAAAAAAGCTCGTTCTCTTTCGATTTCCCGAGGATTTCCTCTAAATTGTCTAAGAGTCAATAAAACCAGTTGTAAAGTCCAATTGCAGCCCTTCCCTCGGCAAATAAAGTTCCTGGGAAATGACTTCCGTTCTACGTGGATTACTCGTCCCCTTCGAGCTTTCTTTGGCTCTCGTTTTTATTACCCCAGAGATCGTCGATTTGAATGTTATATTCGGCTCCCGTAAATTGTTACACTTTTTCTCGCTAATTTAATAAACATTGCAGTGCCTTCATTCAATTTAATATTCGAAAATTCATTTTAGCTGTAAAACATTCATTTGACAATGTATTGTCGTATAATACGTGTTTTATTGTCAATTTTTTCGATGGATCCATATGGTCCATCGCCACCAACTTTTGATATATGTTAATATTTAAGGCACAGCTGTTTTTAAACTTATACGACGTTTATATATTCGTAATAAAATGATCAATTTAAGTCGTTTCGTACGACGGCAGTTGATTTTGTCTTAATTTTATTCGACACTTGTATTTGCACTTTGATACAATTTTTTCTTATTTGATTTCGAGAGTTCACTGTTTGATTAGATGGAGTTTTATAGGTATATGTTGCGTTGGCAGCTCAGCAGACGTCAGCACAAAGTAAACATAATACGAAATGTGCTAATAACGTATATTACATTTTTGTAAACTGTGCGTGCTTCAAAATTAGTCTATAATTAGGACAACTCGTTTTAAGTTCAATCATTAAAAAATCTTTTGTCATCTCACTAAGCATGTCACTATGGAATTCAATTAATTTTTTTAAATGAAAATATTTCATTTTTTTTTAGATTAATACTTTTGTAAAAATACTAGGACTATAGTTGTCGTTAAAACTATGTTCGTAAATTTATGAAAATAAATTTACGAATGTAGTGATATTTAATCATAAGACGGCAAGTATTTTCTTATTTTTCTACTTTTCATTTATTTAAAAATTGTACAGGAGTTCTCTTTAAGCACAATTATTTTCCAAATTAACATATATCTTGCGACTAAAAGTTTGTGAACTTTTGTTTATAAGAAATTTTCAACAGCACTTGGAATAATTTTTTGACTGCTGTTTATGTTACGTTAATACTTGCCGGGCCTCTCTCTTTCAAGTGAATAATACTGTATTTTTAATGCATTTAATGTTGTGCAAAAATAAAAATAATGTAATATAATATTTGTAATATCTTTTTATAATCTTCCTTAATTGAAAGCCTTTGCTTTGAGGTTCACATAGATCTCAGCAATGAGAAAAAAATTTTTATTTAGTTTATTTCGATAAGATGCTGTGAAATAATTTCAGCTCAATCTGAGCAATTTCTTCTGTAAAAATATTTTTTCCAATACCTTCAGTAAAATCCAATTGTGAAAATTAATTGAGCGACACTGCTACATTGGCCAAAATAGCATTATGTTACTATAAACAAGTTCCTAATTCATGGATTCGCTGAACTTGACAGGCCCGTCAAGTATGAACATGACATAAACAGCAATTAAAAAAATAAAGAATTATTTGGAGTTCTGTTGACAATTTTCAATTAATAAAAGTTCACAAAATTTTAGCGCAAACTATTTGTCAATTTTTTAAATAATTATGATTAAAAAAACTCCTGTACAATTTTAAAGTAGATGAAAAAAAGAAAAAGAAAAAAATACTGGCCGATATATATTATTAGTATCGCTATATTCCTGAATTTATTTTCAGAAAAAGTTTCGACGATAATTTAAAATTGAAATAATATTATTGCGTAAAACTTCTATTAACATGAAAAGTGCCAACGACGTAAAAAAAAGGCATGCTTGCCTAATTTAATTTTATTAAAATGTCAAAACACTGTTGAGAAAAAAATAGAATATCCAATTAATTTATTTATCAATGAAAAGACATTTTATAGAAATCTACATTTTTATGTAATGATGAAGAAAAAAATATTCAGTGATTAAGTAAAACATGTTCTTAAATACTCTTTTGTTGATTTAGCAAATAAACCGTAATTTTTTTTATTTTGAGGTTATAACTTTCCATACAATCACTTTATATTCACAAATTTTTGACCAGTTAAAGCAAGATAATTTTAATGACAGTCTGTTTCTTAAAAATTTGATTGTTTTATCCCCACACACACACACACACACACACACACACACACACACACACACACACACACACACACACACACACAGACACACATTTTACCTAAATCATCAATCAAAAACTATTTTATATATTTTATAATAAAAATGAGTATAAATAATTATTTTAGTGCATATTTCTAAAATTAATTATGTAAAAAATTTAAGATAAAAAAAGTCTCATCATATTTGCCTCATCCGCTACTATGGCTACGAATTTACGAGGCACACAGATGGAATAATTGTACTTTGAAAAATTTCAACTTTTATAAATAGTGAAAGTTTTATTAGAATTAATATGAATATTTCCTTTTTGGAGTTAGACCGAGAACATTGTTTGAACTTTCTCGTTGTTCATCACAAGTAACAATTTTGAGGCACGTGCTTTAAGACTTTGAGATATTTTTTATTGTTTTATTTCGAATAGTTTTTTATCTATATGGTACCGTTACGTGTTAAATTAGTAATTTTTAGCCTTTGATAAGCTAATTTACGACGCTACCATCCAGAAAAATAAATTCAACCTGAACTTAAAAATATATTTAGAAGTATTTTTTTATCAATAAGTTATTACTGGAGTAAATATTTTTGACAATAAAGTTTAATTGATTTCAGATTGAAATAAGTCTTACACAACTGTATTTGATACCTTTAGTATTTATTCTTCAAGAGATAACAGACGACCCATAGAATAAAGACGTATTATTGTTATTATTGTGAGGTTCAATACAAGGATAACATTATCAAAACTGTGAAGCTATTACAAAAATGTCAATAAAGGTCATGTAAATAAATTAGTCTCGCTCACGTATTGGAATTAGAAAATAAAGCATTTGAGAATATGTTGAAAGTCAATAAGTTTTGTTTCAATTAAAAAATGTTATATCAAGGATAACGAAAAAGCATTACAAGCTACTGATGCATGGCTGAAGAAAAATGAGGTTGAAACAACAAATTAACTGATGGCAAACATTATCTTTTATCTTTAAAAACGTGTGATATTACCTTCGAAAGCATTAACATAAAGAAATCATATGATGATAATAACGAGCTTTCATGTTTTCTTGTATTGAGTTTTCCAATTACGAAAGATTTAACTTAAGAATGTAATTGTGAGGAAAAGGACGATATACATGTCTCGATGACGATATACTCAAATTCTCCGAAGAAAAATACACCAAAACGACGATGAATACGAGGGAATATTTCTGTATTTAAAAATGATACGATTGACATCGCCAGGCTCTCAAAACCTACTTTTCAATGGCAAGTTCAGAAAAGAAAGTGATAATGCCAGTGATGTACGTATATTAAGGAAATAACATTTGACGTAATAGTTAAATAACTGATCATTTATTGTTTCAAGTGCTAGTTTCTCAGCTGTTGTCAATAAAGTTTTTTCTTATTCTTAGTATGATGTTGACTCTGTAAATTTACTAATACGTATATGATTATAGATTTTAAGTTTGTTTTATGATTCTGACGATAAGGTTAGTTGGGAGAAGCTTTAAACTAAAAATAACATCTAGCAATTTGTTTTCTCACACAATGCGTAAAGTGGTGACTGAGCGCCCTTCTAACAAAGAGAAACATCACCCCTTTACGTGTGCGGAAAGAATATACGAACACAGGAGTACAAGTAGGGAAACACGCACTGTGTGAAACATATCTTTCTAGCAGCATAAGATACTAATTTCAGAAATACAAGTTGTCCAAACGGGTTGTCTAGTGCAAGGAACAATTCAACCTTGAATACGTGGTAGAACTTCAAAGATCCTCATCAAATCTTAACTACCTGTTTTTCGGCAAAACCAAATGACCTTTTAAGTGATATTTCTAGAACTATGTGAGATCTCTTTTTCAATATTTAATCTGTTTAAATTAAAAAACTTGTAAAAATTAGTATTTCAATCATTCACTTTTGTTTCCTTGATGAGGAAGCTTTGTAACAGATTCGTATAGAAATTTTGTTATTTTTCGCTGTACATTTTTTTAATTTTGTAGTTGATGCCTTAAATTTTTTATTCCTGTTAAATCTACGTGTACTACATTGATTCAAAACATTTATTTCACGTTTCCGTAGAGTTTTAATTTATGAGAAGCTTACAAAATCGTTTTCTTGTGGTGTTCGTTTATTTCATTTTTGAATTCTTTGCAAAAATCATTCTTATCACTGCAATTTTCAAGATATATTTACCAATCTTTGTAAACTTTTCTTGTAGAGAGATACTATTTAGATATTTTATGCCTGTTTTATAATGGTTCTATCAATAAATTATTTCATTTTTTACAAAAGGTCATTTTTATGTTTTTTCGCTATTTTTTTGTATGTATGTTAACATTTGGAATTTTTTCAATTTTCAAAATATCTTGAAACTTTGTCTACGCGATCATTTTATAAATACAGATGGGGCTTTTTATTTATATAAGCTTAGGATTAATAACTCCACTGTTTCTTTTGATTGGTATTATTATTTACATTTTACAATGTAAATAACTACAGTTTGTATGCGATGATAATTCAATATAAGCGCAACATTATTAACGATATATATCCTATATATATATTTAGAAATTTTAGAAATCATATAGGTAATTATGAAATAGTGAACTTATACGCTCATAGTAAATTTACATTTATTGAACATGTACATTATAATATCCAGTAAGAAATGATTAAATGAGAAGACGTAATCGAGTGATAGATAACGCCAGACGAACACGGTTTACCTATGTTAAGCATCAGCTTTCTTTTAAAATATCAATACAGCAATCTGATTTACGGTCTGTTTGAAGATTTCACGGGTAAGTACCGCAACTATAAGTATGTAAAGTCGCCGTACAGTCTCGCGTGAGGATATATGAAAAGTTCGTCCGTGAGTTCTGAGAAGTAGGTCGCCATTCTCTTCTGGTTGTCATTTGGCGATTGAGCGTATAGTCAAGTAGTATTGCAAGCCTTACGCCTTTTCTTGTATTCAAGTTTACAGTCTGAAAAGAATTTTCATTTGTATTGAAGATAAAATGAAGTTATTGACTAAGATAGTGCGTATAACTTGGTGAAAGTGATTGTTCGAAATCAAAGAATCCGTGCACTTAAATAATTTCTGTTTTACTCGTTTTAGATTATTGTATTGTTGGTGAGTTACGTGTCAGCTCGTAGTTATGGCAAGGTAAAAAATAGATTTTTTTTCTTTAATCTACCGTTGTTGTTGCATTTATTTATTTAATTGCTTATTGATGTTATTTATTACTTGTTATTTACTTAAAGACCACACAATTCAAGTTCCGTGGACTTATGGCACCAGTCTATACGCCTTTCAAAAGTGACGGGTTAGTTCTGTGTACGATTATGACAGTGATAAATATTACTTTTTTTAACTTCAAGAACTTCGTTTCAGGAGTTTAGATTTGTCGGTTATTCCAAAGTATGCCAAATTTTTAGCGTCCAAAAATATCAACGGCATTTTAGGTAAGCAGTGGAAAAATGAAAGTTTCAAGTATGTCAATATTTTCAAACGTCAATTTGTGTTAAAAGTTGGTGGAACGACCGGAGAAGGACTTTCTTTGTCAGTCAACGAAAGGAAAAAACTTGCTGAAGCTTGGGCTGATGCGGCAAAAGATAATAAACAACATTTGATGATACACGTTGGTGGCGTAGCTTTGGTAGATGTAAAAGAACTTGTGAGTTAATTTATTTTTCATAAAAGATTTTTACTTTGTATTTCAATTTAAAACTGTTGAATCAAGTAATAATTACTGTATTATATCATATAACAATTGATCAATTTGCCAAAAATACTTTTAAAATATAAACGATTAGCGAATTGATTATAATAATTCATATTAAAAAGAGCTACTAAAATACAAAAATATACATATGAAATAAATAATATTAACTTGATTTTAGGCAGCCCACGCTGAAAGTATATCTGTAGATTCTTTGTTGTGCTTACCGGATTTGTATTCCAAACCAGCAAATGCGGAAGCATTGGTCAACTATCTGCAAGCTGTCAGTGAATCTGCCCTCAACACCCCATTAATTTATTATCAATCAACCGGTGCACCTACCAATGGTTAGTTAATCTTCCATAATGGACGTTATAGACGTTTTCATTGTTAAAAATTCGTTGTTAAACTAGTTAAAGCTAGCGATCTCCTAAAGTCCGTTGGTGATAGGATTCCAACTTTTGCCGGCGTAAAACTAGACAGCAGTGACATCAAAGATGGAGTAAACGCGCTGGCAGTCGCAAATAATTTTGCTGTGATATATGGCAGTAAAATGGTAAGTACAGTTTTTTATGTTTCTTTTTGAAATTAAAAGAATGTTACGCGACGTCAAATGCACAAGGTTACAGTAGTATATTATCCATGATGCACAATGAATAGGTACATGTAACTTACATTCTTTCAGTAATTTTCATTCTCTAAAAGCTCAATTGTAGCTATTTTACTTTCTTATTCATATTCTATTTTTCTTAATACAGCCTATGCTAGCAGGCTGTGTAGTTGGAATAGAGACATTCATGACTGGTACATTGAACTTCGTGCCTGAAAATTCATTCAAAATATTAGACTTCTGTCATGGAAAGGGCGATTTTAAAACTGCTCAGGAAAGTCAAAATTTCCTTTCTGCTCTTGAAAGAACAATAACCGCATACGGTGAGAGATAATTGATAAAAAAATAGATCGGTCAATAGCCGGAACTAGTTTCGACATGTCCTAGATTATCATGCTGATATATCTATTTTTAGGTAACAATATTGCAGCTATGAAAACTGCGACAAGTCTTATAACGAAAATTCCATTAGGACCAGTCCGAGCGCCATTAAAACCTTTGCAACAGCAAGAAGTCGACGCTATGGCAGAACAGTTATCGAAAATTGGTTTAATATCAAATTAAATTGTTTTTTGTTAATACTACAACGATTGAGTATTTTTACGGTTTTTATAATTGATTAATTATATAAATATCGGTTGTGTCTAACTATATTATTTAATATTAATGACTTGCACGATTCAACATTTAAATATGTTTATTTTATTAGAATTTTTAAGTCTATACTCCATGGAAAGATGAAAATTTTTTTCAGCTAGGAGGACGAAACTGTCTGGAATCATATTAATAATAGTTATAGTTTTTTACTGTATTAAATAATAATCAAATATACATCTTTACATTTAATATACTATATACTTTGTCGATAATTATTTGTATTTTCTCAGTTTGTGATTCTGATAGCTCGCGCCAAGTGCTTAGACCTTTCATATTTATTTTTATACTTTTAAATAGAATAGAATCTAAAAAAAAGAACATCTATGACGTACTATATATCACTCAGAAAAGAATTTTGAATTGCCTAAGTTTTTCGAATATTCTACAGATAGCTATTTTTGGAGCACCGTTGTTCTGATTACTACGTATCATAATTAAAAACATTTTCATCGTTTATTTCGCATAATTATCTTATCCACTATTCGTATAAGCTTATTTAATATTATTTTATTTTATTGTGTCGCTTGAAGTGTTACATTTGAGTTAGTTCTGTTTTTTGTATACAGATTCATAGTATTTTCTGAGTTAGTTGAATTGTGTGAAAAAATTGATTTTTTAAATAATGAATTGAGTGGTTAGTTTTGTTGAATTCTATTTATAATTGTATTTAAAGATACGTTTAAATATCAGTTCAAATTCTTGCAAAATGGCTTAAAATAATAAGATTATAAATAAGATTAGGCAAATAGAAGATGTAAGCACAAACTATTAACATTTTTTACACAAAGAGCATAACTGTGCGTTAAACAGCAGTTGTGAATGATTTATGGTATTATAAATTAGCTTATGAGTAATTATTCTTTTACTTTGAACATTGCTTCAGAATTAAGTAATTAAATAATTTTTTTTTAACAAGAACAATATTTTCACGAATCCTTCACAAAAATTTATATATTTTTTCAGTGCAAACTGGGGATTCGGATTTCGATCGAGTCTGTTCAAACTGTCGATAATTTGCGTATTTCTATGCACCGTGCTCATCTTTAACGTACAAGCACCAAAGAAAGCAGTATCAACGGAAAAGTTAAAATTAAAAACTCGCTATCCATTCGTAGTGGAGAATGGTGGCAACGATAATTACATTGTCGAGGGTTTGCAGGATCAGTACTGCATTGTTGCTTGCAAAATACGTGGTGTTACTACGGATCATCATAACACTCATATCCGTTGCTTTCAAGCTCCCTAAGATGACGAAATTATTGAAATTTGAAGGACCGCAACAATGAGTTTATGGATACTTGAACAAGTTCGAGTTAATCATTTACTACTGCATATTAGAGATATTAGTTTTGGAAATTTTTTTATGGCTCTCTATAAATACAATCAACAAATTTGAAACTGATGCACTCTGGTCATTATTGATTTTGTCTGATCTATAAATTGATTTATTATTTTTACAATAAAAATGTATACCTTTACTGGATCAATAAACTTAAAAGCTGTGATTAAAAGTTGCATAATGCGTTACAATAATACCACTGTTATTGTATATATTTTTGTCGAACATTTCTAAATATCATATTTTCGTGTCTTGTACATGTACGTTGTCACTTTATTTAAAATAAAAATTCAAACAAAGTACACCTAATTTATCCAGTAACCTAATGCATTTTCGGGATTGCTTAAAACAAATACTTTATTTCCATTCAGAATTTACTGCTTTATACTCTTCTAAAATTATATAGTTTAGATGTGATCCTTATCATGACTTCTATTCAAGTTAAGAAAGTTACATATTCTCACTCGCACACGTATGACTCATCCAACGAACCATTTTTGAAACAGGCTTTGCTTTCACTTTTGCACCGTCTGTGCGTTAGTCGCACACTGTATTCCATGCGTGCCACATCTTATGTTTCCGAAAGTTAAGGTACTTTTATTCTTGTTAACCCTCTGGCAATATTCTTCAAGTTTTTAAGAGAGTCTAATAGGACACTTTATCGCTTGCTGTTTTCAAATTCCTACCGTAGAGCTTTGATGATTTTCCAATATTTTGAAGATTAGAATAATAAATAATAATTATATAATGCAAAAGTTATAATTTTAAATACATACATGAAATTCCGATTAACAAACTAATGTTGCAGTGTTCGGATTATTCATAAACTTTGTTAATTGATAAGTAAAATGCACTGATAATTTAATACTCGGCGATTGTCGCAGCTTGGACTAGCGATAGACGGATCATTACGAGTGAGTATTAAGATTCTTAAAACTCAAGTGTCTTTTCTTGATCAAATAACAAAAGTAATGTTATTGTATTGGAAATATTCATAGGGAGCAGTTGGTGCAACCAAATTTTCAAATTTGAAAATGACAGTCGCGGAGGGAATTGCATTATCCACATTACTTTCGTGCATTCTTGTATGCGCAAATGCGCAAATATCATCGCCGGAGGCAAAAGCGCAAACGACACTACAAATAGACTTTCCGCACAAGCGTTACGCTCTAGCGGCGTCGTTCACGAATCAAATCTACAATGACAAGTCTTACGTGGAGGCCTTCTGTGCGAGCAGCGAGGAAGAGTTCAAGGACAATAAGTGCGACGTCGTGCTCATCAATTTCGACGACAGCAGCGTGACACGTAACAAAACTTGCCAAACTGGATTCCACACCGACCAAGGCATCTTGAAATCACTATTCGTGCATCAGGAGCGAAACGATACAGTCGTGCTACCTTACTTGCACGTGGTCGACGAACACCAAGTCTACTTTAAATTTCGAATGCTTCGCATGTCCCGTTGCGAGTTCAATGACGTTGTCCTGCCAGTTGACTCGCGTATTTTGTACGAACCGACCATCCTACCGCAGATATTGATGTACGACGACGGCTCGTTTGAGCTATTCGTGCCGAATAATAATTCGTGTACTGGCGCAAGGTGTAAACTGACCTATGATAACAAGGGGCGAAAGATTGGCGAGCCGGTAGGCTACCTGTCGACTGATTTGGCCAATCGTGCGGTATATTTCGTACACGCACCGACGGCCAAGACCTACTACGTTTTCGTAGGTGTGCAGTTCCCTTTGAGTTCCAGTGAGCTCGACGACAAAAATTCGCGGCTGTTTTACGTGAACGAAACTTGTTCCGCCCAATTAATAGCGTTTGACTTTAATTATCGACAATTCATCGACGACTCGCATGGTCATTTTGGCTTTTGCTTCAGCTCGTCAAATGACACAAAAGTATTCGTTGTCAATTGCACTCAGTACGAGCAAGACAAACAAATTATCGACGTGTCGTTCGAGCTGATCGATTCACTGCCGATCGCTACTTATAATGTGCCGGGTGGTGGGATTCTATTCGTGAGCAGCAAGTGCGGTACACTGTATTGCGAGAATTTGATTTTTCACGAGATCACTTTGAACGGTAGTATGCAGTATTGTTACACTGACGAGTTCGAGCATCTTAAACCATCGCTTGTCGATGCTTCCGATGAGATTAATAATCGATTGTGCTTGACTCTCTACAGCTCTTGGTCTTCGCTACATTTGACCAAAAAATGTTATCCTAAAACTTTATTGCTGTCTAAAATTTAATTTACAAGTGCGTCACATTTTCTATTGTTTCTAGTTATTAGTTAATAAGTTTGAATAAATGATAACAAAACAATTCATACATTGTTGATTTTTATTAGGTCTGCCGGAAGTACTGCCAAGTTTAAAAAAATCATTGTCGCACAATCGCGATAAAACGACCTTCTTAACAGTTGATTTTCCAAAAAAATTTATTTTCGTAGTTTTTTTTCATTGCATGGTCTAAATTATATTTGGAAAAATTCGGTTCATTTTGAAAAAAAAATAAGCAGGAAAGCAGAAATGATTGGCAAAGTACTATATTGTTTGTATGCTTTCTTTGTAGCTTTAACGTAAGCATTCCGTCTTATTTTATTTAAATTTTAAATATATTTCAGATATTTTATCAATGACCTTTTCTAGTCGACGTAATAACTTTTAAAATCTGTCTGGTAATATGCCTGTGATACGGATGATACTATCTAGCCAGAGTACATTTACCGAAGCATGACGGGTTGTATGACCACAGGTGTTTTCGTTCGCTTGAGAGTACCGAGCTTTTCTGAGAAAACAGTTGGCTGCAATGATTGACATTGATAATACTATACAAATTTTACTTTATTATTTTCCGTCAAGATACAGTACGAGTGAATATTTTATTTCCTCGACATTTCATTATAAGAAAATGTCATCCAGTTTACGAAACTATGTGAATCTAAGTCGTCAAATTCCATAACTTCCTTGAATATTTTGTAACGATAATCCAAGTGCTTTTAATCGTTATTTCATTTCATCTGCAAAGTTTCGTTGAGTTTTTTCTCAGGACAAACTACTTTGAGGCGAAAGACATCGACAACAGCGTGTCTACAGATAATAAAAACGAGCGTGACTTCGGTGTTACAATAATGCTAACATATTACCTAGTATAAATACGCCGTTTAAAAGCTACTTTAATAAATGATATAAAATAAATTAGATTGTAGAAAATGTGCGTGATATTAAAATCGTCAATAAATTTAACAGAAAGTGATAATCTGCAAGTCAAATTCCGACTCCAAATGCTTTTGTTAAAGGAAATATAATTTTATTTTTCTTTAATATGACACTTATAATGTCATACTAGAGAGAAAAATGATATTAATTATTATTAATTTATGATTTTCGTTTGTAAGCCAATTAATTATACTTCAGAACTTCGAACTACTTTATCCTTCACTTTCATCATGAGTTTTGATCAGCAATACTTACGCAAAAAATCTTATTTCATTATTTAATTATTTTCAAAACAAAACTAACATGAAGTATAAATAAGAAATAAAATTGCATTAATTGCACATTTTCTACAATCTAATTTAATTATTACTGTAAATCAATTCAATCGGTCATTTCTTCTGTTTATATATCAACTGAGTGTTAATTTATTCTTTAATAAAGAATAAAAAGGTATAGTTGGTGAATGTCCTATTTTAGTGTACCTCTTAATTTTATCACTCATGTTCATTTAAATATTACATAATGATGATGGACAAACGATAAAAAATATTGTTTTTTTTTACTTGAAATAATCGTCTTCATTCTGTGTAACTTTTGGAGAAAATTTCCACTATTCTTATATGAAATTTCATTTATGATGCTGATATAAATTTCAAAATACGATTCATATTTCTTTCTTAGGAATATGTTTCACTTTTTATTAATTTTAAAAGAAACATGAAAATTAAGTTTCATTTTCCAACTGATTTTTAGGACTGTTAAGAGACACAAAAGGATGTCACAAGCTGATGGGTGACAACTCGCGCGAGGCGAGATTGTCCCGTGCGAAGGCCTTTCAACAGCCGAGCGGCCTTTGACTCGGGCGGCAATCAGGCTCTCGGGCACCCCGTCCCGTTCGCGCGTCAATGGGATATTCGATCGGACGTATATATCTTTCCGTAATCGGTTATATATAAAATAAACAATGGGGAAGCATATGGATATACTCGAGTGCGTTTAATAATACTTATAAAATTTATTGTTTAAAGCTCGAGTACATGAATGAATGATAGAGCGAGAATAGAAAAAGATATAAATAAATATAGGCGCGTGTCCTCCGCCTCGCGTTGTCTATTATTTATAAACAATATGGTACTCACTTATTTTTTTTAAATAGTGTTACTGACGTTCGGTCCTTTATATATTAATATTATTTCCTATTTATATGGTCCTCTCTCCTTTCTGTTTTTAAGAGGATCGTATGGTCCATTATATGTATGTGTATTATAAATATGTGTCCAGTGGATTAATATATTCTCTTCGGTCCTAACAGGGTGAACAAATTTCCTGTATAACGGTTGTGTTTCTTGGGCTTTCTATTAACACTAGAACTCTGCTGACGTAAACTGAACTAAAGCTTTCAATTAACTAAAATAATGATGCCGAATAACAAGGACAAATCAAACTAAATTTATATTTTAGTCGGCGAGATAAACTCTATAATGCGGCCTACTTGCTCTGGCGCTCAGTCCTGACTGACTAATCATGCCCTTGTTGTTTTCACCAGTTTATTGTATATTCTTTGTCCCTCGCATTCCGTCTCTCTCTCGCACATATGCTTTAGACGTTTACACTTCTCGAATCGGCTCGTATTACGTAGCTAAGCACGCTGACTGCAGCATGCTGTCGCAGCATGCTGCAGCAGCGTGAATCAGCTTCTGCCGCTCATTCCCACCGAGCCGCGCACACGAATACTGCTAGCTATAGTGTTTTATTGCTATGTCCGAACGGAACTCTCGAGAGCGAAATCTTAATCGTAAAATATAATTATAACATAATGGAACGTCACGTAATTGGTCAAAATAATTTTAGATTCTACTTGACTTATAGAATAATAAAGTTGTAGAATTACGTGAAATTGCTTCTATATAATACTTTTGAAATTGGTATTTTCAATAATTTATACTTCATATTATAGTTTCATGATTTTATGAGGATTATCGCCATATCTATTCATTATTATTATCTAAGAAGTTTCGTTGTTTGTACTATGTATCTTCTTTTTTTATTCAAAAGGTCATTTAGTTGAATCTTCATTCTACTTATCATAGAAAATTGAGAGCAATACTGCTGATATATGGAGTCTGTGAGTAGAATACTTTTCAGTTGCCTGAAAACGTTTCTGCAGAAACGTAAGTGTCGATTCTCTAACTCGATTTGGCTTACGGGAGTTTGTATCGTTCAGTCACTGTAGCTTTATGCATTTTTTCCTTCAATAAACATTATTTCAAGAGTTTTTTTTTCAAGAGAACTTTTTTAAAACTATGTTTCTGAAAGTTATTGTCATTTATTTAGCATTATTGTGCACATATGTGCTAGGAACATCGGAGTCTTTGCAGTTTGTTGAGAAACTAAATGAGCGTACGACTAATTCATCAACATTTTGGTTTTTATACCGTTTATATACAGTGAAAAAGAATGACAGCCATATTGAGATCAGTAAGACGAACGAGAATTATGAAAAGGCCGAAATTCAGTGTACTGCAAAATTATATCCTGTTAAAGACCAAATAGCCGGGCGAATAAGAGTTGTACCCGGAGTTTACACGTTGCTCGTGTATGGCGTTGTAGACACTAAAGTTGTGGATCAAACGCGAAAAACTTATTATAAGGCATTGGTCATCGATCACATTAATTGCACCTACAACACTATCTCGTTGCCTTTGCAAGAGGTGCCGGTAGATTACCAAATTTTGCCGCCATTGGTACAAAACAACCTCTACGACTTCGATTTTTTCTATCCTAATAAGGAGTGCTCTCCATGTCAAATATTCGAAAATGCTGGTTATATCATGCCGAAACATCAGCTTAAACTTGATACCGAAAAACCGTCCAAAGCCATGCTATTGAAAAAAGCTCGATGGCCAAAAAAAAGTCCCTACGGTTATTTCTATGCTTACAATTTTGCTAACAAAACAGCTGTTATTAGATTTTTATCCAAAGAATATGAAATAATCAAGGAAAAGTTTGTTGGTCATCCGATCGATGCTGCCGATGCTTCTTATGTGAGTGCTTTGAACGTCTATTTCTCCGTTGCTTATAATTTTATACAATTGAAAATACTTGCGTGCTATGCATGTTGCTTTTAATGAAAATAGTATTTTGAAAATTATCAACGAAATTTTGATAAACTCCATTGACATTACAGTCACCTACAGACGACAGAACTTACATTGTCTTCTGCTACGGAAACGGGACTCAGGAAGTCTACTGCAGCCAGTACGACGATGACCTGATGATTCGCTTGGCTTATGCCATTCCTCTAGATGCTGAAACATATATTTCAGGAGTGACTGTCAAGGTCGATAAGCGAGGTCACTCGATGATTGCATTAGTGCGGTCGCCACTCAAGCAAAGAGATAAAACACATCGAGTGAGCTCTTTCATCTATGATAGCGAGGCTAAACTTAGAGCCGGTTCGTATGTTGCTGAGTTGGACTGCGAGTATCGACATTTTGATTTGGCTAGCTGGTTCTATGATTATGGGCGCAGACAAGAGTACTGCATTCACATCGCTGGAAGAAAAACTATTGAAAGCACGGATGCTCATGATATCGTCAAATGCCTTTTTTGGAACGAAGTGCATGAAATTCTGTATTGACGTAACTTTCATAACTAAATTTGATGTTTGTGCTATATCACAAAATAATTGTCAATTTGAAAACAATTCTGAGATATTGTAATTTTTTTGTTAATCAAAACTAACGCTTTGGTGAAATAAATCCGTGGAGCTCATTATGGAAATCGCGTTCGCCATTTACATATTAACTCTTTCAAATAGAGTGGCAATTTTATCCATTTTATATTTATAACTACTTTGTATTATACTATGACTGTGAAGTAAGTTTATCATATACGAGCAATCCCATGAGAAAAATGTCTTAATCAGAGTAAGTTTCTCCGACCATTAATTAACTAGCGTTTCCATCAAATGTTCACAGATTTGTGACGTTGATTTAGAATAGATAAAGAATAGTTAGTGATTTGGACGATAAAATGTAAAATTGTTAAGCATTAAAGGAAATTACAATATTTCGTGCTTTCTATATTTAAAATGCATTTTAGCTAATAAAATCTACTTTTTTTGTCCAAATGATTTTTACATTCAATATAACAAAGAAAAATCTAGTTTACCCAAAAATATCAATTAATGTACATTATTGACATTTAAAATAATTTGAAATTGGAAACCGATGACGTTTTTGCGTGACAGTTAAATACTTAAACATTGTTTGTTGCTTGTAAGTACACTGTGTAAGAATTATCGTAAAGGAATTAAGAAGAAAAAGAAAGTAAATGTCAAGGGCATTTTTACTCGTGTAGTGTTGCGGGAAGTCCGGCAAATTAAAAGTTAAGAACAAGGCTACAAGCGTCACTATGCTTGCATCAGCTGTTTCTTGGAAAGACTCGTTATATTTATTTAAGCTTCCATTAGTATAGATTCACTCAGTGATTTGTGTGAGACTAATATCACCAGTGTCACTACCAATAAAATATTTATCAACAAATACCGTATAACTTTCGAGAAAAAGGTTAATTTTTAAGTGATTTACATGCCACCTCTCTATTCCAATGTCACATGATATTGCTACACTATCTTCTCATTTGTCGAAGTTTTCGTAACGCAATTGAAAGCATAAATCGATTTGATGGAAAATAAATGTGTCGCTTGCGCAAGCGATTAAGTATAAAAATGACACGAGATATATGAAAGTTTGAGTCTACTAAAGAAAAGAAAAGATGTGAAAGTCGTGGAACGCACGGTGAGAATGCAATGCGTCGCGGAAGGCATAATTTTCGGGGGCCATAATCGGATGAAAGTGAACTAGACGCGTATAGTTGAGCCATCGTCAAGGTTGTGTGTTGTGCAGCAAGACCTACTTTCTACGACTTCTGGGGTGAGCCGGGCTTTCGATATCGCTTTTACTTATACTTAGCCCTCGGCGCACGCTCGATTCACTGATCAACTTTTAAAGCCGAGACAATATGCTGCCAGCTATAAACTCTTCTTCCTCCCTTCGCTCTCTAGCTGCTCGCTTGTTAGCAGTCTTTACCTTCGGCTTATTCTACTTTATTAGACTTGAATTTTCAACTGCGCTCGATGCCAGACCTCCGCGTCTTTATTAATTTTACAAATATTCTCTCCTTTATTTTTATTTCATCTCTTCGTCGATACAACCTTTTCTGCGTTTTGAGATTTTATTTCAAGAAAACTTACATTTTGGAGTGTTCCCATTTAATCGCCCTGGCATCAGGTGTTGAAGCGACGAGTAAAGTCGCACGAATCTTTTGAGACCATTCAGAAAGCTTTCACAGAAATGCACTGTTACTGTTCCATTACATTTAAAAATTTATCTCAAGTAAAAGACCAATTCTCCTGACGTGCAAAACATTAGTTTGTGTTTTAATACGTATATATGTATATAGTTGTATAGAGTATGTGCGTATGCATGGGAAAAATAAAGGTATTTATCAAATTATCTTTTTAAATAGTCCACAATTAAATATTTCAGCTGCTATTAATATATAAAATGGTGATGATTTATTGCTCTTGCCAACTTTATGTTTTTGACTTTCATAAAATGTTGCATCGTTAGATGTTATTAAAAAACGCTATGTGTTTATTTCCAACGTAAATCAGTAAATTGTGATTTTATGTTATGCTCCTTTTTTTCTGGATTTATTACAAATTCACTATAAATCGTAAATTTGCATTTACTGTCTTTCTACTTTGAAATAATATTGAAAATAACCAGGTACTGGACCTATTGATCAATTCCATCGAATTATTCTATTCAAACTATGAAATATATAAACTGCTCAGAGTTTTTTCCATTACATTTTCTGAATAATGTTTTTTATTACTATGTGCATTATTTTACAATTATTCGTTGTCTATAATAATGCAATGTCTGTATTTACACAAACAGCAAATACTCTTTAATAAACATGTATCAATTAATCAGATCACAATAAAAATCTAATAGTATAACAATAACTTTGTGTATATTCACTTATTTCGTCATCGTAATACCGATGCATCCGAAATAGGGAGTTGGAAAATTCCTATGTACAATGGACAAATTGAGCATCTACAATATAAAAGAACATTTGATAAAACTGATAAATTACAATCAAGTCCTCACTACAGCGTAATACATTCCTAACTCACATTAGTCACTTAACGAAAATTGACATTGTTGTAGGCTTTTCTTGCTGTCAAACGTGACCTTCCTCAACTTTAGTCTTGTCTCTTATTTCGTCCTGAGGTATACCCTGATATTCAGCAGCCTTTTTGGCGTCTTGTCGCCTATGTTCATCCTTTGTCATTATTGTCAAAATTAGTCCGAGAAGAAGAACCCCGCAAAATATCACATGCACCAGCACGTCACCATAGCATTCGAGCACTTTTTCCAGAACAAGGATGAGAATCACACCGTAAATATTGTTCGTAATGTTGAGAAGACCACCAGGTATCGCTTCTGACTCGGGATATGTGTATTCCGCCGCCATCTCGTAACCGAGGGCTAGATATCCCGACATGAAGAAACTGCAACAATTTTCACAATTCGAATATTTATTTTGTGCGTTTGATACATTAATTACTATTTCCAAACGATATTCAAAATCTGCTTGTCATATTTTAGTTTATCTCACTAACCGAAAACAAATCTATTACTTTGCTTTGGATTTTGCATTACCAGTGTTCTTTATTTAAGAAATAAACTAAACTTATTAAAAAAAAGTATTATTTTAAGTGCCGATGTGTTATTAAAATTAGTAAAAGTTATCCTTTTTTAAGAATACACTTTAACGTTTCTCATATTAATAACTGTTTTATTTTGTTCTTTCGATAGTTGTCATTACTCTGATAAACCTGCGTTAGATAAGATATATTGTTTGCATTTATTGTATTACCCAAGAAATATAGACGATGCATAAACCATCCATTCGACTTCCATAAATATGGCCACAGCAAAAAATATTTGGCCGAGAAAAGTTAAAAAGTAAACGATAACAGTCGTTAATCTGTAAAGAAGATAGAAAATATTACTCAATTAATAGTATGTATTTATCGATTCGTTTAATAGTATACGATTCGAACTTGAATTTATGAGTTTTATCGAGAATAATGCCAAATGTTATGGATCCAAACATGCCCGTAAGAGTAAGAAGCAGACCAATTCTTCCAGCACTTTGTTCGCCATTCTAATCAAATTAAAATCATATAAAAAGAACATTCTGCAGCGAAATACGTAAAGGCCTGTCTCGTTAACTTACTTTGAAATGTATAAGAAAAAGCTGATTGAGCATGGTACTGATAGCATTAAACGTGCCAACATTCAAGCCGTACGAATTGCAAAGTATGAGAAAACTTTTGTTGGTGAAAAGACGCTTCATTGACTCAATAAACTCTTCATTTGTCTGACTATGTTTAGTTTTCTGCAGAGCACGTGTCTCGTTGGGCGGTAGTTTTGGTTCTTCCTGGAAAACTATTTTCGATCGTTTATTTGACGATGAAAAATAATTTTTATTGAGTTGCAGAAGCTCAGAATTCATATTTCAAGACATTTATTGTCCCGAGCAACAACAATTGTAACTACCTACACAGAGTGCAGAGGATCAAGTTGATAGTAGCAGCGATAGCGAGGCTCATGGATAAGACAGAAAGATCAGATCCAATGTCATCCTTGTTGTCGTGATTTTTAACGATAACGGGTCCTAATAAGAACGACGCAGAAATGCCTAGTTGTGATCCGAAGATTCCCACAGATGTTGCCGTTGATATTTCATCTGAACCAAACCATTTTGCTCCTACTCGACCGGGCAGTGGTAGCATTATTGTCTAAAATGACGGTGAGAATTATGTTACAGTACAATAATTTTCCGAAAATTGTATTTTTATTAATCTAGATTCAGTCTAACATACACCAACCATATACGCTTTCTTATAGCACCATAAGTAAGTCTCATTTTGTAATTATTTTAAGGGCTTAACCTGAGGTACACGTATAATAATGAATCAGCTAGACATCAAGGTAAGTATAATACCAGAGAAATAGCTGCAACGGCTTGGCCAACGAGAGTCAAGTAGAATCTGTCCGGCGAGACTGACAGGGTCTTGATCCATGACCCCAAGCAGCATAGTGCACTACCAAGCACGATCGACCATCTCAGTCCAATTTTTTCCGACAAGTAAGTCACCGGGAATATGAATATCGCGTAGAGCAGCATGAAAATCATGGATGTGCAGTCGACCAGGAACATCGATACGTCGTAATACCTAGTTCATCAAGAATCATGATTCATTCGATTGTGTGTCGAATTTGATAAAGCGAAGCCACGATATTACGCTCGCGCGGAAAAGTTTCTCGCGTTGCATTTAGCGGAGATGCGCGGCTTTAAGATGCAAACAATTTTACTCTTGTGAATCGTAAAATTGATCAGCGGCATAATTTATTTCAGGCTTATCAATCAAACAGAATAAGCCCTAAGTCTTTTTATCGCGCCAAGCTTACGTTCAATGATAGCTCAAGTGTAACCTAGATATCAGCGTCAATGGTCCCACTGACACGTACTATTATAATATATACACTTTTTGGTTTTTTTACATTGCGGGATGCAGTGAGGCAAGTGAAATCAAACGAAGTTGGAAAAGTCATGCGAGAAAATCAGTGAAATTTAAAAGACTTACTTAGCTATGATGTTGGAAACAATGGAATACTGAATCCATTGGCTGCAGACAAGACCCGCGTAGAACATGTAAAGGCCAAGCATGAGCCATCTTCTCTTGTAAACTTTAATCTGGAGTACGGACTGTTGTGGTTGCGATTGCTGCAGCTGCACTTGACTTTTCTCTTCGGTGCAGATCCTTGCCAATTCGCTCGTCATCGCGCTCCCACACGTCTGATTACTACGCGCACAAATTTACTTCTGCATGATAGACATCGAAAAACAAGCGCGGCGTTTCTGTTTGACCGCGAATTTGCTTATCAGCGTGACGAAAATTTCACTACACGCGTCTTCTCTCTTTCTCGTTTTCTCTATGTATGTGCTGCAGGATAATGTCGCTATCGCTACGTTTTTTTTAACAAAGACGCACGTGTATAAAATTAGCAGATGGCTCAGTTTTCAAATTTAGAAGCCTATCTTGATCAACAGCAAAGTATTCTTCTGCGCAGTGATCAAAGTGTGTACTCGCGTCAATGAATTTAGCGATGACAGTCCCGTCTGGTGTCTATAGAATCGAACAATTATTTGAATATTTATGAAGTTTGATTTTGCATTTGATCAACATATCCATGCCAAATAAGTTCAAGATATAGGGCTTACGGCAGCATCGGGAGATTGGGATGCATGGATTTTATGAAAATGATGCATCCATTAATAGCCGATCGTCGTGCTATTTTTTCCCGCAACTTTTCCTCGATGTCGATTCGCTTATTTTCACAAATCTTAAAATGTTTGCACGAATGACTAAACCAGTTACTCGTAATCGCGGTTCTCAAATAACTCGTATGGATAGATAAGACGAAAAAATCGTGAAACATCGTCGACCTGCTGTAATCATAGTCGCAATCCATGATAAATACTATTTATAAATTACTTATAATAATCATTGTGCAAAATATCCTGGCTAATCTCATTCAATTTGTATCATACTGTGGTTATAGAAATGGCTATGACGGAAGAATAAAGCAAAAACGAAAAACTCGATTAAGAAACGAACATCTTTTTATATATTATTATAACTATAAAATACATAAATGTTACTATTCTATACTCATCTATACGCGATATTTTTTTAATTATAGAAATAAAATAAAATTCTCAGTAGTCGGATTACTCATTAACGATTTCATCGTTCGTCAATAGTTGTACGCTCATTGTGTTTTTCGCATACCTATGAATCAACAGTTTACTTACCTATCGAATTATCGATTGCGACGGACTCATTCATTTTCTAATCCAATAAAAAATGAACTATTCACTTGACCGTGTGCAAATGAAGTCCGAAATCAAGCTCCAAAGTCCGGGCTCGAAAGTAAAAAAAACTGTTTGCAGACTTTCGGCGAATCAATCAACAAGTAGCCACCCGGGGGCGAACAGTCGAGACAAGAAAAAAAATAGATCTGATCTTCCCCTCCTCATTAGTACACGCGGCACGACAAACAGCAGCCTCCGACTGGCAGTGATTTTCCAAGCGCAGGACATTGCGCATCGAGGGGAAGCTGACAAAGCGTCGCGAGGGGTTGCTTGTCTTGAACGCCAGTCGAGCGACGAGCGTCGAACAGGGTGCTCGTGCTCTCTCTCTCTCTCTCTCACACACACACTTATTTTATAATAATTATCAAACGGTAAGGCTTGGGCTTGTGGGCTTCTATAATTTGATAGATACGTTTTGTCGTTAAGTCAATCGAGTGATTATTTGAGTGTCTGCATGATGGTTTCTTGAAGCAGCGAAATAAATAGGAAGAATTTGCATTATTTCTCGCACAATTTAAGTGAATTACTATCGTATTTCACAGTAGCAAATGGAAATCATATGTTCATTTATCAATATCGGTTTTGGAGTTTAATATTTGCTTGCGAAGAAAAATGTTAGGTTTAATTGCTATCTGTACAAAGCAATAGTCAAGCGTTACGCTTTTATATCATCTATTGGGAGCTATATGTACATAATTAAGTTACTTGGTATTGATTTTAGATTTTAAAGTTTACGTCTACAAGTAAGACTTGAATTTGCAAAAGTTTTAGGTCGCGTAACGTTAGTAAATATTTTTTAACTTTACATTAACAATGCAATTACCAGTGCTTTTTTATTTACATAACACTTGTGTTATAATACATATAAATACATCTGATTGGTCTGCTTACCAATAAATTTATTCTTAATATCTGTTGTTAAAATTTTACTTTTATTTGACTCTGGCAACTAGTAATTCTGTAACCATAGTCGCTGTAACTATAAAATATTAAAACTTAATTATAAAGATTTTAATAGCCTAGAGATAATAAGATGATATAAGGGAAAGTAAATAAAGCATTTGAAATTGTTAAAAGCTAAATAATAAAATAGCTAAAATTTTAGAAGCCGAAAAGCAACTATGAAGTTTACACGAGAACATTGCAAGAACCAAACTCAGAAAATTCAGCGCTGACCAAACCGTAACCGGATAATATCAAACAAACAATAGAGAAAATTGAAAAGAGAAAAGATGGTGATAAAAAAAGTGTGAGAGTAAACGATGGCGGACAAGTTGCACGAGTACGAGGGTTTGTCGGGTCGGGTTCACGGGATTCGCGACAAGGCCCGCGAGAAGTGGGATGAGTGGAAGGAGTTCAAGAGCGCGATACCTACCGACCGAGGCCTCGAAGGAGTGATAAGCCACCTCCGAGGACCACCCAAGCTCGAACGCACCCTCGACGACTATGCACACCTTTACAGGTAATCAACCTTCGCGACTTTTAGATAAGAACTAACGCGTAAGTGTTAGGTCTTGCTCTCTTTTTCCAAAACCGGCCTCTCTTTCTCTCTCTACATTACGTAAGCTGCAACTGCATAGCTAAGCGCGATAGCTTTACTATTATATCACTGTTCTATTGCAGCAATCCTATTGAGATGTCTTTACTTGCCAGAAGTGACAATCGCATTATATAGCTTTCTGACACTCGCGCAGTTCGCATTTAACAACGCCGTTTGGTCTATATTTCAGTCTTGCTGCGGTAAATGTTAACGTTACTTTTCAAACGAGTACATCATTTGAAAATTAAACGTAAGCACGTACATTGAAAAAATTACCTTCGCCGATGTTTTTTCATGCGATTTTAATTTGCCAGTAACGAAACCACGTTATGCTAAATTAGCACTGAAAGCTAAAAGCTACTGAATTTTTTCTAAAACTACAATATTACGTTAGTTGTCAAGTTCAATGTCAAGTAAATAGATGATTAGCAGCGCTAAAAGATATAGTATAGCAGCGAACTCATTGATAAAACGTTTTTTTGTTCTTCGAGCGATTCTACTAATCACTCGAGATACGGCAGTTTACAACGATAGTGGCGCAGTGAAATAGTTTATCTGCGCGCCTGTCTATTTTTTCTACCTACTTTACGTAATTGCAACAACATTTTTACTAACGTGTCCATATTTTTGGTAGTGACAGTAGAATATCGAATTAAAAAGCTGCTCAGTAATGTAAAACTTTGCTCTATATTCGGAATAAAGTGGGATTCGTGATATTACAATATGGCGCTGAGGTATTATTGGCATGCTACATACGAGTTGCGAAATATAATAGATAGCACTATGGTGTGGATATATGTGTATTCTGAACAACTTATTGATCGCTAAAGTCATCTGAGACGTTTCCGATCTATTCGCAGCTGTTGCCATGTAGGACATGTCAGCTCGATGCCAACGACTGAATGTATATTTATTTGAAAAGAAAAAGCAAATTTTGCGGACGAGCTGAGGGCAGCACTGCGAACGGATAATCCGAAGGGAGATGTAATAAATTTACCATGACTGGACGTGGCTGTGTATACGCAGGAGGAAGACGCGATGGGAGTTGGTGCGAGTGTCAGCTGCGGTGATGGGTATCGAGTTCTCGTATGCCGCAGAGACGGCCTTCGTCTCGCCGACGCTACTGAAGATCGGCGTTGATCACCAGCACATGACATTGGTCTGGGCGCTGAGCCCGTTGATGGGCTTCTTCGTGACCCCGATACTTGGCAGTGTTAGCGATCGCTGCCGGCTCAAGCAGGGACGTCGCAGGCCCTTCATACTACTTCTCGCTATCGGAGTGTTCATCGGTACGTGTGTGCGCTCACAAAGCGGATTTCTTCGTCGACTCCTCCTTTCATGTGCGATTTTGTCGATCGGAGCCACTGATCGCCACTCCGCGCTAAGTACCAAACCAGCTTACAGCGCTTTCACGTTACGCTCGTCTGTTCGAAGGATTGATTCTGGTGCCGAATGGCGAGTCGATGGGTTACGCCTTCGGCGACACTCGTTCCAATTTCACAGCAGTACTCGGTCATCGGACAACAGCCAAAGTCGCCACGACCAGTAGCTTGCCGCCGCCGTCGCCACCGAGCTCGCATCCCTGGGGCATATTTTTCACCATTCTCGGTACAGTGTTGCTTGACTTTGACGCCGATGCTTGCCAGAGCCCATCCCGAGCTTATCTACTTGACGTTACCCTGCCAGGTATGTGCTAACAGTCTCTTTCGGCGAGTACGCCTCACTCGCGCCATAAGTATGCGTGTGTCCAGCATATGCTAATGAGCCTAAGATTTTATGGCGTTGCGTGATCGCGATCAAGTCGTCGACGTAAAAATGACGCTGTGGTGTACGTTGTTCACTGTTCATTTTAATCATATTGTAAAAAAGGTTGTTTTTGCAGTTAGTCGAAAGCATGACCATCGGGATATTGCGCGAATGTCAACACCTTATTGAGCCAATGAAAAAAATAATTAGAAATTGATTACTTATCGACGGAGTATATCCTTGCCTACATAGTGCGATTAATGATAAAGCTCATGCGATTTTGCGTTATAAATGATTATTGCCTTTTCGAAATAACTTGTTGAATTTTCATATGTTAATTTGATATAACTCCGACGTTGAAATACGCCGAGTACGATATACGAGTAGTACAAAAAGAAAGTTAGACGGAAACAAATTATTACGATTTCAATTAATTATTTATTTTTATTTTTATGGCTCATTGACCGTTGAATAATTGAAAGAGTTTGTAAAAACTAGTTATCCTCATAATAAGCTTGGTCAATGAAATTTAATTCTTCCTCGCTTTGCTCTTCTTCTTGAGTGGGTCTAGTAGTTTCTGGTAGCGATGGAGGTAGTGTTGTTGGTATTGTTGATGGAGGTGGTGGAGTAGGCTTTGGTGGACGAACTCCTCTAACCTCTACCGTAAAGTTGAGCCCTTGGTTTCGAGGTGCCTTGAAGTACAAAATAACTGCAGGGTGGCCAAGTCCACCGACCAGTACGGAAGCGCTGGCATTGCTGGTGATATTGTGGTCGATGGCCCGAATACTCGTGATATTTGAACCGTCACCGAAGGCAACCATGGCCACTTGTTTAAATGGCCTGGGCTTTCGAATCACAGTTGCGTTCTTAATAGAATGATCATTGGGTACTGGACCACCGAGGTTCAAGTCCCCTGCGAGAACGAAGGTTACCGCTATCGTAGCGAACAAAGCAATGACAAGAGTCTGTGCCATTGTTACTTCCTGAAACAAATTCGTTGGTGATTTTAAATTTTACTTGTGATTTTGCAATTTTATTTTACTATTCAAAATGTTTTTCAATAGCTCGTAGTTGAGATATCAAGAATCGCTGTTTAACTTGTTTCTTTCAGTTGCAATGGATCTCATTTTTGATCATTTCACGACATGAGATTTTTCAAATACTGCAGTCTAACAGTTGTCTATACTCAGATTTTACTCCAATGATCTTACTTTTAAAATTACTTGAATCTATAACTAGAAAAAACCAAATTGAGTTCAAATCTAAATATGGAATATAGATTCTGATACATTGTGTAAGGTACTTTAATTAAATCAAGTTATAATGTATTGCCATCAACCTTATTATTATCAAAAAATAAGTTTCAGTTTTTAATTTATGAAAATCACACTTTTGTAATTCATCAACGGTATTTTTATTTCATTAAAAAATTATAGTCAATACTTCACTACGTAGACATTGACTAATAATATAATTTCAAAATAGTTTTTTATTTATTAAGCAATATACAAGTCACCTATTCAGTATCTTATTCAATAAAAATAAATTAACCAATTTCGATAACGTGATCTGACTTGTATTTATTAAAAATAATTTGTAATAAAATTAAACAGAAATCTTAAGTTATTTTAAAACGTACTTGAATCAGTAATAGTAAAAAGCAGTTATTAATTCATACCTCTGGATACGAATGCAATGAAAATTATTACACGACACCTCCAACTGCCTTTGCTATCCTATGCTATTGCTTTTATACCAAATGATTTCTTATCAAAATATCGTAGATCTGATGGCGATTCAGTTATTTTTGAGCTCTGATTCATCCAATGATAATGTCGATGTTGATTCTAGTAATTACGATGGTACGATATTTTACTTAGAATAAAACCTTATATACAAAAAGATTATACTACGGTGAATAACAGATACAGCAATTTATGTAGAAATGCATAAGCTGCGATAAAAACAAATTCTGTTATAAAGAAATACTTAAATTAGTTCACATTATCAATGCAATCAGTAGCTGCATTTATCTTTTTTTGTCAGTAGGTGTTACGGTCACAGAAAATTAAATAGCAATTTTAACTTTCCTTTTTCAATTATTAAATTTTCTATGACTAATTCCCTGACAAAAGTGCGTTGACTCGTTACTGTTTTGTAGAAATTTTCTAGTTAAAAGTACACTCTTAATTTTATAATTAATAGTACTATAAGATATCAAAAGAATTATAACACTCAAGTCCACTCCCTACTTTCTACCTAACTTCCTTGCCCTTGGGATGTTGAAATCAGCTGAAAACTGATATTATTAAAAATGATAACATTATACGTCATGTTTTTTCTACATTTCGGCGTTTATAAAAAACGAAAAGTTATATCAAAACAAAAGTAAATTAAAATATAGTTTTAAAAGTATTTTTTGACGTAGAATCTGACTTGGAGCTCTCATCAAATTTTGTTTTTCATGAAATCTCAAAATATGATGAACAACTGTCTTCTTATTTGTTAGTTTTAGTTATTTTATGAACATAAAAACGGGTGTCGCAAACTTCGGCGTTGATTACATTTCTGATTTAAGATAGTATAATAATATGAAAAAATTGAAAGCGTACCAAATAGAAAATTTCTGTAAACTATGAGGCTTGTTCAGTAATACTACTCTACATTACTTTAAAACATGAAGTGTTGGAAAAAAATGTTAGTTTTTATTTTTAATCTCTACTATAGAAAGATTAGATTTTTCATTGAGAGTTGGACCCCAAAATTAAACCCCTAAATCATGAATACAATATTGTTTTACTTGTGTCAATAAATTTTCACTCAATACTTTTATCAAATAAGTATTATAATTAACCTGCGTAATGTATATTTTCAGCTCTCTGTGACATAGTAGTAGATTGATTAAAATTCTTATTTGTGAAGACAATGAAAGGCACAAATATTTAAGGAATATACATATATTTCTTTTTATTCGATAGTAATAAGAAAGTTGAATATATGTAATTAAAAGAGCTGAACTTCAAACTCATAAATATCTTCGTATTAATCTTCATCGGAAGGTAGTGGTGGTGGTGGTGGTGATGATGAATGATGGCCCGCTGGTGGTCCATGATGAGGTGGTGATGGTTTCGGTGGCGTCGGTGGTGGTTTCACACCGCGTGCGATGATCGTAAAGTTGAGACTTTGTTGAGGTGGTGATCGTAAGAACACAACAGCGAGTCGATGGCCAACACCACCAAGAGTAATTGAAGCGGTTTGATTATTCAGCACGTTACGGTCGGTGATGTTGATACTCGAGATGTTGTGGCGATCGACGATCGGGATGATTAATTTTTGAGCACGTTTAGTTGGCCCGTGGTTGATTGTTATGTTGCGAATTACGTAATCGTTTGGCAAGCGACTGCCCAACACAAGGTCGTTGCCCAAAACTACGCTTGTACTGGCGATCGTAAAAGTCACAAACACAAGCACTCGAACGAATGTCATTTTCAATAATACTGAAAATTAATGATTTATTCATTGTGTTAGTGTTTGTATAAAGAAATTAGCAATGAAATTTTTCAATGTCATTGATCATTAAAGCGTTCAACCTATGAATTTCGAAATAAACATGTCCGTTTGATAATTAAAAATAATTAAAAAAAGATATTCAGCGCTGGCAAGAAAGAACAAATAATATGGATGGTGACATTAACTAAGATACTAACTTGTTTCTACAGTCCGCAAAATTGTATTCACTTGTAACTATGATATTCTCATCCGAGTATGTGCTTTTATAGTGCAATTATTTATTCTTATCAATAAGCTTCTAGTAAATCTTATATTTATCATTTTCCGTTGATGCAAAGTTTTTTAATGATAGTGAAAATTGCTCGATTTCTTTGTACTAAATATTAGATGTCACACAATAATATACATACTTGTTGAAAAGAGAAAAGACATCATTGAGCTATAGCTAAGTAATACCCAATAGTGTAAAAGAGACGTACAAAATGTATGCGAGTCTCGATGTTTAAAATCTCACGAATAATTATTAACATAAACATACAATCCTTTATTATGTATATATATTTTAAGATAAAAATAAATAACTAGTCTTTAACATTAACTGTTGTTTTAATATTTCTAGAGGATCACGCCAGAGGTCTAAGCACATTCACAATAATGGCAGGCTTGGGAGGTTTCATGGGTTACGGTTTGGGTGGCATCAATTGGGACGCCACTGCTATCGGCATAGCATTAGGTGGCCACCTGCATGCTGTTTTTACTCTCATCACCATCATCTTTGTCTTTTGTGTCGCCAGTACACTCACCAGCTTCAAAGAGATACCACTTGACTTCTTAGAAAGCGACGCGTGTAGACAGCAATTGCAGCAAAAGGTTATTTAACGATTTATTTATTGCTGTGGTTGGAAATTAATTACAATGTTTATGTTCCTAAATACTTTCTTCGTGAAATCTGATTTGTTGCAGTTTCTACGTATTAATGTGACTACTAAAATAATATATTCTTTATATAAAACGCATTTCATGCAGCTTGGTGTAATAAAGCGCATAAAGAGATTAGACAAGTGTAGATTATTCCAGTTGTCTATATTTCAAATGTAATAACGCTTTTAAATGTCAATCTTCAGTTGGAGGACGAGCGGCGGGAGAATGAAAAGGAAAAAATCGCTGGCGACGATTCCCATTCTTACGGAACACTCGGAAATGAATCGGAAATTAACAGTGACCAAGTTGAGGTGAGCTAATTGAATATTCTATCAAGTGGTATGCGATTTGAAAATAAAATGTTTTCTGGTGCTTTCTGGAATCGAAAGTGGTTAATCGCCTCGTTTAGTCTTTTTATCAGCGTAATAAAAATACTAATAATACTTTACTTTCTCAGAATAACAGTTGCATTATAAGCTTATCAATCATTATTGATTTGTCGATAAATTTCCATTTCTCGAAATTCATGCGATTCAAGAAAAATCTTTTCGCTCGGTGTATTAAACCTAATGATCTACAATACAGACTTAGTTATAATTTTGAAAGATTTGTAATATATTTTTCTAAGAATCAAAATTTAACGTAATAATTCAATCATTTATATATTTTTACGGATTCTTTTGGCAGTGATATCACGTAAAAGAAATTGAAATGTTGATTTTTGTTGCTGCTCCTAGGAAATTCCAATGAAGCCTATGCCGGAGGAAACGATTCGCAAACCTGGCGGAGTGCCATTGATCCCAGATGTGCAGCCAACTATCGAGGATGGCTACGCATCTTTGAATGCCGAAGGGGCAGCCAATCCAAAAGCGACGATTCGCGAATATCTGACTTCTATAATTTACATGCCGCACAGTATGAGAATGGTGTGCCTAACTAATTTGTTTTGCTGGATGGCACACGTGTGTTATTCGCTTTATTTCACGGATTTCGTCGGTGAAGCGGTCTACGACGGCGATCCTAAGGTGCTGTTCACAAATCATAATTTTTATAAGTAGTACAATGAGAAATTGAAAATTGTTAAAGAAACAGTTTTGATGATTACCAATGTCTACTTTGCCAATAACATGAAACAACTCATTTTGATATATAAAATTAATTATGTTTGTAGGCTCCCGAAGGATCGATAAAGCGTGAATTATACGAATCTGGGGTGAGATTTGGTTGCTGGGGAATGTCCATGTACTCGTTGTCCTGCGCCTGCTATTCCTTGGTTATCGAGAAGCTTATTGAACGATACAAGTACGATCGATTTCGTTGTTTGAATTAGCACTAATCTGAGAATAATTATTGGTGATTTTTTGCAGGGCAAGGAAAGTTTACATTTGCGGCCTATTGTTTTACAGCTGCGGTATGATGTTGATGGCTTTGACGAGACACCCGGCTAGTGTCATTATATTCTCATGGACTGCTGGTGTCATGTATTCGACGCTCTTCACTATGCCGTATTTGTTGATCGCACATTATCATGCTTCCGGCACAGTAAGTCCAAAAACATTTCGTTCCGATTCCCTAACAAAATTTGGTGAGATATTCTTTAGATTCGGTCACGATAGTGACTTACGTGATCGTTTCCCACTGATGCAAATGAAAAAGGCGATACGTTATCTACGCTATCAGTGGTCGATTACGACAGATAGTACGGTCACTATATCTTTATTGACTAATCTAAAAGTGCTCGTAAAGCCTTTCTTTGTGTTTTGCTGAAAAATCATGTCGCATGAGATAAGTACGTATTTTTGCCTTAACTCTGGAGTTTGATGTAATCAAGTTTGTAAATAAAAATAAATTGATGATTAATACGACATCGATCGTTGAATTCTTTACTATTTTGTCTAATTTTCAACGTAATTTACTATTTTAACTAATAAATCATTTAACTAATAAACATTACGAAAGCATTTTTACGAAATTTCGCAAGGTTTCATGAACAATTTTCTTATAATTTTTAGAATGATTGTTATACTTATGTAAATATCTATCACATTGAGCTACTCATATCGTCGCAAAAATATGAAAAAAAGGAACCATTAATAATTTATGTTCATCGTTCATAACATTTACAAGAAAATCAACGAACAATAACAATTAATGTTCGTAGTTCGAAGTGACAGCCGAAGGAGAAGCCATTCACGCGGAAGGTGTTCGTGGCCTTGGAACAGACGTCGCTATTGTTTCGTCAATGGTGTTCCTCGCGCAGTTTATGCTATCCTGTTGCCTCGGCACTATCGTCCGTATCGTAGGCTCTACTACTGCAGTCGTATGCGTCGCCAGTACACTTGCCGCTTGCGGCGCTCTTTCCGCCACTCAGATCATGTATCTTGATCTGTAATTACCATGACAATGTAAATGTACTTTTGACAATAAGATTGAACTTTCAATGTAACTCTGTAAATTTCATTTGAACTTATCGGTCAGACGATTCGCGAAAATCCTATTGCATTTGCAGAAATAACATTTTCGTATGATGGCACGTCCGAATTTCCGGTATAATTTTGCTACACATCATTGTCAATAATTTTTATTGAGTTCTGTGTATGAAAGCAATTGTCCAGCATTGCAAAAAATATGAAATGTTCATCAAAAAGCGTATATTATAAATAGAATAATTTTCTCACGATAAAAAATTTTCAGAATTTGGAATAAATTTGTATCGCAATATTTATATCACGACAAAAAATAAAATTTTGAATTTGGAAGAAATTTATATCGCACACGATAAAACCAAATCAATAATTCTAATTAACACGATGGAACTCAATCAAAGAATGCCTTTGAAAGAGTTTGATAAAAATTAATGATTTTTAAAGGGATGAGTCTTCCCATATAAATATTAGTTTCTATTCAAGCAATATTTCATGTATAATACCGTTAAACATCTTCCGCAAAAGAGTAGATATTTTATTTAAAAATGTACGAGCTTAGCTCAACAGATTATACTACTCACGCGATTCACTGAAAATATTCAAGGAAATCGAATTCGGACGTCCATGTATTTATTTATGAGCAAATTTGAGGTGTGCTGTGTTATGCTACGAATTTATAATTATTGTATTATATATTTTCTTAGATCGCGAAGACACTGAAAAGGGATAAAGAAAAACGTTTTGTTTTTCTCTATATCGTTATTTAGTTTACCATAAGAAATGAATCACAGATTTCCCGGAGATAAGAGATATGTTTATTTTATTAGACAAAAATACTAATTAGTGAAAGATTTGTCTGAAAAGCATAGTCGTAAAAAATACGTCTATAGAAAAGTTACTTTCGTCAATATTTCATAAAAATTGTGTTCGTGATATATTTATTTGAAAAATGAGAAGTTATCAGCGTACAAATTAATATTGTTATCATTATCGTCATCATGTATGCCAAAAAAATTATGTCGGACGAAATGATGTAACACGAGAGGATATTCATGGGTATACATGCATTTATTTATGCATATGTGTAAAATGTAAATATACAAGTAGTCCTGAATTGAATCGGAATAAAGAAATGTATTCTTCGTACTTTGAAAAGTTCATTTATTTCAATAGTGAATATAACAACTACAAATCTCGTAGTAAGTGCAATTACTTTATTTATCGCACGTTTTATAATATATATTTCTAATTAAAGTCATAAATCCGTCGTCATAATCACACCATCACCCTGTAATTTTTTTTAATTTGCCCTCATGCTTTAAGAAAATGGATTCTTCAAGTGCCGATTGGTCGGTGCGGAATTTGATGTATTGTCAAAATTTTAAAAGAAATTTACCACTTATATGACAAAATACGGTTAAAATAATACAAAAAGGTCATTCACAATTTTTAATCTTCGAAATGTTCAATTTTTTCAATCCTACTTAAAAGTGAAAAATAAATGCATGAAGTGTCTCAAGATTCAGAACAATCAAAGTGTAATCTGATGAGGCTCTGGTCTTCTAAAACATTGAGCGTTATTACTTTCGACATACTCTGCTGTCCTGAGCAAATATTATTTGTCCATTATAAATAGGCACGTATTCGCTTTTCTTTCAAGCCGTGATTCACCAATGTCACGTTAATTAAAAGCAACTGCCTTGAAAGCGGCACGCACTCTCTGTGATATAAATTCACAGCTTGTAAATAAAAAGAAAAGAACATTGAGTATAGTTGGGGAAAGGTTTTAATCAAACATAAATAAAAAAGATTAGTTTTGGACAAAAACGATCTATAAATATCCGATGAATTGCTTCTTACAGCTAAAGTACGTGTCATTCGTCATCGTGTTAAATGCATCCAATACTGTGTATGTAAATTGAGATAAAATAATTTTATGTTCAATATAGTTATTTATTTAGAAAAATAGATGATTTATTTGTTCGAACCGAGAACTAAAGCTTTGTATTTGAAATATAATTTATTCAAGCTTTAATTTGAAAAAAATAAGAGGCGAGCATTTCTTTTTTCACAAGCTGACGATAGAAAATTAAAAATCTTCATTGTGGCATATCCAATTGATGGCATCATATTCAATAACGACAATTCAATTAAAGCAGCATACAATAATTGAGAATAATAAAATAGATTACACACAAAGAAGCTACTTAACATAATTTTGTTTTTTGGTAGAGTTGAAGTTGAATCAGCATCATTTTGACACAAAGAAAGAGAATATATTCTCATAAACGCGCTCTTCGCGCGAATAATAGCGTGCTAAGTGAGAAAACGAATTAAAAAGAGAAGAGCTTTCGATCGTTCTATGATCGATCACCCCCATTTCGTCACGCGAGGGGGCGAGAGAACTTTACCTGAGCGCTCTCGCCATCCTAATGCGTGTTATTACTTTTATTAAGTGATGATACCTCTTCGCGCGCGCTCACTATCATATTTTATGCTAGCTCATCCACTTCTGCTTATTTCTTGTTGATGGAATTCTCGCTCTTTATTCAATTATAAATCCCATGCGCTGCTTTCTTTTGCAAATGTTATTTTGACTGTCGCCGTATTTGTCCCCTTTAAACAATCCTGTCAAACAGAAGTGCCGGATTCATCTGCTTGCATATGCTGTGTCAATCGTCAATGTTATAAGAACAATATATAAATTTTACGTGTAAATCGTCGCAGATAAAAGGATTAAAATACAATTAAGAAACTATATCAACGGTTCGTAAAGCAAACTCATGAGTTATTAGTTCAGCTCAGATAGAAGGTACATACCCTAAAAGCTCGCGCGCGAGATGTTCGTGGTGCACGCACGCGCGAAACACGAGAAAAATCAAACATATATTACTAACCGGGGGCGAGGGGTGAGGGAATACTATACACCTATCCGCACGAGGTGTCTGCGGTAAATGCGCATAGGCGTCGTTTGGCTTTTTCTTTTCCAGAGAGAAGGTATAAATCATTTTTGCCGCTGCTCGAGATGAATTTCAGTAGCGCACGAATGGTCCATAAGAGCTCACCGTCGGTTCCTATATTTTTTATATAGTAATTAATTTGTGTTAATTTGGTTTCCAGATAATTGGAATTTTATTGAGTAAAAACTAATTTGTTTCTTTTGCAGTATGCATCAAATTACGACCTTCCATATCTTTGGTACTTTTACGACATTTGCGTTGTACGAAAAATTGTAATTTTAAAACATCATCATCGATATGGTTGAAGTAATAATTTATCGAACGTGAGTTTTGAAACAGGGAATGAATATAAATGTCATTGCTACTGGTAAAATCTTTTCTTTTTTTTTCTTATTGGACTCCGATGCATATAGACGTCATCGTCTGCAATTTAACATTGACATTTACTCTTGAGCACAGCTTAATAGATTAATTTAGCACAATCTGCGATGCACTAAAAGTATGAAATAGAATTAGAAGCAATGTACGAAAGCAACTTGATATCTGGCTTGCACGAGGTGGCGTTGCGTAGTTGCCGAACAATAAATCCCCTCTCCTGGGAAGTTTGGGCGGAGTCCGTTGAGAGCTGCTGCTTTTGAAGAGCCAATGGTAGCTAAGACGTTGAGCATCGCGATGCCAGATGATTAATCATCGAGCCCGCTCTTGAGGTACGTTATGGAACAAGATCAAGTGCGAAAAAAGGGAGACAGAGAGAAAGAAAAGATCGATTAGAGCGAGCACGGCTTTTACCTGAGATAGCTGTTAAGAGCATTGGCTATTTCATCTTTCCATTTGATAGGAAAAATCTTATCTTGAAGAAGTAATATACGTAAAGTGATACCATTTTTTATTTCGAGAATTACTGTTATTACAGTATAGAAAGTTATCTTGTTGATATCCAGCTAACGTTTAACTAGCAGCCAGCGTGTATTCAGAAGTAAGTGTTTTTACTCTTATGATTGAACATAAGAGTTAAAAAACGTTTATTTGTCCGACAGTTTTATCTTCCACATATTTCTGTTTGAATATATATTTCATTATAATATGTCATTGAACTACAAAGAAAACAACATGCTTTGTACTTAGAAATGTAAACTAAATGTGCACTGAAATTATTGTAATATTTATCGGGAGAATCACGAAAAACATGGCAAAGTATATTTCAACGGCGAATAAAAGACCAATTTTTTCACGACAATGTGGAAATAAAAATCACAATAGGTTTGAGATGATGGAAGTAACTCGAAGGGAAAGACGAGTTATCGTGAAACGATTTATCATAGAACGGACAACAATAACGGGCGACCACGCAGTTTGCTGAAAAGAAAAATGTATACAAACAATATTCAATCTCTTCTTTTCTAAGAGCATCATAACTTATGATTGTAAACACTAAATATCACCATTTGTTGGTGAGACCTATAAACAATTTTCTACATGGAGGCTTTCAGTCTTCTTTTCGAGTAATTGTTTAACGTTGAAAAAGATAATACGTTTACATGCGCTGGTTCTGGTCTGCGCTTTCATGTAATAAAGCTGGCACGAATGTGTTAAAGATGTGAGTATAACTTCAAACTGTATAAAATTATGTGGTAAGAAAGATTCATAATTAAACGTGTGATGTTTTCATTTTTATTAAAATCTTAAATTAGAAAGAGAATGAAAGTATACCAGAATTCAATGTCTGTAAGCTCTTTATTAGAAAAATATCGAAGCTTTTTAAAATGAAATGATCTTATAAATTTTTTGTAACTTCCTTTCATTTGTATACATTCGTGTTTATAATATAAATACATTAATTTATTCAAGTTCTCTCGTTTCACTCAGTCATTGACGAAATCAATTATCAATATTAAAGTTCCAATAAAAAGTAAAGATTCTGATCTTGAATCACATTTCGCAAGAAATATTTATGCAAATATTCATCCGATACCACAGGTAACAATACTTTTCTCTGTATTTGTTCATACACTTAAAGGAATTTCTCAAAAGCTCCTTAAAAAGTTCGCCTTTACTAACAGAAAGTTACATAAATTTGTTTGTACATTGATACAAACAATTTTCCGATACAAAAAATTTGTATGAAATTCCTCAAACCACACTTAAATTTCTCGATGCATAGTACAAAGTAGTTCAATAAACGAAGCAGAACATCTTGGTACATGCGTATATGTAATCTTGACGCAAGAACCGAAGCCCCGCCTTCCGTTAGAAGGAGACGGGATGCTGGGTGGACCATGCTCGCGCGAGTTATCGGCCTCACTGTTGACTGGCTTTTCAGCCCAGGTGCTTCGGTTCTTTGTGAGATCCGCATAGTATAAGTCGTTTTCTTTCTGGTCAACTTGCTTTGATACCTTTTCTTCGAATATTTCTGCGAATCGGAATGAAAAATCGTGACGATGAATGATAATAGAAAATTTTTTTTCAAGTTGTTACGTGGCTTATACCATTCAAATTTATAGGAAAGTTAAGTGTCTTGATTTCATTGTGAATAAAGTGTATTATTAGTTGGATTAACGAATTTTGAAATGAAAAGTTGGAAAATTACTCGATTTTGTCAATTCACGTCACATTAATAGATCGACAACTCTGAAGGTAAGAAAACTGTAACAATCAAAATACTTTATACAAATTTTTCAGAAAAATAAATGTAATATTCGTCATTAAACTGCATATTTGTTTGATATACAGGCTGATTTAACTTTTCATTCAAGATATCAACATTTATTTACCTATATGTCAGTAATACCTTCGCAATATTGAACTGTACCAATAATTAAAAATATCATAGCAAACATATAAAAGTTGTGAAGTATCATAATAATTGTTAATTCATAAAAATATAGCCGATGAAGTCGGAAGAAATGGATTCTTCGACATCAAGCCCAGAGCCGGTTGAAATAATGGATGAGTCGACGCATGCTTCTACGTCATCGTCTGATTCGGACCACGTTCTCAGACGAACACCACCAAGTTCAAACAAAACGTCGGTTACTTTTTCCATAGACAATATCCTTAGGAAAACAAAGTCAAATGATAGAGATAATGCTTTTGGAAAAAAGACACCCGAAGAAGGCGGAACAAGTTTGAGCTTCGATATGCAACATTTAGGTATGAGCATGGATGGGAAAGAACTTACTTTTTATCAAATTTTTTTATACTTATGCGTGCCGTTTCGGCGCCGTTGTAATTTTCTATCAATGAAACGTTTGCTTTGCAAACAAAATTTTGAGTGTATTGACATGCTTTTACAATTTTTAACAGAATAGTTCTCGTAATAGTATTAATCGGTTGAATGTTTTGAAAGTTTGGTTGGATTAAAATTAACGACTGAGTGCTCTATGTAACTTGCCATTGTTCGATACGGCTGTGCAAACGATGTCGAGTGAATTCATTGTTTTTCAACTGAACAACACACGTTATGAATTTCAGACACAACTAGTGAATTATATCACACGGCGAGCCTACAATTTCCCGAGACGAATTTAGCTGATACCTCGAACTATTCCGCAGCATCCCTGGCTTCAGCGTCGCTTCTGTACAACAGTTGGTTCGTCCAATCGAAACCCGGTCAAATATTTGGTCTACAAGGTAATATTTTTACATTAATTGAATATTATTTAAAATAACATTGGATAATGACGGGGCCAGGTTATTAACGTTTCATCAATATATAATTTTTGTACGATTAATAAGAATAGTATTAATAGGATTATTTATTTACCACGCACTTGTTCTTGGTTACAATCTATTTTTATCAAGTAATCGACGGGTTTTCAATGTACATTGCATTTTTATAAAATCTTTGAATTATTCACAACCGAAAACTGGTTGTTTTCCATTGCACTCCCCATTCTCTATCGGTACATCAGCTGACCGCACTGGAAAGCGTTACTCGTATAAAACTTAGCGAAATGAATACTGGCGCGCAACGCCCACGCAATATTATATAATAGACGATTATTTTATCAGCCTCTGCTCGAGATGTACAAGCTATAAGGTGGGAAAGTTGGCGCGCCGCGCGTTGATGGGACCTTCGCGTGCTGCACGGCACTTCCTATTGTTCCGCTGAAATTCGATTAATAACGTTAACGAAGCTCTACTTTTTTTCCCATCCCTCTGCGTTCTAGCATCCCCCTCCTTCGCGCTCGCTCACGCTTTGTACTTTTAATGTGTGCGTGGAGGCTATGCGCTAGGTGTAATTTCGTATTGATTGCTCGAGTGATGCTTCATTTATTTTCCATAATATAGGCCTTGTATTATAGCGTTGGTCAGTGCTTGATACGTTATTGAATCATTGTGAGTTTTAGCGAATGGGGTTTACAATTTTATTGATTGAGACGCCCAAAAATCGTCGTACTCGCAAAAGTTTCTATACCTCGTTATCGGCGCTCGTCTACTTCAACACAGCATGGCTAAGACGATGACAATTACTCGAATTCATAAGTATTGCCCCAACACGGGATCTCTAAGGTTTTATTTACGGTATTTGTAAATATTTCATAGGCTTATTTTTATCGACAATTTTTGTTGTTGATCTGAAAACTTGATTACTCTTGTCGGATTTCGCCTATTCTACGGCAGAAGTCCCCTTTACTCCAATCGAAAGAAAACATCATGATTCTACGCATAAACGAGACAAAGAACTCGGGTGAAATCAAGCCAAAGCAGGAAACCTCTCACAGAAAATACTCTTTCTCTCGCAAGCCGTGCGTCGCCCTCCTCATCGTAGAGAGCACACATACAACTCTCGCGTCTGAGATTCCGTGTACCCGTGAGCTCCTCGTAAAAAATGCTAATGACTTTCGCAAGCTCTTCGCGGCTTAAACGGGCGTTAATCGTTCCGTCAACCGCTGACACTTAACGCGATAGATGCGATACATGAATTTTTACGAGGCTCGAAAACCGATGCATACCGTACTTGAGCAACTTATCGATCGGATGTTCACGAGCTGCCATCGTTGCGGTTGGCGTGTAGAGCTGTTTTTTTTTGTTTTTGCAATTACCTAGCTTACAAGTTTCGAGGTGATGCTACATGTTTCTTGAACAATAATAATGAAGGCTCAATCGTCGTAAACGTGTATGACGTTTTATTTATACATATCGAAAAGTACAATACACCATTTTCACAGCAAATGTGAATCTGTACGAGGTAATATCGCTAAGTTAAACAAGCCTCGAATCATTCTTTCAAATATGATGTACGCTGTTGTCAGATGCGTCCAAGTTTATCGTAGCGATGTAGTAGAAAACAGGCGGATGAAAGAATAGAGCGACAATTTTCGAAAGTCTTAAAAAAACATTCGAGATGCATAATAGATATATAGGCAGGCATAGGTGACTCGGCAAACGGCCATCTATGTATACTGTCGCGCTCTGTAAATTTAGCACCTGCTCGCGAGGCACCTATCTAGGCGCTAAACAGAGCGTCGACGATCGTTTAGTTGAAGGTGTCATTACATACGCACATGAGCAAATAACCTATACTCGGTCCATCATTCGAATGTGTATGTATGAATATCGACGTTAGCCGAGCAATTAGGAAAGACATTTATTTTTAATGGCACGCTTTCGTTAGCGAGGCCGTATATCTTGGCCTGCTATACCTCTAGCAGGCGCTAACGAGTAGGTTGACTTGTTTTGGATAGTCGCGCGAGCGCAAGCCTTTGCCCCTCCATGATTACCCATCATTTATCATTATTATGTTAAATGTGATCAAATACATATTCAATTGATCGATCTTTATTGGATTGTGAAGATTTCTTAGTGATCCGCGTGACCCTATATTTCAGCGCCAAAGCCGGCTGGTAGGCGATCAAGGAAACCCGGTATCGACCGCAAACCCCGTCAGGCCTACAGCGCGAAGCAGCTCGAAAGGCTAGAGGCTGAATTCAAAGTAACTCAACGGCTTTCTTCATTAACGAGGCAACAAAATGAAGCGAATGGAAATCAATATGACGATTGGTCGTTCGATTTTCAGATTGACAAATACCTAAGCGTGAGCAAGCGCATGGAGCTGTCCAAGTGTCTGAATCTGACCGAAGTACAGATAAAGACGTGGTTTCAGAATCGCCGGACCAAGTGGAAGAAGCAGTTGACATCGCGACTGAAACTCGCTCACAGGCAGGGTCTCTTTCAACCCACCTACTTTCCTTCAGCCGCTGCTGCTCAGTACCCATTTTTACCGTATTACGCTGCGGCCGCTGCGGCTGCTGGCCCATTGGTCTTCGCTTCGGCAGCTAACAATGCGGAAACGACGACTGAAACCGAAACCTGCGGTTGAATCTTTTGTTTATCGTCTTTTTCTTATCTCCCTTACTTCATATGAAAAAAAATATTTATAATTATCGTACGTTAACGCCAGCTGAGTGTATTATATAATGTAGTTCAACCGTGTTCACCTATCTTGTAAATATTGGAAATAAATTCTAATCAGTTAAAAGAGTATATCCGAGGGATCGATATAGTAATTTAAAGAATTGCAGACACTATAATGCGATCAAGTAATGCATATAGATCTAAATTATAATGAATATTTCATACATTCATCACAGCTCATCGTACTGACAATTTAATGTTTCTCGACATTTCATAATCATCTCTTTCTTATCTTAAAATAACTGTGTTTTATTGCATAACATATTATTCAGTAGTTTGAGCTTTTAAAAGCCAACAACAAACAAACGTGATTGTTGATAGTACAATGATTTTTTCAAGAAAATTTTTGTCCGAAAAAAAATTACTTTTTTTTTCAAACGATTCTAGATGAAAATCCGTTATCAATTCACGTTTACTGTCCAACTGAACTTTGAACATCAGTAATTTTACAATTCGAATATAATTACTAGTTCCAATAAATTTTTATGCTTACATCATGACCTTATTTTGAATCGTAAAGTTTCTTTACTACGGTTCATTGATCAAAACTGCATTAAATAATTTTTTGCAACCTGAAATTTCTTATATTTGATGACAGGGGGTAATAATAATATATGATCGGAATTCACAACCGATTTATTAAGACATTACAAAGTATACATGCTATTTCTCTAATGACGTTATAACGAAGGCTTGACTCTAAATTCTGAGATTTCAAACAAAGCTCGTTGATAAAATTTATTGAATGCTTTTCTTATTTTCGATTAAATTAAGAACCAGCAAAAGCTGTCACTTGTTTAAATTTATATTACCTCCAGAAACGTACGCCTGGAAAGATCTTTGCAATGCATTATAGGTCGGAATTGATAAAAAATTTTAATCTAATAGAAGAAGAGTGAAATAAACTTTGTAAAATTGTACTCGGATAAAAAAAAATTTTATTCGTATTTTTAATCCGAACAATTTTCGATGCAGTATGATGGCTTTACAATTGAGATTGAGGAATAATAACTAAAATTTCACTTTCAACTGGCTTTTCTCTATCAAGATTAGTTCTCATAAAAATAAACAACAAATTGTTCGACATAAAAAAATTATAGTTGTACATATATTTGTAGCAATGTAATAAAATTTTTAATAATAAAAATTGAAAATGAAATTATTATTCATTTTTCATTTTTATTTTATATTCAGATAAATATAAAATAAAATGGTGGATCAAATAATAATTATCGTTTTACAGAATATTAATCATTCATTATTTTACAGAAAAAATCGACTTTCATAGAAAATTTGTACAAATTTTCTATAAGATTTACATAAATTTTCTTGGAATAAATTTGTACAAATTTTGCTCGGAATTTATATTAATCTTGTACAAATTTTTGTATGTAATAATAAGTTTTATACGAATTTTATATAAAATTTGCGTACCTTTATTTTCAGTGGGGATATTTATTAGTCCAAAGAAAGAAGTAATTGATTTTATTAAAAATGTTATTTCATGTTAATAAACTAGATTAATCAAATAAGTAATACATTACCTATTCCATAACACGAAAAAATAAAGCTATCAAAGAATTTAGTTTGATACTTGGATTCTCAGCAAACTATATTATTCTGATGATTTTAGCTAGGATCATGAAATTGAAAAGAAACCCGTGGACTTGGTTGAATCTGATACGAGTAATCAGAACCAGTTTATAGGATTACATTTGTAAATTATTGTCAACAATAATCTTCTACTTTCATGTTCTACTTGGAATCACTATTGCAAAAATGCCATTTATCTTTAGAGAATGATTACTTATACGTTAAATAATTTTATTTTCATTTTTTTATACATCCGATTTCTATTTAAAATTGACCGACTTGAAAGTTACATCAGACAATAATGAAATGAGTTCTTTTAAAGAGCTAGATAAATTTGATTTTTTGCTGTTACTATGAAGAATCTTTTTCAATGCGAAAAGGCGTAAGTGAGGAGGCAGTTAGAAATTTCGAAAAGATCAAATTTGATCAAATACCTGTGCCGAATTGCTTGTGCATCCAAACAATACAAATTTTTGTATTGTACAAAAATATTTGTTTTACGGTATGATCAGCAAATTCCGAAGGGAAAAAGATGGCAAGAAGAGACTGACAATGGTGAGGCCACATTTCATGACAAAATGGATCGAATACGGTTTTTCTCCTGCCTCACAATATGTCAAGAAGTTTTATCATATTTTATCGCGCATAATGAAATCAGGATTATTAGACATTATTAGACATTTACTAAGATATTTAAGTGAATACTCTCTGTAAGATATTTCATTTCTATGGATGTGTGCTTCTCATAGATCGCGTGTCATTATACAGCTGTCACTGATATTTTCATCTTTAATCGACACTCGTAAGTTAACGGAGTCCTTAAATAATTTTAACAATTAATATTGCATTTTTCTGATACTTGTAGTACACATACAAAAACATACAAAAGTGATGAAAATTATAATTTATCGTGATAAATGTTAGTGTTATTATCACAAGTACGATGATGTATAACCAATAAATATAATTGACTTGACACCATTTCTGAACAATCATTACCTTACCATATATTAGTCGAACCACATATATTTAATATTGATCTATATCTAGCATCCTAGAATAGAAACATTTCATAATCGTCAATCGGTTTTAAGGCTTATTGTTATATTCTCAAAATTATTGAAATGGCAATAATAATATTAATTTTGTTATTTGTATACATTTTGTCGGTTATTCAAGCTGGTGATCGTTCAAATAATACTATAGTCTCAAAATTGTTGAATCAGCTGGTTTTAGATGTGTCTCGTGCGATGGACCCTTACCAAATTATTTTTATCATAAACGAAGATATAGATAACGTTTCTTTCAAAGTTAATTACTTAAGAACATTAGTATGTCAAAGCTTTCCAAATGTTTTGATCGATTTTAAAAACGTTGACGTACTTCATAACACAACGAAATGTGATACTAATTCTTTTCGATACTGTGCTTTTTTTATTGTGCTCTATGATCAAACTTCACGAAAAAATTTGTTAGATTTAGAAAAATTGCAAGATAGATATGTAGAGCTGTTTCCCAGATCGCCAAGACCAAAATGGTTGACATTATTATCAACTGACAATTCCGATCATACACGCGAAATCAGCTTAGCCTTAGAGAAATCATGGAAAAATAAATTCATGGACATAACGATCGTACAAACTGATTTCCTTTTCGATGATCTTGTTGTGCACCATTATAATCCTTTTAAAAAGCATTTAACGCAACAGCAATATAGCAAAGACACAGCTGATGTTTTTCCAGACAAAATGCGAGAAATGAATGGATACAGCCTGTCTACAATTTTTTACGCTGATCCACCTGGAATAAGCATAACTGAAGCTAATGACGTTCCTAAAATATCTGGCATAGATTATTGGATTATCAAGACGGTATCTCACGTTCTGAATTTTACTTTAAAAGTTTACGATTTAGGAAAGTTCAACTTCTCCGGAATGATGAGTGCAATGAGAGAGGGCAGCATAGATTTCAGCGGAAATCAAATTTATTTTTGGAACAATGAGCCATTTGACAAAAGTACCATTTTAAAGCCAGACGGTTATTGTGTAGTGGTTCCTGTTATTCAAGTACCCAGTGCGCGAGCCAAGAGTAGACTTTATTTCGGATTGCTGTTAACGCTATTCCACATATTCATCATAGTAAACGCATCAAAGCTATTGAGGTTCGACAGAAAAATATGGACCTGGATAAACGTTTTTGAAATAATACTTGGGATGCCTGCACCGAAACTTCCGCCAAGTATAGGCGAGAGATCGTTCGTAGGATGTATAATTGTATTGTCGCTTACTTACACTTCGGTTTTCTACGCACGAATGACGGACAGCAATTTCAAGGCCACAGAGGAGGCGCCATTGAACAATTTCGTAGATCTTGATAATTCAGGACTAATTCCATTGGTGCATAAAGATCTGTACAATGTCACGTTTGATGTTTTTGACAATCAAAGCGTAGTCATGAAAAACTTGAAGAGAAAAGCTCGTATTTGGGATGACGCAATTAGTTGCGTGGACGAGCTTTCAAAAAATAAAACTATCGCGTGCATTATGAGCGAGCAGTTGGGCAACTTTTTGATAAATAATTACAGAGATAGCGACGGTATGCTGACAATGAGAGTAATGCAGCCATGCTTTTGGATCACTTGGAGAGGCTACGCGTTTGCGCCGGGTTCGCCTTATCAAGAAAAATTCGATGCAATTATGATAAGGATATTCGAGTCTGGCTTAATTAAAAAATGGACCGGTAATAAAGGTTTGGCAAGCGCTCGAAGGAAATCACTAACTTTAGATACTGGCTTTATTTTCGAGCATATGTATGTTATACTTAAAGCTGGTTACTTCTTGTCTTGTTTCACATTTTTTGTCGAATTGATAGTTTATTACTTTTTGTCTTAACCTTTTCATTTCTTACGTATTGTGTTCGATTCGCTAAAATCTAATTACTACTATTAGATACAATGAAATTGGATATTTTTGAAATTTTAATATGATTTTGATATAATTGATGATGATATAATATAAATCAAATATAAGTTATTTATTATATTTGTATAATTTAATTTTTATAGTATGCTTTGGATGAGCAAATTATCGTATCTTATCTTGACGATCTATTATTAGTGGTACTAGTCTTATTAACAAAATCCCGACAAACCTCAGCCGATACTCTGCTACAACCGTTATACGTATTGGGTATTAATTCTCGTTTTCTGGACCTACATGGTTGTAAAGTTGCTTAAATTTGATTCTGCCTATTGGTTACCATATTATATTTTTCATATTATTGTGTTTATCGACCAATTGATGATTTATCATTTACCTAAGCGAAGAAAAAAATATCTCGTTAGTTATGAAAGGTTGAATTTAAATGATTTCTCTATTCAATCAATTAATGGATATAGAATTACCTTTACCGTTAATTTCTGTAACAGTTGGAATAACGATTGCTATAAAAGTATTAGAATTCTTACTTTACGATTATAACTTCTATTTTTCGTATACTAAATGATCATAAAAAGATTATATATAATAACTACTCACTTTTCGATATTATTGTATAATGAAAATTGTTATGATGATTATAATGCTGAATTGAGAAAAGTTTGTTTGTCACTTGATAACTCTTTTCATACCACCAAGACCTGTCTATTATAAAAAATATAATCCTTTCTCTTAACTCATTGAAATAATCTGATTTAGTATCTTTCAAATAAAAATATAATTATTTATAATGAAAAAATAACACATATATTATGTATTATTATATATTCATTGAAGTGCAATAAAAATGTCAAATTACTAATGCAAAACGCTTTTTATTTCTACTCTAAGCATTTTCTTAATTCTGCTCACTTTAAAGATAAAACAACTTATTCTAGAAATAATTCATTATATACTCTCATATAAGTGCACATCATTCAGAGAAGTACGTATTGCACTAGAAAGGCATTGTATGAAAACCGTCTTGTTTTGATATTGTATTAAAATAATCATAATTATCTTTATCTAGCTCTTTCAGTTCTGATTGGAGAATGAAATATTGATTCTTGAAAATCAAATAAGAATAAAAAATCCTGTGTAGCTGCGTCCTTGCATCACCGTAACTTCATTCCGAAGTGCACTGTCTTTCCATTTTTTATCGGATATCTTAAGAGGAATTGAATGCTGAATAAATGCTGCACGATAACCGTCATAATAAATTTTGATATAGCAGCCATCCTAGAACAACTAATTATCAAGAAAATTGGCAGCCTACTTGTAGAAAAGCGGTGGCCGTAGGTGACAATGGTTTCACGCCTTCTGGCGTCTTTCCGGTATCTTGGGCCGACTTAACGGTTATCCCAATTAGGCGAAGCGCCGGGCTGCATCGGGAGCGCTTGTCCTGTTCAGTCTTTGCTCGACACTTGACGATGTATGTTTTCTTTTAATATGCAACTCTCGGGATGTCTGCTGTTTGCTTTCCTTACGGTTGCTCGTTCGCAAGAGTGCTATGACGATGGAAATGAGTTTTGCATCGATGAAAACGATATTCTATCCGCGGATCTACTTCCTGGATCTTTTTTGCTCATGGATCAAACGTATCATCTACAAAACTTATCTAGATCGACAGATGACAATAGTATCGATGGATCACCCGAGACTGCATTTGACGAGATGGAGTTTCATAGGTATGATATAGTAGAACCACATAATTATTTTATAAATTGATCATTCAATGAGAAATCATGCATATGTAAGTAATAAAACATACTGTATATGCAAAAACATATATTTATGAACGATTTCAATGTTCGACTGCATCTCGTAGTCATGGTACACTTACATTTAATATTTTATGTGACGTTTAATTAAATGTATAAAAAAGACATGATTTTTCATGCACTCGATTGGCCATCAAAAGCATGCGGGTAAATTTAATTATCCATTTGTTCATACATTTTGGGAGTCAATAGGAAGAAAATGAACGAATTTTTACTACACGAGTACATGGCTGAAGAAATTCTGAAGGGGATGTATTTTACAAAATCAATACGAGTAAAGCGAAAGAATGATGCATCGTCGGCTAGCTTCCTTACTGATTTTCTTGATGCACCCAACGTCACAGCTTATGACAAACTTCGAGCAGATGAGGGCAGCAAGTATTACAAACAATGGCTCAATAGGTATACTTACTTACATAGTCAAATTCGTTATGGAATGAACGATATAATATGCTACTTCGTTACAGACCAACAACACTGGAAGACGTTTATCGCCATATTGATGCAACGAAAAATATTCAAAAAAAGCATGAAGTCTACGAGTCAGATCCCGATGGAGAAATTGAGGGTGAGCTTATGGTTATGAAGACTCCTGTATCACAGGGAAAAATAGGACGACCGCCCCACAGTTAGTAAATCACCACTAAATTTAAACGATTGTTTCGTTTATAAGACAATCAACCATTTTAGGACATTTTACTCAACATATAAAAATATTTTCAATTTAAACAGTTGCTTGATTTATCAATTATATTTACGCGAAGAAATTGGAAAAATAAGCATACTACAACTAACATACGAAATAAAATAATTTTATAAAATTAAATTTTTTTTAATTTTTACAGTGGATCCATTTATTTCTTCATCAACGGGTCATTTCCCAAGCTACGACTGGCCTATGTCTCATCCGCCTATCCAGCATTCGGTCGAGCACATCCACGTACATTCCCCACCCTACGAAGAGGAGCATTACCATGAACCTATTTACCACAGCAAAGGCAAGGGCCATGAACTGACAATCACGGACTTTTTTGAAATTGCCCTTACTGCTTTGGCTTTCCTTGCATTTGGCTTATTTGTCATTCAACTTCTTATGAACATTACTGTGAGTTTCTTTTCTACCTTTGAGCTTATTTAATCGATTTAGTTTTCAGTTCCGAGTATTACAGATATAATATAAAATAATTTGAACGTACGAAGTTCTCATTGTCATCCCATCGAAAATTTTGAAATGCATCTAGATGCCTGTGCATTCGTTTATATCCGAATCGCAGGTAGCACAGCGAGAGTGAATGAGCAAATGTAGTTGACGAAAAGTACCCTTCAAATCAATTAGAAAAATCAATAATCTGCTATTGAAACTTGCAGGCTCCGGCAATGGCAACGACGACGACAGCGCAAACGATATTGGCAGACTTTGACACGCGATTCAAGCGCGAGGCACTGTATACACCACCGTTGAGTTACACGAGCAACGAGGAAGTAAACGAGTTAGCCGAACGAGTGCTTCGCTCGATCGAGGCTGTATTGGTGGCTCAATCTGACAATGGCAATTGTCTTAGAAGGCTACTTTGCGAAGACAATCGGTTTTCCAGAGATACCGAGAATGGACATCGAATTTGGATTCCCGTTTGGAGGTGAGTGCTTTTCAGAACACAAGTGTTTCACTTGTAAGACATACCCTTGCAACCTTATCTAACGTGAAATAATACTGCTCTGTGATCGGCAGTCTAGGGATGAGCTGGGCATCGAGTAGAGTACTGACACGTCGACCTTGGTCGGCAATGCTGGACTCGGTGAAGGCGTCGGTACTGGGTCTGGGTAAAGCCGACTGCGCGACCCTCTATCCCGACTGCGAACTTGGTCGAGAGCGAATTAAAAGACGTCGACGTAGGAGAAAGCGTTGACAAGTTCAATCGCCAGTATAGACGAGACGACAGCCAATGGGAGGAGATAACGATCCAATCCAAATAAAATATTTATGTACGCGCGACTGATGCAAAGATGGTGCGATGAATATTTCGATGGAAAAATAAGTTTTCTACTGTATTGTCATTATTTATGTTGCGAATTGAATATACGTCAATTACTGGAACAGTTAGAACAAAATATTTTTCAAAAATTAAGAATCTTAGCTAAATAAATGTATGAATAAATAATACGCGTTATCTGAATTTAATTTGTATTTTTGACGAATCACGGTCCTTTGCTGTTTCAACCCTTAATTCTTATGCAATAAGCCAATATTTAGAGTTTCGAAGCAGCACACAATCATCCTACTTGTACGTTCGTTCTTTTGTCAATTGCGCTGTAATCATCGCAATTACTACCACGACATTTGATACGGACATGCGGTCGTAAAGCTTGATGGCGTGCGTAGAAACGGCAAAGAGTGGACAATGGCAAGTGGCCAGTAAGGCGCCAATGTCCCAATTGTTCCAGCGTTGATGGGTTTTAGGGCTTCGCAAGGATGATCTAGATAACGATCCGCAGACAGAGCGCGATATAGCTCAATCCGTCATTTTTCTTAAAAAAATTTAAATACCTACAAAAATTCAATATGCAGTTATTGTTATTAATTGTTTGAATGGTCGGTCGATGGAACTTTTGCCATGAGTTACTTTTATACCGCTGATTTTTAATTTTGTAACCTCCATAACGGGACTCGTGGTAAACGTTTGAACTTTCATACAAAGCCGATGATTTATTTTCAGAAACTTATTTGCTCTAAAGTATAAAAGGAAGAGAAAAACATGCTATTTATAAAAACTTATACCAGTTTAAAACAGCAGCAAGCACACAGGATAACAAGCAAATTCATTATTATGGCCGTGCCTTTACTTTGCTGACTACGTACTTTCAAGGCTATTTCCGTAAGCATCGTTATTATCGATGAAAATGAAATTGCCGAAGAAGATTATTTTTCACGTCATCGTTGTGAAATCTATTCATAAAAGTTCTTTATAATATTTAACTGACGTCGTGCTTTTTTTTATTTGCCATTTCTCATAAGAAGTAACTGCTGGAAATAGTCGAGAGAAAGAATGTCGAGCGTCTATTTCCTATATAGATATAAAATATTTTATATCACATCAAACTACATTTTTTTCGTACTATAAATCTGTTTGTTTCCTCCTCTGTTGAATAATTCAACTGATACTTTCCCGTGGCGGGTACAGTGGGTGATATTGGCTACCTTCACGATATCAAAATCGTAAAAGCTCTCATCTATTACATGACATTAGGTCAATTGTTAACGTAGCTTCCGTTTTATCGATGCTTTCGTCAATGTCAAATCGTCATCGTAAGCGCTGCACTCATCGACAAGTATACGAATTATATCAAATTTTATTTAAGCTGTTTTTGATCAATTAAAGAGCTCACAGTGAAACGGCATTTGCTACTACACGCAATGACGAATGACGTTGACAGAAAAACTCGGAGAAAAAAAACAAGACAAAACTCATTTTTGACAAATACTTAACCTTAATGCCTTTCTTGTACGTGATGGATTACGCTCATAAAATCGGAAAGCAAAAGAACGATAGTCGGCTGCAACTGCGTGACTGCGTGCCGCAAAACCCATGTAATCCCCAAAAGCCGGCAAAATCTCTACGGGAAGATCGTCGCTTGGCAAACTGGAAGCGATGGCTGGCGGATCGCAAGCGCCGACAAGAATATCTGGCTGCCGCTCTGAAACGCGAGCCCATCGATTTGGCGTTGAACGCGCACGAAAAAGCGCGAGCGAAAAATGAAACGAGATGCCTGTTGAAGGCAGCCGCTCGAACGGAAGTGACGAATCAAGACAGGTATCGCGGCAATCCGGCGTTTTGGAGAGTCGAGGAGCGGCTGAGGAAGAAGCCCGACAACGGACGGGGTGACTGCTATGACGATGACGTGATTGTCCAGCAGAGCAGGGACGACAGGTTTTTACCGCCGGACATAACTCGAGTCGCACTGCCCGCGTACATCAGGAAAGAAAAGATGCTCATTGAAAAACACGTGGATCCAGCGAAAATTAATCGTGAGTGCCGCGATTCCAAGTCATATTATTCCGTTCAGGGAAATATTTTCAGAGGCTGACAAGCAGCTTGACTTGTAATTACTCTTAATTCGTAAGAATCGCGTTGATCGATCGGAAAACCCGGGCAAAGTTCTTAGCAGCTGTCTTCGTTGCAGTGCATTCCAATTGGGACTGCGGCGAGTATTTGAAGCACCGCAGAGCGCAACTGCAAGGAGCGATGAAGCACTTGGAGCCCAAGCAGCCGGAAACGGAGGAGCTAATGATAATTGGCCGGAATGGCGATTGCCGCGAGGAGAAAGACTTGGTCGTCAGGATACCCCTGATCGTGATCGTTCCAGACGAGCCCGAACGCGCGCTTCTCAACGATCCCGACGACAGAGCCGCACTCAGCATTCAAAACCGCGAGTTTGTGCTCGAAAGCTCGCGACATTTTGAGAAATTGTCCGCCGACGAGACGCAACGGCTGAGGCAAACTAACCAAGACTCGAACGGCGAGAAATACGTTTACGCGCCGTTCGACTGCGAGCGCGTCTACCAGATCCTGCCGGAGAAGTGCAAATCAGTCACGTGGACACTGCACTTTCAGGCGCACTGCGGCGACACGACGGAGCGCAAGCTTTGCATGGAAAACCGCGGCGTCAGAGTGGTCCACGTGGAGTGGCGCAAGGCGACTGCGCCTGGCGGCTCGCCGCTCGCGGTTGCAGAGCGCGTGGACAGCCGGTTTTTCTTCGACAAAGGCCGCCTCACAATTCCGCCCGGTCAGAGAGTCCAAGTGCCAATTTGGTTTCGCTCGCGGCGACCAGTCGTAACGACGGAAACGTGGAGGCTCGTCGTCGATCCGACGGTTTATCCCGGCACCCTGTTGCTGCGTCTTTGGGCCGTGGCCAGCGGCGAGAAGGGCCAACTCGAGCGCGACGCCCGATACGAGAGCGTGAGAGCGTTGCTGAGACGTCGCGCTCGCGACGCAGCGATCCGCGAGATCATCGATGACTTGATAGCGAGCGCGAGCGTCGAATCTTCGCGCGACGACGACGTGCCCTACGAGGCGTACTTTTTGGAAAGCGAGCTGTTTCAAGCCAGGAATCCCGGTTACCATTACAAATCGCTGCTGGTGGACGAACTGAGACGCATGCACGAGGATGCGACGGGCGAGCGAAATTGGAATTTATTACTGGGCGGATTGAGGTCGAGCCTTGTGAAACTCGACGATCCGATCGAGCGCCGCGAGAAGCTCGCGCGCCTTCAGGCCGTTTGCCGGGAATGCTTGCTACCCGACTTTTATTACGCTCGGCCGAGGGCATCCGAGAAGAGACTCGTGTACTGGCTGCTCTGCATGTTCGCCAATAGATTTGAGGACGAGGACGATTACGTGGCGCGTTGCTGCTGTCGCGGAGTAGGTGCGGATGACGCGAGCGAAGAAGCCACCGTCGTCAATGAATTGTCGGAAGCGGAGGACGGGCACAGCCAAGTCTACGTCGACGGTCGGAATCTGGAAATTTACCAGCAAGCCCTGTTCATTAGAATTCATTGCCTGCTTGGTCAGACCATCGACAATGTGTGCTTGGTCGTGGAGTCCTGCCGTTTGTTCGGTAAATAAAAAAGCAACACGCGCACACGTTCGATCCGTTGACTTTTACTGACTAGCATGAGACTTTGTAAATTTTCCGCTCGTAGAGGTGTTGCACGGCACGCCGGTTGGCCTCGATCCGCTTGCCCGCGTCGTTCTTTAATTTGCGAAATTTAGCCAGCTGGAGAGGAAATTGGCCGCTACAGTGGCAGTGAATCGCCAGTTGTTCGACACTTCAAACGTACGTACCTGATCCGAGCGCACAACCATCACTCCTGGGAAGACGACCCAGGTCGCGCATTCGGGATTGTCGAACGCTGCGTTGTACGAGCCTTGATACACGTAATAGTATTTGCTATGTAGCGCCGAGCGCATCCAGTAGAGGCAGTCTACGAAGAAAAGAAACATATTTTTTTCGCGAAGCGCTTTGGGAAAATTCGCGGCGTCGGTGATTCGCTCACTCGCCGGGACTTTTGCTGCCGAGCCAGGCTCTATGATTTGGTCGAGTTGCTGGTAGACGTCGTCCGACAGTGCGTAGCTTTCCGCGTTGCAAGGCGCTTTCACCTTTATTAATTCAGACGAGAATTAGACTGTGGGGAATATACCCTTGTCGTCGATATAGTGGTTTACCTGAAAGAGATACGTCAAAATGCAAAGGCCATCCTCGTACTTGAGCGACTCCTCGAACGCGCGATACTTTCGATTCCAGTGAACCGCGTGAGCTTCCATGGAAAACCTTTGAATGCCAATTGCGCAATCAGGCTGCAAGGTTGCAGAGGAAACGGTCGGGAAAATCGATACTCCGTTCGATTCCGTTTGCCACGCGATACAGGGGACGCTATACACTTATCGCTAAGCGAGTTGACGCACTTGCTTTTTCAAAGCCGCGTCGGATTTAAAATTCCCTTAATTACACTGGGCTGCGATCTACTTCATCGGGCTTGTTAATTCCGCGCGAGAGGAAACGTTCTCCGAATGGGTATTTCGCAAGAGTTACCAAGTGCTGTTGAGGCTGTGCTCGGAGCCGCAACAATCCTCTTCGCCCCAGTGGAAATGGACGTCGTGCAATTCGTAATCTTCGTCGCCCAAGGGGCCGCACTTGATAATCGACGGGATTCGGTCACCACTCAGTTTGATCGTCGCTGAAAACTCATTCTCTTACTACAAATATTTCCGCCTTGGAATGTCGAGCCCTAATTTTAATCACACGTACGTGCGAATACTTCATCGTAATTCTGTACGGCCAAACAGACGAATGATATTTTTTTAAAAACTATTCATATTTAATTACCGTGTTCACCGTCGTTGATTAAAACAGCCTCGCCCTCGTTTCTCCAGTGGCCGATAAAGACGAGCGGTGGCAAATGCACTGTTCGCGCAACGGTATCCTGAATGTCGATCGGCGACTGTTTTCTGCGTGACATTGCTACAGCCGTAAAAAGATATTTCACCCGATTCTTTTGCGCGTTACCCTCCGAATACCTTATAACGTTGCACTTTGAACTTACTTTTCAATAGTTTGTCTGTTTCCATTTTATTTCCTTTAATGTTTTTTTCAACTCTTATAAGTTACCGTTATAGCGGTACAAAAATTTTAAGCGCAGACTCGTCGATGTTACGTTTCGTCGGAGGTTAAGTTCGTACTCTTGACGCGACCAATAAGAACAACCGACAATCGCAAAATTACGCTTGGGTAGCGTACAATATCTTGCGATCGTGAATTTTCTGCTGGGATCTGTAGTTCCGCAAAATGGGCTCGGCTCGACGGTCGTACAGAGTCCGAAAAGCATTAGCCTGCGAACGATAGCGAAACCGCGAAGGCAGCCAAAAAATCAGAATGAAAATCGCCTCTCGAGGTGGCTCACTTGTCTTGTTGATATTCCAACAGGTCGCGGAATAACGATCCAAGTGACGCACTCCGAATACGGACAAGTGGTGAGTGAGCCACTGTAACTGTAGTAACCTGGTTCGGCGCACGCTTGCTTCATCCACTTCATGCAGCCTGCAAAGTCGCGATGAGTTCTAATAAAAGCTCGCGCTGCGAATGCGCGTCGAGCAAAAATAATACGACACCTTCTGGAAGCTCGACGCTCTTGCCTGGAATTTTAATCTGAAGCAAGTTATCCGTGACGCCTGAGAAGCTCGCATTATCTGTCATACCGGGACAGCCGATCACCTACAGAAAGTGAAAGTCAGTGTCGAATGATGAAATGAATCTCGGCATCGTTAGAACGACATATACTTGGAAGAGGAAAGCAATAATAGCCAGCCCGTCGGGCTTCTCTTGACACGCCTCCATCGAGCCGTACTTCTTATTACAGTGTACCGCTTGAGCTTCCATTGAAAACCTTGATAAAGGAGAAACGCTTGTTCATTTGAAAAGAGAAGCTTTTTTATTTTCTTGCTATTTTGTCAGTTTTGTCGCAACAGAGTTACCAAGTTCCTTCGATAGAATGCTCGGCTCCCCGAGCATCGCTCGGACCCCAGCGAAATTGCAATTCCGCAAACTCGTACTTGTCCGTCAGTGGTCCGCCCCATAACAGTGGCTTGTGCGCGCCGTTCAATTCAAGTTTCACTGAAATTATTCGCTTTGTTTCATTCGTCTGCTTCTGTCGAATTGTTTGTTTTGATCTCGGATACAACTGCGATGTTCATTTGCCAACGTCAATTTCAAATTTTATTTAACATTTTATTTAGTAACAAGAAAAAACCGTTTCGTCACAATTTACGAAAGAAATTCACATACAAGACTAATAAAGTAAAAACTTTGATCGAAGTGGGGCTTGCATTGAAAAGAGAAAAAGTGAGGCTCCAAAGAAGTTAGGATAAACTCGCCTGTGCTGCCGGTATTAGTCATCGTTGCGCAGCTTCTGTCCGATAAGTGGCCTTGCAGGAGTAAACACGGAAAGTTTTCGTGCAGTAGATGCATCCGGTTCAAGTCGACGGGTGACTGGCGCCACTTGGGACGTCCACTCGTCGATGTCCAAACTGCTGCGAATAAAGTGACTTGATTAGCATAACTACTATAGCCAATGGCATTTTCAAGCGCACTCTTATTTTACCTTTCTTCGCTTTCCTCGACATTTTTCCCGACTATAATTTTTCAGCCTGCCTGTTTGCACATTTGAATTTGGTACGAGGTTAAACACGTGCGTGATTTTCCCGATGCGAACGAAAGAATGAAAGTTAAACAATGGAACTCGGGCGAGAAGCCAGTCTGTAAGCAGCATCCATGAAGTGTTCTGCAGCTTGAAATTTCATAGGGTGAGCGATGCGCAGCCAACTTCATCGTTGGCGAATGTGGATAGGTGTCAACTTACAGCGCGTTCCCAAATTCGCGAGTGCTGTGCGTATTGAGTTTCTCGTTATGTGGGTCCAAGCAGTTGCGACCGACTGACCAAAGCGAAATGGAATTCGCGATAATAAAAAATATTTTCATCTCCCTCGGCGTGACAATTTTCATGGGTATATCGAGCAGTCACTAACCTTCGTGTCGCGTCATTCCGTAAAAGACTTTCCCTTAAAGTTTGATCAAGTCAATATACCTAATGACGCTCATAAAAAATCGTCGGCATTCGTTCGGTCGGCACTCGAACGATCGTAGCAAACAGCTCTGAAAGTAATTAATCGTTCGTTCTCTGTGTGGGTGAACAAGCACTGATGGAGCTTCTCGATTGGTCGCTAACTGCGTTCGACTGTCCGGTCACGGGAGCCTTCCTCTACGGCGAGTCAAACAGTCCCGAGAAGTGGCATTGTCAATACCCGGACGCGTGGGGTTGCGCGCAGTCGCCCGTCAACGTGCTCACGCGCGAGGCCACCGTCCTCGCGCCCTCGAAGTCGCTCAAGTGGCGCGCATACTGCGACGAGCCACGGGCCATGAGTATCGTCAACGACGGCAACACAGGTTGATCGTGCGATTGCAAACGCGTCGGGCAGTCACTTATCCGTCCCACGCTGGCCGAGCGCGTCGCCCCGTCGCCGAAAAATTCACGTTGTCCGATGTTCGTCAGTGAGACTGTTTGGCTGCTGGCCATGCCCAGCGTCTCGACCGCATCTGCAAGGCGGCCCGCTGGCCGGCGTCTACGAGTTTCACTCGGCGATTTTTCGCTGGGGCCCTTGCGACGAGGAGGGCAGCGAGCACTGCCTCGACTACACGCGCTACGCTCTCGAGCTGCAAGTCGTGCACGCCAAGCCAGGCCTCGACACCACTGTCGACGTGACCAGCTGCAAAATCGCCGACGCCCTCGCCGTCGTTTCGTTCTTCTTCCAGGTCTCTCGGCCAATCCCTAGTCGTCGGCCGAACTGGCAGCTTACGCGGCGTGCTTTTGTCGCTGCAGGTGACGAGCGCCGACAATCCGTACTTGGACCACGTGGTAACGAACCTGTGGCGCGTCGAGAGTCCCGGCACCGCGAGCCACATTTCCGCGTTTCCCCTCGAGTGGCTGTTTCCCGTGTTCAAGCGCAAGTTTTACACGTACCCGGGTTCCTTGACGCAGCCACCTTGCAGTGAAATCGTCGCCTGGATTATTCAGCCCGAGCCGATTGCCATATCGGCCAATCAGGTTGCTACAGCTCTTCGATTCGGCAACGTGCCGTCGGCCGAAATAACGACGGAATAAGAGAGCAATGGTGTCCAACTCCACTTCTTGTTACAGGTATCGCAATTCCGTAAAGTGCGTTCTATCGAAGGACCGATTCTGTCTAACACGAGGCCGGTTCAAAAACTCAACGACCGTGAGATACTTTATTTCTCGTGAATGCGCTCCGGCAATCCAAGTCGCTTGCCGATAAGTCGAACTTGGGAAGGGAATGTGATGTTTCTCAAATAAAGTCTTGGTGAAATTGCACGGAGAACAATACTTTTATTTGTATGTATTATTTTTACAGTACTTGTCGAGCGTCGAAAACGAGCGATCTCAAGACTGAATGTAACACCGATGCTTGGCACAACTGTATTTTTTTATCTAACACTTACACCAGATGTACGTAGACACACTCATGGACGATTTATTATAAATACCACTTGTTGTATACACTGCGCCCTATCAATTCTTTTTCAGCTCTCTACTATTCATTTGTTTTTAATATTCAACAGTGAGTCGGCGCGTCAATATTGGTATTTCACTTGTAGTCAATTTCTATTCATTTAACAAATTAGTTCAGAATCACGCATTATTTTAAATAGTATAAGTGCTCTATTTTTATTCATTATCTTTCAGTAATTCGACTGTCAATCACATGTATTTACTTTACTTTTATTTCAACTGAGCTTGTTCATTTGAAACTTCTGCGAACATTCGAGTTTTTGAGGCACACAAAATTCCGAATTGTAAATGACATCCTACGCTCAGAAAATCAAATGATTAGAGTATTGAGGTTTAAACACACTGGATATAGCTGGTTCCCTATGCATAATATTACAAAGAATGTTACATCTTCCGATAAATGGACTAACGTAGAGGTTAGCGCATCCAACATCGTAATTTTACTAAGAAAATACTATGTACTTATATCTATGTTCAATATCATACGTCTTATTGTATTCCAAGTTTCTTTCAGCAAAGATAAAATGTTTGCCTATAAATCAAACAGTCCAAAATATATATCATTTTATTATTTTTTATATTCCTATCGTTATTAATTAATTAACAGTTCATTGCATTTCTATTTACATAAAATTCCACGCGTCCAATTCATATTAACGTTTAGATTTTTACAAATATTCGCAATGATATTCAATAAGTTTTCTTTGTAATTTTAATGTTTCCTAACCTTAAGAGGTTATCGGTAAAATTTGAAATGTAGGTGAAATTTCGTTCGGTTGTCTTTATAAAATATTGTCGTTGAGTACATAGTGAGTATTCGTATAATTTTGGGAATTTTTCATTTCTTGTACATATTGTATCAGTAAAAAATAATAAAAAATTACCTACACTTGATTTTCCTTCGTTTTTTTATAGCATCGTACAGAGATATCATTGGAATACATAGGCCCATAAATAAGTAGTCTTAACTTTTGTCAAGGCGAATTCTATTTTTGTGTATTTTGCGAGGCAAAGTCCAAATCCGACATAAAATTTAATGAACGAAAACATCTTTCGTTCGTGGACCTTTTATGATTGTTTTTAATGATTTTCATAAAAAAAAGGAGATAGGTTTATGTAAATAGCTTCAAATTAGAATACTACGAAAGACATTGAAAATCGTATTTTAGTTTAATTTTGTACCAGTATCTAAAATTCCATAGCATGGAATGGAGCCAACTAACGCTATTGTCCCTTAATTTCCATAAAAAATGAAAAAAATACTACGAAAACATCGTGTAAAAATATCGTGTTCTTTGCATTTTTCTTAAAAAATGTAACATGGGTCCATCGATTTATTTATTGTCAGATTTGAATTAATTGTCGAAAATATATAGGAACAGATCCGTCCCATCAAAACTTTAGACTACTTTTTTAAGTGGATTGATGTTGTTTACATGGTGAAAATCACACGTAACATTGTATTAAATATGAAATATGCCTAAGCATTTAGAATTTTTCGATACAATCCATTCGGGCATATTCCAAGTTGGTTTTTTTCTCATCACGTAACGCTGATAAGCTCCAGCAAAGTTGACCACTACGTTTGGATGATCATGGGCTGCTTTGTGTGATTAAAAATGTGAAGAATAATTGTTCCGCGGAGACAAACCGAATATCGAACGTAATGATAAAATCGCATAATTACATGTTGCTTTTTAAAACTTTGTACTATTGTTATTCAGTGGCAAAATAGTTGTCTTCTCCTATAAAAGTACATGTTTCTGAAGCAACCGAATAGACGCAGCTTAAACATCATTGTTGAGTGGTACGTAGAGATGTACACACGCTACTGGGACACGTTCGATACTGCATTCAACTCCTCAGCTTTAGAGCAAAGTACGCACGTGCTCTTTTGTATATTCATCGCGTTCATTGCCTCTGTGAAACTTTTCAGATTACCCCAATTTGATGAACTGAGAACAATCGTCCGTCTTGTAGACTACATTCAAAAACTCACCTTTAATTGAATGTACACCGATTTACACACGCATTTGAACATTCCATGGAAACGATTAGATCTATAAAGTTAGTGTTACCGTAATAATCTAATGAACAGCAGACTTCGGTGCCATTGAATACATGCAAAGTCTTCAATTTTTCTTCTAATAGGTTTGTAATAAGAAAAATTATCTCGCAAATTTGCCCATTGTCTTTTTAAAAACCGTTAAAAAGTTATGAAAATTAACTCGTTTATAAAGCAATTAATAACATTTGTACTTTCAAAATTATTATATGTCAATATTTGTGTTTATTTTCTGTTTTTATATTTGCTTATGTATTGCATTCGCGTGTGTATTTCTTCACATACATTTTTCGCAAAAGCCATATTAATATATCTTATTTACACAATTCAATTGCAAGAGTTAATCAAACTGCAAGGCCCTGAGTTCCTGAATGGACTGACAATTTACAAAAGATCCCTTCTGTCAAGCAAAGTAATAGAAATATGTTGATCTAGCAAATATAATATTTTTGGCTGACCGCAATCAATCCTGATGTTATTTCTTATGGTATTTTACATACCTGAGTGCACGATCTCGCGAAAAAGTTTCCGACAATGATATGATACTCGTATCAACTGCTAGCCATTCTCAATGAATCGACTCATCAATCGGCAAGACTGTTTAGGCGTAAGGATCGCACTCATAGGAAAGCTTTGCCTACCTCACGCTACTCTGCCGCATGTCGCGTCTAACAGTGCCGCCGCTGCTGCGACTGGCACGACGGTTATGCTATCCATTCGGCGGCTCGTTACTAGCTGCCTTGCAGAGGCAGCTTGACACGACGATGCCAAAAATCTGCGAACACATTGCGATACACAGCGTGATATATTGGTGTTTGCAAGAAAACGACGAGTGCCGCTAAACCCTTGCGACTGCTCGACTTGCAAATTATGTCGTCGCGAGGGTTATTCAGCTCGATAATTAGGTTGCTCCAATGGATAAGCAATCGTTGTCGTGCAAATGTGATTACCTGTGCGCCGACTATCGTCAACGCAAATACTATAAGTGTGAAGCTCTCGTCGTGGAACCAGGTCCTGATTTTTTCCAGACATCCCTGCAACGAAAGCAATGCATTTCGCTCTAGTCTAGTTAACGATCGACGAATACACGGCGAATAGCTCGGCTCGAAAGGAGGCCCCGAGCCTTAAGAACTTAAGAAATGCACGCATATACACTCACGTCTTTATGCCTGAAGCCAGTGTGCACAGTGACTTCTTGCGCTTGGCAAGCATTCTCGTCCTTTGGCCGAGGATAGAGCCACGGCTTCTCATTCTACAACAGACAAGCATGTCGAACGATGCTTAGCTCGTTATTCCGCGGATTCACGGATTGCGAATAACGAGCACTTGAATACACTCACGTTTTTGTAGAACACCCTTGAGATAACGCTCATCGGGCTTCCTGTATTCTTCGCCTGAAAAGCAAACGCGTTTATTTTCATGTTCCCCAGAAACGACAATAACTCATCATTTTATGCATTTTACGATAGCATTACTAGCACAATGGGGACTACCAATGAAGCGTATCGTTAATAACTTTCAAACAAATAATAACATTATTCAAGCCTTATTATTTTTAATACTTCGTGATTCCGTTATGTTATTACTGAAGTATTACGAGCATATAACCGACATGAACGTAACTAGTGATGATTGTGTGATGGTTGTTGCGGTTAGTATCTGAGCCAGCTCAACCATTTCCTCGTGAAAAAGTTTTCGAGTACGAAGCATTTAATTAATCGAACTCGGTAAAACTTGACAATTCGGCAGAGCAAAAGAAGAGTCAGAGAGTTACTTCGGTATCCTTGAGAACACAGCACGTGAGTGGCACCTGTTTCCTCGTGCCGGAAGCGAGACTGTCGCGCCACCATTGGGTGCCGTTGAAGTCGGTATCCTTATAAATTCCACAGCAGTTGAACTGAAAAATAATCGGGGACAATGAAATAGAAAAAAGTGGATAAGCGTTAGCTACAATTTATCTCGCGGCATATCGGCGTCGGCTTAATTGAAACGGAGATTCCATTAAGTGCAAGGGTATATCTACGTCTTGAGAGCTATTTGCTTAATTTCAGTGATATATGACATCCATTTCAGTAAATCACGATGCTCGTTCAGCAGCAATAAATTAAATCGAATCATAAAATTTTCACTACTACAACTTGGTACGTATTACAGCCGATATCATTTAGTAAAGGGTGCCAAACAGTTTCGGCATACTATAATAGCCATATTATCACGGCGCAATAAATTTCATATTTCGGTAGAAATAAATTCGACAGTCACGGCTTTTGACTCGAGCATTATTGTTTGGCTGATTTTAAATAGTTAACTGTCTATGAAAAAGGCAAGCACTTTGGTATTTTTGTATAAACACGTAAACACACGTAGCCACTGTAGAGAAAACACGTTACTGGATTATAATTGCACCGCAACGAGTATAAAGGTACATTGAATAGAGATCGAACACAAGAAAAGGGGCACAGGACGCCTATCTAAAGTTTTTATTTAAACTATGCCAACGAATGTAAATTGGAACGAGTTTGACGATAGGCTTGAATCTGTCGTTGAGTCGAGTGATATATACCTTGTACTGAGCAAAGTCCAAGCTATGGCTGAACCCCACGTCACTGCTGCTAGAGTCGTGGCCGTAGTGGTTCGACAGTCGCTCAATCAATCGAGACTCAAGGCCAGTGAGTGCTTTATAAGCCATGAAGCCGAGTACCGCTGCCGTCGCTATTTCGGCGACTATTAGCGTTATCAGCAGACTCATGTACTGCGAATATCATGCAAATTAGACTTTTACATGTACGACAGCCGATTTTTCGATTGTGATAAATTAGACGCCAAAGGATTAGGGAGCGGCGAAGAAAAGTGTGGTTTTACGACGAGGCAATAAACTAAGCAAATAACTAAATACAGTCACGAGCATCACAATCGACGCGGATTAACAGCTCGTAATCAGTTCCTGACGGTTATAGCTTATCTCGTAGTTTAAACGTACGAAAAGGCTGTCGGAGTGCTTGTGCGGAATCAGCCGTGCTCGAATCACGGATGATGCAACGAGATAGGCAAGATCAACCGTAAGAGAGCCCAACTCACTTTATATTTGTAGCCGTGGCAATTCAGCGAACTAAGAGATCAAGCGAGGAATAAACTTATTAAACTACGGCTCGCTGTATTGGATAATTTTGTCGATAATTCGCGGCTCGCGCCTTTCCCCTTTCCGCCAGCGTCGTCTCTTGTAATCGATTGGATAATTTCGACGCAAAGCTTTAGTGACAAGTGATTGGCGTTCAAACTATTCATTTAGAAACGTATTTGCTTTTCGCTGTGTGGCGTCGTGTAAAATTATTCTTTCGAGTAGCTTACGCGGATGATTTATGATTATACTCTACTTATTATACGATGAGACTGTAACTCTGCGAGGCTTTGAGAGAACGTATGCGCAATAAACGATCACATGGCCCATGTCAGATCACGAACGCCAGGCGGTATTTGCATAGTACATAACTCTATATGCAGACTCCTTTAATAGTGCTGACTTGCAAAGTGTGTGTGAGGTCAGACTCAAGTGTCAGCACTATTTCCTCGGAAATACAATGAATAAGACGACGCATAATTGTAATGGGATAAAGTTAGAAAAGCGTCCACGTCGGTTTTTCGCGCGCTACGCGCGTTAGACAAGACTATGCCAATGATAAATTTAATAATTTTTCTGCGATATTTTACGCGCTAGCAATTACCTCGTAGTATTTGGAAGGAGCCAATCGTAAAAAAATTTTTTTTGTGGTTCCATGGAAGAAATCGGAAAAATTCTGACTGATCGAGATGTTTTGTTGTCTGCCTGTGATGTAAGATTGAATGTTGGCAAAACTGACACGAGATTCTCACGCATGGAAAGTAAACGTGATACTCACAGTTGCGAGGGAGCACTTCGTTGTCTGCATAACTGCACGGCAGCCAAAGAAGCCAACAACAAGCACAGCGACTCCGAGGCCGACAAGGCCATAGGCCACTATGTATACAGTCTCGTGGGGGGCCTCGTCCGGTGCAAACAAATTCAGCAGATGGCCCTTGCCCGGTTCCATTAATAGCCATACTCCAACCACCATCACTGTGCAACCTGTCAACTAAGGTACATTCCTTTTTTACCGATTTCGCTCTACACAAATATTCCTTGTAAATTTGTTCATTCGAATAATCGTAATCCTTAGAACACATCACTAGCAGAAATTATCAAGCGTATCCACGTATAGCCAATAGAAATCAATGAATGCATAATCCTTACGACAGTTTGACTGAAATTTAGTCCACTTTGCATTACAAATAGTATTTTCCTTGTCGCTATGTATAAATCAGTTTCAGACGACGGAATAAAAAAAAGTTATTTTGAAATTGTATTTCGGAAAATGAGAATTTTCTATGCAACATTCGAGACTCACCCATATTAACAAGTTAAATGTGAATAATGCCACCTTAGCGTACTTCATTTTTGCAAATCTTTGTTATCTTTCATGGATCTGAAAAATGTAATATCCATTATAGATGTTATTTGACATAAAATTAACTAATAATGAATTTACTAACCCTCAATGAAAAGCTCAAAGTAATTGGAACCGCCTTGGCAAACTTCATTCTGGCGTGTGCCTTTCACTAATTCTGAATCTGAAAGATTGAAAAAGAAACGAATACATACAGCACGGTACTGTCTCATTTTCATCACTATATCTTTATTTATTGAAAATGATCAAAACACTTGCAAAGCGTAATAAAATACAATATTTTATCTTATTCACTGCAATAGATATTTTCTACAAAAATAAAAGAGGGTAAATGGAATAGCTAGAGGTGAATCTCAGCATGGTAAATAATGAAAAATTGCTTGACTATTAAGGTAGCTTAACAGATGAAAATTATTATTATCACTATTTAGCGCAAATAATCATCGACTAGCGTTGCTGTCAACATGTTTTCTTCGTTATTTAGAGTTACTCTAGTAGCCTTGGTTAAATCCAGATAGAGCTAATGGCCAAGCACACGTGAAAGCTTTCTCGGAAAAGTAAAAAAGACGCTGAGTTTACAGACATCTTCCGAGTGTTGTTCTGTACAGTCACGAACTGGACTAGTGCGGCTTAGATAATGTACAAGTGAAATATACTTTTCTGTTAATATTTCAAGTATAAAACGCATTAATGGGCCACGAAGTTCTTCATACCGAAAAAAAAATTATCTTCCATTTGCATACTTTTAAATAATTAGGGCCGTCTTGTAAACCTTTGCCTATTCAATTCACAACTTTCAATAAATTAACACTTGGAATTAGCACATTGAATGAGGAGTTATTCATAGTCACAGCGATCGAATTATTGAGCTTCTAAGCGATTAACTCATTTTATTCAACACTAGAATTTTCCAATAATAATAATTTTGAGATTGTTTGTTGCAATATACTCGTATTCTGAATCTCTAAAATTTGATAACTTCACGATTACAATACAAAAACTCAAAAAAACGTCAATATTTATTGGCTGTGAAGAGATAACAGACTTATAGAAACAATGAACATAAAGATATCAATTATAAAAAATAATACGACGATGAGCTTAATAATTTTTTATATAAACATAATAATACATACACGTATATATGAGAGTATACGACGAGTCAACTTAATAAATCAATAATTAATATTAAATTGATAATATCCTATTCATAATATCATCCTAGGAAATTTCACGCGTATACTACGAATATTTTCTGATTTTTTAAGAACATTTGGAGTTAAGTTTCATGAGAATTAGAAGAGCACATACATAACAGCTAAGTCGTATGATTTTCATAAATGTTAATTTCCGCAATGGCCACCAGCAAGACGTAGGTCGAATAAATGTCCAGGTCGTATATCATGTGCGATATTTGATTATAGTTGATATTAATGTCTACCCACAACTCAAATTATAGATAAATATCTCGAATGGCGTATAGTAGCTTATAAATAATAAAGATTAATCACGCTTTACTGCGATCTGATAAGTGTAAGGGTATTAGTTTAATAGTTTTGAAATGACGTATTTTTCAGACTAGAAAGTTACTAACAAATAAAACTTATTCGGAGTCGCAAGAGCCCAAGTTGAGAAATCTTAATTGTTTAGCAGACAGCTATAGTTGAGAAACTGTCATTCATGAAACGTACAAACTACCGCAAAGAGAAGCAGGCTATTTCGATATTCCACGTGGATCAATTGTCTCGACGCCAAAGTCGATCTCCCGAGGCTGAACCACATCAATTCGCAATACACGTACAGCCGAAATCCGGAGAGTAACTTAAACACAATAGCTTCAAGGGTTACCGAACACTTTTATTCCTATTTCTTTTCTTAAAATCGGTGTACGAATTTTTAATCATGTGCCAATATTCGAAAGTAATGTAGTATTTTATTTTCGAAAAATTTATATTTATCAGATGCATGTAGATTGGAAGAACTATTCAAAATCAATAATCCAATGTGCACTTGAGGTCGTCCACATGAAATAACTTTCAAAGTATTCGTTGAATTGAAGAATAAAATTTTAATAAAAGAAATTTCTGACATATCTAACAGATTCACCCGCCTTTAGCAGAGTAAATGTCAGCGAGAGTTGGCGTGAACGTGAGCAATCCAAAGAAAAAGAGGAAACATTCAAGTGCGCACAGGTGGTTGAATCCACGGAGCTGTACGCCTGCCGAGATCTTGACTTATTCTACTTAGAGAAGCAAGTCACGGCAGCACGCGCATCAAAGTGATAGCGATGAAAACTTTGGAATAGCAATGCGCAGGAGGTGAATTCGTGAAACGAGGTCATCCATTAATGAAACATTCCCCATTTCCTTGCCGACTTAACTCACATGAATGATACATGATACATGGTATGCCCTTAATTGAATTTTTCGTTTTTTATTCGCGCACCGCGAAATACATTAGCGCGAAAGGAATCTCAACTGGTTATGGCGACGCAGCGCCAACTATAACTCAGAATTTCATTAAAAAATGGAATACATTTAACACAGCACGTGAATTTCGACTGAAATCCAATGGCGCTGAGTACATTTGACCTACGTTTCCAAACGTCCTCCTGCGCCAAAGAAAGAATTGAAACGTCAATATCGCTACACTCAAAGCAAAAAAAGCAGTCCTCAAAGCTCAACCGTCGTTAATAAAAAGCCGTGAAAAATGGGGTACTTGCGATATTTACCCGTCGCATGGTACTGCTCTCATAGAAAAAGAAAATCACTCGAAATTCTGACGGTACACATCGAAACGCGCACCACAAAACCAAACCCAAGAAAAAAAAAGAAAACAAAAAAACTGTCGCACAGCTAGATCAATCTGAGCTAGTGGAGCGAGCACTGATACGATTCCGCGAGGTACGTACGGAGAAAGCAACTTCTCAGCGCAAACTTCCGCCGACTACTGGCGGCAGCATCCTACCCAGCAAGCGCTCCGAGCTAACTTTCCTCTTCTCCCATCCTCCTGCTCGCGAGTGCGCGCGACCCAGAGACGCGTGCGCCTCTCACTTTCCCTCTCTCCCTCTCTCCCTCTCTCTCACTCTCTCTATCCCTCTTCTTGCTCAACCTTCAACTACTTTACCACTGCGTGTACGGATTGATCAAATACGCATGAATACGTATAGCGGGCAATTTCCAAAAATCCTTTATTATCATTTACGATTTTGCTTTTTGCTTCTACTTCTGCTTGGCTCGTTTCATTGTATTATACACCTAAATAGATTGCGGCGTCAAATTTTTCTCAATGACACTTACACCGTGAAATGGATTAATCGAATTTTCAAGGACGAATTTGATCTGTTCGAGCATATAAACGTTTGAAAATATTGATCTCTTTTTCATATGAGAGCCAGATTATCGAGATTGGGGGATTAAATTGTAAAATATTAGGATGAGTAAATTATAATTTTCAATGTTATAGAAACAGAAATTGTATTCTGTAATGGAGGTGTATTTTACTCTAGAAACACCTAATCGATTCTTTTTACGTGAAATGCTATTATTCAATATTTATCTAGATTGGGAAACTTATCCACGTCAAAATTCTTTTTGATAACACACTTATGCAATCATCAACACTAAATAGTGGCAAAAAATAACGTCAACGTTTGATACTTACTCGTTATTTTCAACAGTAGAAGAGCTTTTTGCGCGTGAAACGTCGATAAATACAGAAAAAGTATTCCTACGCCAAATACGATTTCAAATACTGACATTTACTTAACTTGTCACAGCTATACCTTTACATTGTCCAGGTTGATCTAAATACAAACCACCTATCTAAAGATCAGATTTAAACATAGAATTATATACAATATTTATAAAAATAAAAAGGAATTTTATTTTCATTTTTGATTTTATGTAAAATAAAAAAGTTTAGCTTTCAAGTTTATTGATTTATAACAGTATTGGATAATCCTAAATTCATTTTGAATTGATTTTTGTTTCTCATAAAATGACATTTTCCTATGAATTTATTACATTATTATTGACAAAGGACTCGATTTTGCGAATTATGGATTTGCACTTTTCTTCTTTGAAAACGAACTTGTATTTTCTTCATTGAATGAATCGTGAGCCACTTACGCGGAAACAGCAATATCCTGAATAACTTGAGTGAAATTCATAGTATAGATATCAAGCTGTTCCAGTTTCGGTGTCACAGATGCATATGTTTTATTAGTTTCAAACAATTATTCAGCCTTTACGTTGCATTCATTTCTGTTAACAATGATTCACACTGTACTTTGCGTCGACGTATGGTAGTTCCATTGCCGAGTAAAGTTAACGAATCACTCGCTTTTTTCCATTGAGTCTGTTTTCTTCATTGTTAGCGCATGATCCCGTTTTCCACGTCTCTGTTTCTACTGTCTGCACCATGCGTCGCTCGTGGTACTGGAAAATTCAATGCTACCCGCGGAGAATAGGATTTACGCGGACTTTTTTCCTCTTCACGCGCAGTGCAGCCTTTCTTTCGTTTCTTAATCGTTCGTGCAAATAATTTTATGAATTTGTATAGGATAACTTTTCGCGGTCGAATGCCGAAAAAAATTTCAATGTCGTTTTTAATGCGAACTTTTTTTGAATTCTTAGAATATAAAATATGTCCGTGAACCATCTTTCATTTCAAGACTGCCCATCTGCTACTATCTTTTTGCGAATATTGCATGCAATTGCACACTTTGACGTAACGCAATTGGATCAGCGAAATTCAGAATCAAGAAAATAAAAAACAAATTTTGTCAATAGTGCGTAATAGAAACTTATGTTGCTCGGCTTATGAATGCAGAAATCAGAAGCTGTCTCGTCATTTTGAAAAGCAGCTGCTTTGATCAGTAAAAATGAATGTCAAATTACGAGGTACATTTCGAAATGCGTATGTTCAAAGGAATACGGGAATTACTTTTGATGGGCATTGAGCAAAAGTCAGCACATGCACAGAACAAACAACTTATTAATTATGTAATAGTATCAGTCACGAATAACTTTAACTTTATGAATACTATTTATAGCTAAATATTCGTCATTGTGAGGCGACGACAATCTTATATTTATATGTGCGGATATATGTGTCCATGTGTCTTTTGTTTATCGTTATTACATTGCTAATATCGTTGAATTTCCCTAAATACCTAGGAAATTTCGTGTGATAGATGAAAAAATTGTTTTCTAGTAGAATCATCGAATAGAAAAAAAAATGAATAGTTATTTTTCAGAAAAAATGTCAAGGAAGGAATTAATCGATAAATACAAATATACAACGCACGATCTTTTATTTTCCGAAGAGCAGCGAGCAGCTTCGTTAAAAAGTGATAAACTGCGTATGATATATGAACAGGTGGGTACTTTAATTAAAGACCAGCGGCTATTAGGAGCAAGCTTGCAAGCTATTCAAATGCGCCTCTTACACGGCGAAAGTAAGTTAAGACGCAAACGAGAGAGGAGGCCTGGTAATTACAACAACTTTCGCAGTCTATGTGCTTGTATTCTTTTTTGACCCCATTATCCTAACGAATGCCTGTTTGAAATTTTATATGCAAAAGTGTCGCCACGCCTCGCATTGCCACAAGCCCTTCTTGCTTTCCCGCTGCCTTCCACCCCTCTGCCTCTCTATTCCGTGAGCTGTTAGTACGTATAGCACAAGCTATCCATTATTTTCTATTTTTAGTAAGCGCCTTTTTTTCTTTCAGTCTACGCCTTCAAATGAAATCGCTCGAGCGTATCGTGCATTTTTTCTTCTCGTCTCTCTCTCTCTCTCTCTCTCTCTCTTTCATTCTTACTAAACTATGCCGACATTTTTCGTTGTGTCCCGCTCATCGCCTTATGCATTCCTGTCAAATTTATGCCTAAAATGAAATAAATTGCGTTTCTTTTCACTCGTCATTCCTTATTGCGTTAGACGGTTCTAGAAATGACGTCATGCTTGGCAACTTTGTAAAAACGATAACACAGTTTTTATTAGAATTCAAATGTGAGTGTACATGGTGAATGTAAAATGAGCAGCGCTGAGAACGTTCAACAATTTTCGGCCTTAATTTTTAGCCAGACGAGCGCATGCAGCTTGACTTTACATCACAAGTGAACCCTAGAACAAAGTCAAACTCTGAACACGTCAAAATTCGAATTAATTTGGCTACGTGACTTGGCAAGAGGCGGAAGACCTGCTCGGGCGCGTTTCTCTTGGGTTGACTACGGTGTATGGCAGCTACTTGAATGAGAACTCCTCCGCCGCAAATCCACCACTCGCTCTGTATAGTCTCATAGACTAATTGAATTTTAGCACTCGCAGACAAATCTTGCTGGATATAATGCGACAATTTTCCTTTGTGAAGCTTACGTTTAATTTCATTAGCTTCGGTAGATTTTGATTTGCAGTTCCCGCCATGCCTGCATAGCTCTTTACTGCAAAAGAACGTTATTATATAAATATTCGACAAGTAACTCTGTGGATCGAACCTGAAAAAAACGTAGGTTTCTGGTCGGCAAATTTAACAACAATTGGAATACGTCATGTCAACGTATTTGTTTTAGTCGAGGTAATCGTGAATCAAAGTCTTACTTCGATAAATATACGGCTTACACGCGTGCATCAAAATCTCATATCACAATTCGATTCGTAGAATACGTCATTCGGTAAGAAAAACGTAACGAAGAAGACATTGGAGTGTTTCTCGAGACCTGCTCAGTCGAGAAGAGCAGAGTTTGGGCAGCATCCGAATTTAGCCGCGAGCAGGATAAAGGCGGAACGCGTCGCGTCCAGAAATAGACTCGCGACTGGGGTAACGCACGCGCGCTCGATGCACCTGGGCAAAACTGTTGCGCCGGTCGATATAAGCTCGCTCGCGCCGCCCGCGCGTCATTCTCAACCTTCCTCTCCGGCGCGGCGCTCGTGCTCGCGCTGAAAGTGTGTCAAGCCAATGATGCGCCGAAGCGATATTTGGACGGTGAAATTGTCTGTGACGATGACGACGCGCCCGCCAAGCTACCCCGACAAAGTATATAACGCAAATTTCATCATCATTTTAACACTTTTGCATTCACATTTCAGTTTAATGTATATATATCCTTTATCCATGTTATACATATTTTGGATAAACGTACGAGCTTGTACGTATTTAACAAAAACATTTTAATGAACTAAAAAAGTGAAAAATAATCAAAGTCAAAAATAAGTCAATGATGCTTTTTTCCATTCAGATTCTGTTGACTCGTCCCATCTTTACATCTGTAAGTATCCTCGGCACATTGAATGAGAATCAAAAATAATGACGTTAACGAAGAGGTTCCCGAAAACATAATATTCACGTGATATTTGTGCTTGACCATAATTTAAAACATAGAACTAAAGTAGTCTTAAGTCAAAGTTTAATATGTCAGCTTATTGCCCGAGGCGAATAAGTAGGTAGCTTCTCCGGCTTGCTTGCACGGACGCCTTAGTATTTTGGAGCTTCTCTATGACGTAATTCGCAGAACTTATCAGTAGCTTTGTATCACGCTTGGTTCTCCCCAAGTTTTCTAAAATACTTAATAGTATTAAAAAAGCGGAACAATTTTTGTCTTAATCGTTTCAGATTGCTTATGTGATATCAATACAGAACTACAACTTCAAAATATAGTATTACGTTGCTTCTTTTGGAAACAAATAATTGCGCTCCCCACCAAGTTCTAAGAACAATACCGAAACGCAAGGCGCAAACTAGCGAAACTGGGAGTGATAATCATCAAATAAGTCGGTTGCCTTAGCTTTCGAAAAAATACGTGTAATGGAATGCAATAAAATTTGCATAATAATATTTTCCAGTCTATTGTAATAATAATATACAGATAGGGAAATAAATAAAATTGAATAGAACATTCATACAGTATATTTATATCGAAAACATGAATTTCAAATGATTATTTATTAGCGATAACGTTACCTGTGCTTCTTCTGTCTACAAAAGTATCCAATGATTTGGAATACGTATTTTATCAGTACTTCAATAACAAAAATTATCGTAGATGTTGACAGTCCAGTCACCATGATTATACCTACGAACATGAGGAAATCCCCGCGAGTCACGCGCGACTCTTTAACAACGACATCTAGCGTTTTTATAAAAAATGGCTGGTCGTTTTTCTTCTCTGGTTCTATGTTTCCCAAGCCAGCTTCAAGTATTTGTTCGACGGTCCGATCGAACTTATCAACGAACGACGACGCAGGCGCAAAGGCAAAACTGATCGGTTCTTTGTGAAACGTAAACTTAGTTATTTTCATAGCAGCATTACCCAATTGAAATCGTTCGATTGCTTTCGTATACTCTTGCATCACGATCTTGGCGCGCGTTACTGAAGTCACGCAGGCAATTCGTTCGTTATTCGATTGAGTTGTCAACAGCTGAAATGCACACTTCTGTATGTTCTCATAAATTCGCGGCTTGTGTCTCAATGATCGTGCCATATCCTTGTTACCTGTATATATTTCGTAGAAGAAATTTCGACTCATGTAAATGGTTACATTGGAGTTTGTAACATCTTCAAGATTATCAAAACGTTTCTCTTCTACTCTTACTTTGAAATCTATAAATTTAGAATACATCAAAGTTGAATAGACCATGTTGAAAACGATAATAATGAAAAAAATGAGTCGTTGTATCGATTTCTTCGGTTGAGTTGCTGCCGCAGTTCCCAAGAGAATTTGCGCGATATCGATGGCTCTCCATGTTCGCTTCGGAAAATTAAGCTTACGGGATATTATTACAAAGCATAACACAGCACCTGCGATTATTTCACTGAATAATTGTACTGGTATAGGCTCTATAAAGCGAAGTTCCTTCACGATAGGTACAATCAGGACATATTTTTCTGTCAGAAGTACTCGAGATAGTATTAGGCCATCATTTAGTCTGATCGATCGCACGAAAAGAGGGATCATTGACAATTCTACTTCGTGTCTCTTTAACATTTTTGCAACATACCTTGTATTTACATCATTCTCACCTTCCAATTGCCTTGTAAACTGGTACGAAAAATTGAACTTTCCAGAAAATGCATTGAAGAAATTAGAAATATATCCAACGCCATTTCTATGAACGATTAAGTTGAGCGGATCGTTAAATATTGCACACGCCATTTCGTATCCATAAAAATTGGTAAGCTTATCGGGAAAAATTTTAGTCTTACGATTCGCATCAATTTCCGAGACACAATTTGAAAACCCGTTGTAATAAAGCAGTTTTGCAGATGTACTCGCCATATCGATCACAGACACATCTAAAACCTTTGAGTCCCAAGCTTCATACAAGATTTTCTCTGCATGGCTTTTATTTCCATCCGACGTTACAATGAGTAATTTGGAACTCACTGTATCGACGAACTTAAAAAAATCATTCAGCTGATTTAATAATACTAATTCACAAGTTTGTGAAAGAAACAATATATACAACGTAGAACCTTCCAATTTTTTTGAGTAAACTGATTCTGGGATATAATTTTTCTTTACGGTTGAAAATTCGAAAACATATGTAGGAATTTGTTGAATAACAGCACTTGTAAATGAAACTTCACTTGAAAATTTATCTTGCCGTAAAATTGTCACTTGACGGAGCCCATGCTCGTCAACAGTTTGTTCTATGATCGCATTCAGAGAAAAAGGTTGTTTAGCTTGTACTATACACTTGAAACAGATTGGAATAAAAAATATATATAATTTCAACCACATACTTAATAAATTAGTTACTATCCTTAAAAAATAAAAAGTATAGATTTTCAAATTTTAATCGCACATTATTTCACGCATAAATAGTTTTGCAAAAATACTATTTTTTATTACAAATTTTATTATTATGATTTATTTCCATGGTAGATAATCATCTTGCTACATCAAAGTTTTCAATGTGAGACCATGCGCCAGCTAAAATGATGTCTATCACAGTAATAGAATGAGTGCAAAAGCAATTATGATTATTGGAAAGAAATTGTGATTACATTAGACTCTATTTTTAATTCATTCCTAAAATATAATATGTGTAATCCAAATATCTCCCTTAATAGATCAAATGTAATGGACATTAGTATTCAATTTAATTTCAGAATTAGATATAATGCTATAACCATGCATATTATAGTCTTTAATCAAAGAAAATTAAATAATTATGTTTTTAAATGATTTTTAAAAGCTAACAGACAATTTTTAGAATTGACCATTAAAAATCTGTTTTCAATTATTTGTATTCATTATAATATTTATAAATACACAGTTTATACAGCTATTCAATACATAGTCACTTTCACGTAATATACACTTAAAATTTTATCGCTTAAATTTTTATTTTACTATGCATAATGGTCCGGAAAGTATATTGAAATAGTTAAATTTTTTAAGCTAGCGCTATAATCATAACTTTATATTACCTTGCTCATCGGCCAACTGATTGAGTTTTAGGTTGATTCTATTCATGCTGTTAGATATTTATTGAAAACAATAAACAAATTGTGGCAACGGCTAAAGCTTTTTTTAACGTGGTTAGACGTTATAAGTGAATTAATATTTCGCATTAAATGATGACAGTATGTTTATTTAAAAAATGTATTACTTTTTCTGATATCGCTGTTATAAATGTTAAATATTATAAAATGTATCCAAATAAGAATAGGTCATAGGAAAAGACTCAATATTAGCTAAAATAAATGTAAAAGTAGATTATTATACAATAAATTTATTGTTACGTCATTAACAAATTCTTGACAAATAATTTTTATTCTTCGTTGATATTTAATTGATCAATTTAAAAGTAACTTACATAGAAAAAAATCATTATTAAGTAGAAAAAAAAAACAGACTTAAATATATCTATCGGCAGTAGTACAAGATATGACTAAGGTACTTTTCCCTGACCGATTATAGAATATGAAAATGTATAAAAAATGTATTTAAGTAATCGTCAGGAAAATGAAGTCACATAGATTAAGATTCTCACAGTTAATTGCAAGAGTCAATTGAATAGTATTATTTCTTTGTCGTTATGCTTTAATACGTGAAATATATCGTACAATCTTTATACTAAATATCATGATATCGATGTAGTTATGATAAAATCATTCGTGAACCAAATATTTTGCGTAAAATTATTGGTTCTCGTATAGTTAATGTTAAGAAGATGATTGAGAATTAGGCGATCTATTAAGACAAATCATGTGAGAAGTCATTGTAATAATATTTGCTTGCTTTTTTTATAATAAAAAGGTAACTTGAGATCGCTCAGTTCCCAGTGGGCTTTCATATAAAAATCTATATTATGATCGAATTTGATTAGAAACATAGATCTATAAGTAGCCATAAGATAAGTAAATAATAATTTACTTACATTAAACTCTTCATTGAGTTTTTGTTCTATCACCATTTAAGTAACAATCCGTTTTTTCGTAAATATATCGTTGTACTAAAATTACAATATTAAGTACACGCGTTAGATCCCTATTTCAACAAAGAACAACCTTCGCAGTCATATAAATTTGGCAGTATAATTGATACATTCACATAAATAATCGATTTCATAAAAAAAACATCACTCAAGCTTACAATATGAAAATGTACAAAATCAATCGTCTCTCGTTACACACTAACACGTTTTTTCCTACAGCGCATATTAAAAATCCAAATAAACCCATTTAATTGATCATTTATCTTTCTTCTTTTTTTGGCAATTCTCAAATGTACAATTAGCAAATGCAATCGTCACAATGCGCTAATGATTAAAAAAATAGCTTTGTTCCAATTGACAAACACGTACATTATTTACACAATCGCTCACTAATGCAAAAAAAAAACAGATAACAAATATACATAGAGAACTACAATCCTCTGTCGTTCGTAACAAGGAAGCTCCCAGGAATAGAACAGGGACAACTTGTTTTTCGAGTAAAAGATATTTCGTTTGACAAAAGAAGAAAAGTAACAATAAGGTATCGCGACTACAGTTCAGTGGTAGTCTCAACGGGGCTCTGTTCGCCAAGATAGGAAAATCCGAATTGCGTGTACTCCTTCCTGAAGACGACATTGTCGTTGGACGGGCTAGCGCTCATGAGGTCGTGGTTGTAGAGTGGATTGAGTACGGGCGTTGCGTCGCGATTGTCGCGTTTGCCCAGGGTACTGCTGTTAGCCGCTGCCGCGGCATTAATATTGTTCTTGCGCCCGAGGGTCGTCGATCGTCGCAACGAGTGCACCTCGTGCGTGCCGGCGATACTTGACGCTCGGGCCGTCGTTGCCGCTTCGGACGAGACTGGACTTTGCTGACCTGTTTCGAGCATCGCAATCATGTCATTTAGTCAGACGTCGCGAGAGTCGCACTTGCATAGTCAAAAGCCACCGATTAAGCCTTGAAGTATTCGGCTGACGACGGTGAATTGGCAAAATTTGCCTTCAATAAAATGCCATGCCCCGTTAATTAGCTCAGTGTACACGTGGAAAATGGCTGTCGTTAGCGAGAAGCTCACATTGATCAAAGGGGACAACACCGACCGATCGAACTTATTCGCAGCGAGATCCGAAGCAAAGTTAATCATGCGTATAATGAAAGTGGCAGTGGAATTGCGCCGTATGACTCGTAACGCCGATATAACGAGCCTCTCGCGCAAATGGCAACGAATCAAAGAGAGAATCTAATTAACTTTGGGATAAAGTGCGCATACCGGTGCTCTCCCCGTTCTCCTTGGTGATGTAGCTGACGTTGTCGAGGCTGAAGGCGTGATTTTTATTACTGAAATCCAGCTGCAAGTCGTTGTAGCTGTCGTTATCGTCGATGGGAACGCTCATCTGCAGCACTTGGGTCTCGTATTCCTTGAGATTTGGCTCGACGTAGACCGGATCGTACCTCGGCACCACGTACATCCGCTGCATGCGCTCCTTATAAGCCTTATACCTGTTGACAATTTTCACGCGGGCCAATGCCCGTGCGTCATTCGTAGTATGTCCCGATGCACAATTTTACGAAATCGCATTAGTCTCTTGGAGCAGCGCTCGCGCGATCGTCAATCATCGCGTCGCTAGAAATTACAACAACCCGCTCGTGTACGGGGAAAAAAAATGCACCGGGGAATTGCCGAATTCGTGAATTATTTACGACAGACCGCGTATGATGCGCGTTCCATTTTGACTGCAGGCTGTGCGCATTGGCGAGTAATTTGTATAATATAAATGTCAGGTGACGGGCGGTCAGCTAATGCCACGGATACGCAAGCGCATTCGATTAATTCATCGGGTCAAACAGTCGTTTCGAACCTGGTTTATCGACTACCATCCTGTTTACACCAAGCGCCATCATCGATTCTCCGGTACAATTAAACCTACAGTCGCTTCGAACGAGTATCAACGAGAAGAGCGGCCGAAAGTTTCATTGTATTCTTTCGCAGCGAACAGAGTCCGCAGAGCTTAACGAATACATACGTAAATATAATAACAAGCGCGAGATAATAATTTCGCTCGAAACATCAGTACGTAGAGAACAGACTATCTAATATGCATCAGAGAGCACCTTTGCAAAAGTGCTTTTACGCTTTCTCTCTTGAGGTTTTCAACGAAATAAACTGGCAAAGAAATGAATTGACTGTACGATTCGCTTAGTGCCTCAGTCTGATGATGTTATGCGCGCACGCGCGTGTGTCTGTATGTGTATGCCAACTCTTCGAGAATTCTAAATTGACACGCGATCATGCAATACAATTCACTTCCCGCGCGCTTCCACTTCTCTTTCTTACTTTTTGTTAAAGAGCGTGCACATGGTGGATCTAGGTGAACGAACTAAGTATATCACTGTTAATAAAAGTTTAATATATAATATATATATAACGCGGGTCGGGTGTTTCGCCTACAGTCGAGCGAAATTATAGAAAAAAAAAGTATAGGATGCGCGTACGTTATCGTTTCAGATAAATGGCTTTTCGATACGCACTTTCGACTTTTCTTTGGAATTCTAGACAGATAATTTTGAAAAAAGAAAGTATATACGGGTAGACAGGTGATTAGGAGTAAAAATCATTTCCAGATTATTTTTTAAAATAAATATATGAAAATATAACGAATTTAGCGAGTCGTGAAAAATAAAATAGACGGCTGAAAATTAAGTGAATAGCCACCGTTATGTTTTCTTGCTTCACAAAGTTGACCAATTATTTCGACGAACTTTTCTCGCAAATTTTCAATGAAACTTTCTCCGTTTAATTGCAACGAGACTTTCTGCGATATCGTAGAGTATATAATTTTATCATCACCAGTTTATGACACATACTAATTTCAAGTATGTATTAGTCGAAGGTATGCGATGCAGAATGTAAAAAGTATACAAGTACTGTCATGAACACAGCGCGCAGTCATAAAAATGCGCTTCAAAGCAAGTCCTTTCATTTTTACAGCCGTTTAAATTTACAAAATACTATCAATTATCAGACTCACCTGGACCACGATACGCAAATGTAAATGATGCCAGCGATGCCAAGTACAAGAATGACAAATGCGATAACAATAAGTGCGTAAGGGAAGACCTCGCCACTGAAAGCGATGGCAGTATGGGTGCGAGCTGGCTCTGGCTCCATTATGGGCGCATGCACGTCAACCACCGTAGCACGCACTAACGGCGACAAGTCGTACGTAATGTTGGACATCGAATGCTTGTCCAAGATTAGCCTGCGAACCAGTTGAACAGGCAATTCACTGTGAGCACTTATTTTTTTCTCTCTTTCCTTTTTTTCACGCGGTGAAAGTTGCATTCCACGGGCAGGTGAACGATTTATGAACTTTTTGCTTTATCGGTTGCCGCTTAATTTGATTATCGACTATTATTCACTGATCTTTTTTCTCTTTTTTATTGTTATAACGTTCTTATCGTTTAAAGCGGCGTTGTGCGATCGTTGAACTAATAACGATTCTGGAGTGGAGGGGAGCAGTGGACAACGTACACGAGAGAGCGGAAAATATTGTAAAATTTTCATTCTTAAGGCAGTATACTTTCGAACGATTTGGCTTTAGCCTTGAGATATTAACTAAGCGCTACTCAGGTAAGCATTTGCTATTCTCTGTATTTCTACAATAAATGTCCATAACTCTATTCCCACTTAAGTGATTTAAAAAAATTCAATAAATACAGTACCCGACGTCGTTGAAAAAATATTTTTTACTGCGTTTTTTTAAATTTTAAGTGCACGCGAGCGTTAAATTTTACGACGAAGGCATAAGAAAACACTACGCCGAACAGTAAAGTTAAAAAAAATTACAAACTCAAACTGAATATTTTCGTCGACAACGGGAACCAAGGAAAACTCAAACTGCACAGAATGACACACACAATCGACGTTGCATAACGAGCGTACTCCTCAAAAACTGATCACTATCTGCTAGCAACGGCAGCAGCAGCAGCAGCAGGAAAACACATTAAACTTGCGTCTGTATAATGAGTGATTCATACCAGGCATAATTTTGTGGCTCATCGTCGTTAATTGCAGCAATTCCGAAACTTCTCGATAGGACACACGTAAAAGTACACTACACGGTTATGACTAAAGAAATCGACTAGCCGCCGCTGCTGCTGCTGCTGCTGCCACTCGAACGTTCGCTTTCTAGGTCGATTTCTAATGCGCCGCCGGTAACGCGCTCACATCGCGTGGGGATACAACAACTCATATGTACATACACAAAAATGCACTCGTACTTTCAATAAATATCGCGGTTCGTTATGTATGCGTATTTCTCGCGTTACCACTTTTTTTGCATTTTTTTATAATATTTAAACGACTGAAGTTTGTTTCGAGTTTCAGCGGATTGTTTTTTATTTAATCTTTGTATTCAATTGGAGAGATTAGTACTCTAATTAATTTCCCTACAACTATTTTCAGTGTTATTTTCACACGCGATTATACAACTGTCTATACAATTATATTGTACAATGAACATTTAACTATTTTATATATAACTTTTTTCTCAATTATAATATGACATACGATTCGATTAGACATTGAAAATAAAAATCAGGAGAACGTAATACGATTGTTATTTCATAACTTTTTGTAAGCTGATATAGTATATATTTACTTATTCGATTCTAAACCCTTTTGCCTTTTTACGTTAAAATTATGTTTCACTACAAGCTCATTACTCATTATCATTCTAGTAATTTCTAATTTTGGTTCCTGTTACTTTATTTTTATGTTTTCTGTACTAAATATACCATGCTATATACTCTATGTGCAGTATTCGCGTTAATATAACACCGTATATTTGAGTGTGTTTAAAACAATATAAACAATTTCTTTTAATTTAATCTAGTTGAATGTATTAATTATTTTGTACAATTAATATAAAGTGGATTTTTATCTATCAAATTGTTACACGTTCATGTTGAAATTCTTGACAATGGATAATTTGGATTAATTCACACTCTTCTTAATTTAAACTTAAATATTTCAAATTAAATTATTAAGGAAATATAAACCTAAAATTTGTATAAAATTTTTTTTATTTAAAGTAATTCAGGTATTTGTGGCTTATCATTGTCAGAAAATGTAAATTAACGAAAACAAAACTGAAAGAAAATAAACCCATACTCACTTATTTAATAAAGTGCTGTTCCTCGTCAAAATTTTCTCGGTATTGGGATCGATAGAGTAGAACCAAATATCAGAGTCGTGATGTCGAACCTCAAGGGTATTGTTAACTGAGAGTAACCTACGCGAGTCAATCTTTTCAATTTCAATAAGCAAACCAGTCTTGTCCTCAATTAATCTAGCGATCTTGAATCTGTCCTTGTGCAACGATTCTGGTGCAGCGTTTTGCACTGTCAAGATAAGAAAATGTTCTGGCCCTACAAGATTGACAATTACTGGGGCTTCCACGACGTTCGTGTTATTTGTTGAATTGGGATTGTCTTTGGCCTGAACGATAAATCTATGCAAAAAATATTTTAATATATTGATAAAATAAATACCTATTATAAAAATTAATCAATGTCTGTATGCCGATATTTTGATCGGTTACTATATGGAATGAGAAACAAAGAAGAATTACCTGAAAGGCAATTCTTGCGGCTCAACAGTATCAAAATTAGCAGTAGTTCTTATAATTCCAGAAGTCGGATCGATGGCGAAAAAGTCGTTTGCACGAGTGTGCTCGGTGTCGAAGATAAGGGAGAATTCAAGTTTGCCATATTTGCCGTTGTCCTTGTCGTGAGCTTTCACCTCGAGTACCGTCGAGTCAAACTGCGCCACCTGCGGCACCTTAGCGAAGAATCGCTCTTTCGTTATATTTACTTGTGGGAATACAAACGTCGGCTTGTTGTCATTCACGTCTACCACTTGGACTTTTACCTACAAAAAGCAATTCATTCATATAAGTTAAAAGTTTATCTCATGGCATTATTGATAAACAAACTTCAATAATCTTAATAAAATGTGCATTGGAAATATGAAATCAATAATGCGATTTTCAAGATAGTAGAAACGACATGAAAAAAGATAATGGTTGAAAAAGTTTGAATAAAATAATATTTTTATCTGAAAATGCCGACGTGCGTTCTATTTTCGAAGCAATCACAATGTTATACAACACGGTATATCGATTCTCGTTAAATTAAAGGTCTAGCGGATGCATTTTATGCAGACAAGTATACATAGTAACAGAAACCGCTATATCAAATATATATTATGTGTGTGTGTGTGTGCAAGCGCGCGCGTGTATCAAGTGAACCGCAAATCCTCCAGTGTATTCCTTTTCAAATTAAAAAAGAAAATAATGGTGTCTGATGTTTTTTCATGTAACGACATTTACAACATTCTTCTAATGTTCTTTGACTGTACAAGCAAACATCTCACATTGACTTGTAAAGAATACAAAATTCTTATTGCTTACTCGAACAATAAGACACGTTGCATCTTACCATGGTAGTATTTCTGCCGCTTTTAAGCATTCCAGCGTGTGCCTCCAGCCGGATTTTGATCTGATAACTCTCGGTCGTCTCAAAATCCAGCTCGGTCCTGTCCAACCACAGCCCACAGTTCCTCTCCTCAGTGATATTGGTGTAGAACAAATCCTGATCATTACCCTCGTAAATCTCGCAGCTCACTGGTGCCATGTTGTTAGCGTTGGAATTAATAATGCTAAGCGTCTTGATTAGTGTTCCTGATATGGCATCCTCGGGCACATCGACGTTGTATGAGTCCTCGGCGAAACCCAAACCTAATTCCGAAGCTGGACTAGCAACGTGACGAACGAAAATTGGCACGGTATTAACCGATGACAATTGTGGATCACCAAAGTCGTAAGCACGAATGTCAACTTGGAATTCAGTGTCTTGTACTTTGCGCAAATCGTCGCGTACCCGTAACACTCCGGAGTCTGAATCGATTGCAAAATACTTTCCGGCTATGCCACGTCCGATCACTTCATAGCGTACCTGAAAAGTTGCATATAAAATTATAAGCTTGTATAATGTATTTCTTGTCTGACAATGCACTAGCTATAATTTAGTTGTAAACTGCGATATATTATTATTTTTTGTAGATACAGTTTCCAACTTCACAAACTCTTGTCTATCCTTTTTTATAAATTGTCATTTCAAAACGACATATTTTCATTTGAGAAAGGTTAAATCGGTATTGAAAGAATTATAGCTACGATATTATTTTGGTGAAAGTCGGTATATCAAAGGAAATTCTTCATTATTGAAATCCGAAATTTGATTATAGGTTTTCGATAAGACGTATTGCACCTTAGGTACAGTTTGGTAAGATTTCGTCGTAACTTTACCAACTGAGAATCTGTTATAATGGACAATATCCAATAAGGAATAGTCGAGATAAATAGATAAAATTTTGAAGTATTATACCCCAATTTAATCATATAACTGACATAATTAAAGCGAATATATTGCGCCGCATTTGCAATGATTTAAAATTATTTCTCGAAATCAGACCCCTCATCATTTTACACATTAATAAGCAACTCCAAAGTGAGTTAATCGAGTGAAAGGGAAATATGATGCGTAATAAGCGTTCAATGGGTAATAACAAAGAAAGCAATATTCACCTGGTTGCCAGGTGCAGTGCCGTCGGAATCCGTGGCAACCATATTAACCACAGTCGAGCCAATGGGCACAGTATCATCCAGCCTCACAGGCCTGGGCACCATTGTAAAGACTGGTGGTATGTCGTTGACATCCTGCACATTGATGACCACGCGTGTCGACGAGCCAGGCAAGTTACTCGTGTTTTCCAAAGTGCCGATTTCTAACACGTGCATACTTTCTCGCTCGTAGTCCAATCCACGAATTGTCTTGATTATTCCCGTCTTGGGATCGATGCTGAATAGATCGGTATCGCCAGTCTTGATAACATAAGTCACTTGCTTTTTCGTGTCCGGATCGTCGGCCTGAATCACACGCAACACTTAATAAAGTAGTCAAAGGAAACACTGACAAAATTGGATTTGAAACTCACATTGACTTGCACGACCATGTACTCAGGAACGTTTTCCTTGACGCTTGCCATGTAGCTACTTTGATGGAATATCGGCACCTCGTCCTCGACATCAACCACGTGAACGGTAACGGTGGCGGTAGCAAGTCGCGGATCCGGTGCTCCATCGCGAGCTGTTACTACGAACTTGTACTCCTGTATACGCGAACGGGTGCAGAGCATCAAATATTAATACACAAGTTCGTACATTGGAAATCGATAGTCGTGACGCGCTGGCACATTTTCAATTCCCCGTCAACTTGATTGTTTTCCGAATGTACGTTGAAAGTAGAACGCGATATAACAGTGCGAATGACTTTTAAAAATGGCTTTCCGCTATTTTGTCCGTGTGACAAAAATGTCGTTAAATTAATACTACGTTTAGTAGTTACATAGATATTGTTTTTATTTTATTCTTAGCCGCGCTGCTGAAGTGAATTTATAAAGGAATTTAAGGATCGTTCGTGCAATGTACCATTGTTGCCTGTAACGATTACGTAAGTAAATTAATCAGGTAAATGAGAATATTTTTACGTGATTCTGTTCATAGTCGAGAGCAATCTTGGTCAGAACATCTCCAGTCTCAGGATCGACAGTGAAAGGTATATCGTCCGGTGCGAAGTAAGTGATTTCCGCATTGATACCCTCGTCGGCGTCTTCGGCATGCACGCGACCAATGAGCTTACGCGCCTCGCCTTCTTTCACTGTCAAGTCGTATGGTAAGCCTTCGAATTCCGGATTCTTATCGTTGATATCCGTCACCTTAATATTCACTGTGCAGGTACTTGACAGTCCCCCCGTATCTTCAGCTTTTATTATCTACGGGATAAAGTGAAATGACAAAATTTATGAGGTTGAGATCTCAATTTTCAATGCTCTCATGACTTTTCGAAAAATAATTTGATAATTCTTTTGTAATGAGTATTGCAATCTACTAAAGCTTAATGCACCTTGAGAAAATAATGTTCGTTCAATAATTATAAGGGTAAGAGACGAAACGACGTAACAATTGCAAAGCACGTGCATTTTCTATTAAATCTCAACAAAAGCGCCTGTTCCGCTGAACATAATGAAAGGACTATAGAATTTCCACGAAATTAGATCAATAACTGATAACAAATGAAGTCATCTAAAAATCAATTAAAATACCGTTTGAAAAAGAGGTATTTATCCTGCCAACTTCTCAAGGTAAAATTCGATGGACATGCCTGGTTAATTAAACGCGAATTGACGCTGGTAGAAAACTTTCTTTACAAAAGAATTCGTAAAAAAATTAACCACGTTTTTCGTAAGCTTCCTACCAAAGCGCAATATCGATAGTCGTATAAAACAGTACTCAAAAACTTACCAGCTGGTATCGCGTAAGGTCCTCCCTGTCGAGCTTCCTTATGACAGTTATAACTCCAGACTTATCGCCAATAGAAAACTGCCTGAGATCGTTACCCGAGACGATGGAATAGGAAACGGGATCGTTTTCGGGATCGACGGCCTGTAACAGATAAATGAGGAGCACATTAGTATATAAATGCTGGATATTAATTGCTCGCTCAATTACGATTAATCCATCGAGCGGTTGTATCGTTTAATTTTCACCACGTCAACGAATGATTGATGTGACTCGGGACCTACAGCTGGAAATCAATTTTCATCGGGATTGTCGAGATAGTTTTAAAATTAGCATCCAACGTGACTTTCAGACAAGAACTTTTAATGAGAAAATTCTCCCTTTCTTAAAAAACTGATGGCCTGAAAAGTGAAGGCAGTTTATTCGCGAAGTGATTGGCCGAAGAATAGTCACGTAATCAGCTGTTATGTGATAGTACTCGTATCTAATTGTAAGCACATAAAAGACCACTGCAGATTTTCGTAGATGATTAAACGTTCGAAAAGTATATCCGTACAGTTGGCATAAATTTAGTATGAATTGATTGATTTATTCATACTGATCTCAAAATAAAAAACGGCTGATACCTCGATAGACAATTCAATTGAAGTTTGCTCTACGTAAATAGTTTAGCTTTGAACAAACAAAGTAGGCAATAAAAGATATAAACTGCAGATTATCACGATAAAGTATTGTACAGTGATTTCGGCTTGATTCAATTACGTCAAATATTATAATATTAAAAAATAATATTGTATTAAAAAATTTTGTTAAAAACACATTGATTACAATCGTAAACGTGTACCGAAGTATGTTATTTACATCCTAAACGATGTTGGTTATAGAACTTATATTACATTTTTTATTGTGTTTTTTAAACTCTTTGATGATTTTTTAACGCAGAATTTTCGAAAATAAAATTTTAAAACTATTGATAACATTTTTCAATCATGAGTCGGTTATATCTTATATCAAATCATGGAAATATTTAATGGATATTGAAATTGAATAAAAGTTTTAATCTACATTCGTGCATTAAAATAAATGCGATAAAAAGACGAAAAAGATAAGATGAGCGATCGAAACGCACTAGGCATCACTAATTCATACAAAAACGCGGAACGTACAATCAAAAAAATTAAGCCGAGTAAAAAATTGTTGCGTTGTTTTATATTTGAATCTCATGCGACGTCAATCCGATCTAAGAGAGCTATAATAAAAGCGAAAAATATCAAATTAATAATTAATTACATGCCAAGCACTGAATTTCTAAAAAATATCTGAATATATTAACGAAAGAAATATAAAAATTACATAATCACTTAATAACATAATACATTATCTATTTACATCGAATGTATGAAAAATGCATAAGACAAAAATCATACACGGATAACCAAACCTTGACATTTGACTTACATTGAAACTTTATCTAAGTTTATGAATTTATTTCGAATACAATGTTATTCAGCTTTTTTCAAGTACAGGCATGGCCACGCGATGAATATAATTCATTACTCACAATCAGTATCATACGAAAGAACAGTGTTATTAGAGCTGAACAGTTGTGTAGAACATCAAGATTGTTTTAAGCAAGCGCAGTTATGAAGCGTAATTAAGACATTTGAAACGGTACAAGTCATACGTGCCCCGTGAATATATATATTTTTTAAATTTCATTTACAGTTGAATTTTATTTCTCTACAAGCAACACAACTTGATTAATTATTGCTTTATTTTTTTCACGTTTTCAAAATCTGCAGTTTGCGACTTACAAACGAATAAGTTTCTTATTCACATAAAATACGACTGAGTCCTGGATGTATCGGAATTACAAGTTCAATAAATATCCCGTCAATTCCAAAGTATATTCGTACACTCGTATATTCAATTTTAATAAAAACGAAAAATGATCACAATCATTAAAATCATTCTGCTATTGACGCTACTTGACGCGGCTATTGCAGCCATCAAATCTATCGACTTATCAGATTCCATGATAACAACTTGGGATAAAATTGTAACAAATGGATATTCAAATCTTCCGATTGATCGCCGGAAGTCCTTGCACGACATTTTTGTCGGTGAGCACGAGCACTGTTTGGCTATTCTAAAGTGCAGTAATCCATTGTACGATTATCCATCTGGATGCACCGCGACCATTCATATACACCCTCTCGCTGGCAACATTCATGCGAAGACTTGTAATCTCAAGCCACCAATTCGAGATGAAAGCGCGTGGATAATTCCAGATAGGGTAACTTTTTTGAAAAACGATCGACTACTCATCACGTGGAAAAAGGAAAACAGAGCTGATGGTATGTTGACAAGTATTTTCTCAAACTATCCTTTTGATAGCGTTTCGGCAATTACAATTATTTTTTTACTTGTAGGCTGGCACTTGAACTCGCATTTAATTAACATGGACACATGTCGATCCGGTGACTACATCCCCGTAAATAGCCGCGATCAGATGGTAGCACCATTCAAGAATCATTTCGACATTATATTTAAAGACGAGCGAGGTTGCTCAACGGATCATTTCTGTAAAATAAGTTCATATTACGACGGTCATCAAATTAACAAATTACCAAAGCCCATTACATCGCCATACGCTACCTACAAAGAGTCTTACGTAATCAATAAAATTTACACCATGATCTCGTTCTCGGAAGAAGGAATGGTCCTGTCTGGACGGAAGTACAAAAGACCGCAAGGTTCGATTGCATGGGATGTCTACTCGCCAACTTTTGGATGGAGATCTCTCGGTGGCTACGCCTCCCTGGAAAACGTCTACTCTAATTCCAGCGGTTACGCAACTTTCTGCTGGCTAATCAATCACCGCGAAGAACTCAGTTGCACGTGGCTCGACGGTACGCGCGCGAAAGACAACGTTCTGAATATGCGGCTCAGCCATGCGCTTGTTAACTTGCCATGGATACATAATACCCCAAATGGTTATCTGTTGCTCATGAAAGATGGGTACAAAGACGGCATCAAGCTTTTCGTGGATAAAGCTCATCCGGAAGGAAAATGCGGGAGGATCATGGATGTTGCAATTCCGAGTTCGCCGCTGAGAGTCGAGTTATCGATAATGAAAAATAATGATTATTGCTTCTCTTTCATATTTGTGGAGAATCAAAGCTATTCAGATTTGTTGACACATCGGTTTGTTACCAAATGTACGAAAATGCCACTCAATATCGTGCCGGAAGATATTAACGTAAACTGTGGAGACAACTATGGTGTATAAACTATTATAAACTATTATGTATTTATGATCTGATAGTGCAACAAAAATGAACTTTAAAAATAATTATTTGTTATCAATTATTAGTTTTTATGCCTTTCCATACTTGTATTATTTAAAAAAAATGAGAAAATTGATATTTTGATTCTTTTGTGAGATATTCATAATATATACAAATTTAATTAATCATTATACAAATTTAAGTCAGTATTGCTAGCAATTGCTAGTGGTTTTATCAGCCCTTTCCAATATTTAAAAAATTGAACGATTAGATGGAATTGAGTAATATTCTTCATGCTCGATGTTAATAATTTTAAAAACAATCAAAATCCTAGTCAAACGACCATGATAATATTTCATTAACAAATCGATACATTTTTTGCAAAAGTGATCATTATCTATCAAATAATAATTGATAACGTCTATCAAAAGGGTCACGTTTACAAAATATGATGTTATCCGATTATTCGAGGATAACTCAACGAATTAACCTTGATATACGATGTTTCTAGAATTTATTTTCCATCGGTTATCTTTTCTACGTCTTTTAAAAGTTGAATTCTAGACTCATTCGATTATTTAGTCTTTTGGTAACTTATCAAACAACTACATACGCCTGCAAGATCATATTTAATAAGTTTTCATAACGTAAAATGATAATATTACAGAGAAAATGAATGTTCGAGGTACGTTGTTATGGATTTCATTCCAAGTGCAAATGATTAATAATGAATGGAAACAAATATTGCTTCTCTTTTTTTTACGTATGATCAAGACAACTCCAATAAGCATTACATTCTGATGCATCTGTTCACGATAAAGTGCATACAAACGTTCGAAACTATCGCGCAAAACCCTGCCAGCCAATGTGGTAAAACCTATGATAATTGACTGAAAATTTGCAGGAATTAATTTTTATTAAATAAAACATGTTAAAAGCATTACAAACTTTCAAGCGAACGTATGTGATTTTCACATCACATCATTATACGATCAAAATAAAATTATAAGAAAAATTCAAAGTTTCCTTAATAAATAAATGTATAACAATATTTATAAATTTAACTAAAGAAATGTAGAAATATCAAACGGAAATATTTAAACAAAAATACATTTTTCTCGTGGTATGATTCCCCCTCGACTTGCGGTTTTTTTGTCACCGATACAGAGAAATTATCTTCCTACACTACAAATGTACACGTGATAAAAATTAATTTACTCAGTATTCGTTCAAATGAATACACGAGACGGTCAGAACTGAAAGAGTCATAACACATAACTTTAATTGCAAGTGTTATTATTGTGTTATTATATTTTAAGTATCAAATGATAGTGATACAATAAAATATTACTTCCTTTGCTCGTGTTTATAAGGTAAAGCAGTAAAATAACTTGGAAGAAGCAATTTTGATGAGCTAGAGATATTAAATCAAGTAGGGAACATACTCGTAAACTGATTTGAAAATTGTTAGTTAACTGAATCAAACTTTTCAAAATAATAATAAAATAAATTTTTCAAGTCAGCTACATCACCCTCAGAAGATTATTACAAATATATTCTTTACAATGGAAATGTTTTTGCTAATTGTGGGAATCCATGTAGTCAAAGCATCAGAAATCGTATCCCTATCCGATGGTATAAATATGACTTGGTCGATAACTGTACCGGATATATCAGATATGCCTCATAATAATCATTACAAACTGCTTCACGACGTATTTGTCGATGAAAACAGTCACACATTAGCACTTTTAAGGTGGAATAGCTTCATGGAAGATCATCCTACGCAGTGCAACTTGACACTGCGCACGCATACATTCGATAGTGAAATTCGCAACAAAATTTGTGATGTCGAACCTCCGCCGGAAATCGAAAATGATTGGGTATTTGCGGAAAGCGTTACTTTTTTGAAAGCCAATCGAATTCTCATATCTTGGAGAGAAAAGCATAAAACTAAAGGTTTGTACGCATCTATTCTGCCTGTTTTTTGCAAAATATATTTCAATTGCAGACACTTTGCATTTTAATGTTTGTTTTAGGTTTACGTATCACGTCTCAAATTATTTTTAGCGATACATGCGAATCAAGTACATACATTCACGTGAAGACAAGCATGTATTACGCGTCTACAGTTCACATTGTTGCTAACTTTCATGATTTCTTTGACATAATTTTTAGTGACAAAAAATTCTGCCCGGATGACATTCTCTGCAAGCTAACCTTTAACTACGATGGCAAATTGGTAAACAAGACCGCAATGCCATTCTCATCACTTTTCGTTGACAGAAACGAGACTTTGTTAGTTGATAGCATACACACAATGAATCATAACGCAGGAGAAGGAGTTGTATTGACTGGTAGCAAAAACTATGTTCATATCATAGGCGATACTTTGGCATCTGCTTCGCCAGACGTTTATTCGCCTGTAATTGGCTGGATAAAGGCTAATGAACTTTTCGATCCAAGCCACGTCTATTCGAATTCCAGTGGTTTCGCAACTATTTGCTGGTCACCACTGCATTCCGATGACTTTCACTGCAAATGGATCGACGGAACTCACACGAATGACGACGGTTTGCAATTTACTTTGACATTGCAAATGGCTCACCCGACCCAAATACCACAAATATTCAATACACCCGATGGACACATTTTATTATTAAAAGATGGTTATGATCACAAATACGACAGCAGGCGAATGCTTTTCATTGACAAAGCTCACACAAACGGAAAATGCGAAAGACTTATCAGAATAGTCATTGCAGACACACTCAAAAGAGTTGAATTATCAATTGTCAGTGGTAATCGCTATTGTTTATCCATTGTTACTGTGGAAAGTAACTTTGCAACTAAAGGACCGTATCACTTCCCTTATAAATTCGTCACTAAATGTGTGCAGATATCCGAAGCTACTCCTCAGATTTACATTACGTGCGGTAAAAATTGGTTTTAGAAGACAACAAAATTATTATATTGTTAATTTGATGTTGCATAGTTGCCTGTGTTTTAATTGTCAAATAAATGTAATTTTGTGATATTGAAATTTCTTGTGCAAGACAGAGTAAAATTAAATTGATAAGAATTATCAGCACGTGATATTGATTATATTTTTAAAAATGATGTATTTTTTAAAATAGTTTCCACGTATTTTTAAACGCTTTACCTTAAAAATCTTGAAAGGCGATAAAAAAATTAACGGACTTACTTCGATGTTCACTGAGAAACATAATATAACAGAAGACGATAAAGGAAAGCGATCTAAAGTTAAATACCATAAATAGTGGATTTCTGTTGTCGGATCGGATATCCAACCTTTTTTGAAATCAGTCAACTAATCGATTTATGCCTACAAATTTAAAACTAAACGTCTTGATATTTCAAAATTAAAAGTTCTTACCTGCGGTTTAAAGTAATTTTTTCACGGAAATTTACATTGCACAGCACATTTTTATGCAATATATTTACGCATAAAAGAATATTCATTTTTTATCGAACATATATCACATATATTTTTTTGTGTAACAAAAAGCTGCACACTCTTTATTAGTATAATATAAATAATATTGGAAATCTAGTAAAATCCAAACTTTTCTCATGAATTTTTGAGGGTAACAATAACAAAGATATTAACAGGAAAATATGTTATCAAATGAGTTACGCTTCGTCTGGCACACTGATTCATCAGAAGTTTATTTTATTCTATTGAATTATCTGGAAGCAACATTCGTATCACAAGTAAATGGCCGTGTAAAAGAGATAAATGTTTATATTCTTTCAGTTTCATATGTGTTCGGAGCGGTGTACGTCGAGAATAAAAATCTATACTTCTGTAAGCAGCGTGAGATAGACATCGCGGGTGAATTTATAAATGTATTATTAATACATCGCTAAATTATTGGCTAGTAATTTATCCGTAATCGGAATTGAGTTTTGACAAGCAACTATTATAAACGCGGAAAATTATTTAGAGGATTATGGTAGACAAAATAGGCATGCGATTATAACATGTATTTTTACATGAAAATAACATTACTGTACATGTTACTATGTGCAATACCAGCGTTCGGATCTATCAACTCGCCTGAAAGTGTCAGTATAATTTGGAGTCAGGTAGTACCAGATCCAGCAAAAGTACCAAATCACAATAGACTAAAGCTTTTTCACGATATACTCGTCGAAGATGACCGTCACAGTTTAGCTTTTTTGAGATGGAATGCTGTAACCGAGCACCATCCAACAAAATGCAATGTGACCATTGAATCGCGTACTTTCGACGGTCAAATTTATAAAAAAATATGTAATATTTTTCCACCACCTAGCGATGACAGCAAGTGGGTGTTTCCCGAAAAAGTGACTTACTTGAATCGTGATCGTATACTTTTGACATGGAGAGAGCAACATAAAACTGAAGGTACGCAGCAAACACTTGTCAATGTGTTGACCCGTTAGCAATGATAATTATTTCTTCTATAGGACTACGAATGACATCGCAAGTAATATTCATGGATACGTGCCAAACAAGCGAGTACATCAACATAGAGACCTACATAAGTCTGTCCCTGAGCATCCACATAATCGTAAGACACGAGACTACATTCGATGTAATATTCTTAAACGGCAAAATTTGCCCGATAAGCTACTACTGCCAACTAACCTTTAACCACGATGGAAAACAACTGAATCGTATCACTAACTCGTTATCAGCATCAATGCCACGAGAAAGCAGAACGTTGATGATCATTCACTCATATGCAATGAATTATCACTCGGGAAAGGGTATTGTTTTGGTTGGCAACAAAGGAGTCAGCGGCTTGGAAGTTCCCGAAGTATACTCGCCAATTATTGGCTGGACCAGTACTGATGGGTTGTTTTACAAAAACCATTGGTACTCGAATTCCAGTGGTTTCGCGACCATCTGTTGGCAACTTTACAATTCCACTGTGTTTCGTTGCAAATGGCTTGACGGAACTCATCGCAATCAAGTGTTGACGTTGAACATGAGAAGGCAGTACATTCGTATATCTGGAGTTTATAATAAACCCGATGGGCGAATTTTATTGCTGATGTCGGGCTACAACGACGGAACGAAAATCTTTGTCGACGAAGCACAAAACGATGGCAGGTGTAAAAGACTTGCCGAAATTCCGTATAATCATGGCTTACTCAAACGAGTCGAGATGTCAATTAGAGATCGGAAAACTTGTTTTTCATTCATTACAAAAAATACCTTAGGTGTGAATTTGAGTACCTATCCCATAATCGATACATACCGATTCACGACTAAATGTATACTAAATCTGTATGACGGTACACACGAGTTTATCACTTGTGGTCAAAATTATCTATAAGAAGATATTCGTATGATTGCTCAATTACTTGGAAATTCATAATCACGCGTACTGCCTCTATTAATAAGTTCACTAACTAGCTAGTTTACGTGTTACTCAATGAGATGACGTTTTATTTTTTGATCATAACCTAAATAAAATAAAATTGTCTACTTAAAGTAACATTAAACTTCTTCTGTATTTGTTAATCTTTTCCGTTATTACGAATACAAAATAAATGATCCGCATATATATATATATATGTATATATATATATATATATATATATATATATATATATATATACACACACATACAAATAAAATAAAACACTTGAGGAAAAAATAAAATGAAACTGATGTACTCACAACGATAGTTGCAACGGTAGAATTGAGCGAAACACCCTCGCTGACCTGCACCTCGTAAACCTGCTGGCGAAAAACAGGACTACGAGTATTAGGTCCTGGAATGACGTTCACTTCGACGATGGTCTGAGAGAAACGGCCACCATTGTCGGTCGCTTGTACGGTTATACTGTATTGTTCGCCAGCGTTGAGTTTGCCTAGTGACTCGATTACTCCGGTTTTCGGATCGATTTTAAACTTTTGTAAACCGTTGTTCGACACATGATAGATGCTGTAGGTAATTTCGGCGTTAATACCTTCGTCGTTGTCAGTCGCTTCCACCTGAATTGAAAATTGTTGATTAACTGTTGAAAGTAAACCACGACAGTGTTTGCTAACAATGTAGGATTCTGAACTTATTTTTGAACAAAGAAAGAAATCATATAAATGTTTATTGAAAAGCACGTTTCATTTTGTATGTTCTATTTTTGAATTGAAGTATATCTCACTTCTATTGTGATCTAAATAAAGCCGCATTTTCTAATAAAATTGTCTTATAAATATTATTAAAGCATATTCAATCGAACAATCTTTATTGTATTTTCCACGAACATTCTAAGAAAAATAAATCTTACGTCCGTGTTTTATTAATAAAATATCAACAAAGACATGAATAGCATGGGTATAAAGAAGTTATGGAATGTTCTGCTTTCACCGATCTAGAATCCAGTATTGATAAAAATTTTAATGAAAACATTTTCATATATCCGTTGAATATTGCTGAAAGTTAATCGGACATAACGTCTTGAAAAAAAGGTTATTTTTGTAGATTTCTCATTTAGTTTCACCGGCTTGCATAGTACCTTGTAGACTTCTCGTTTAGTTTCACCGGCCTGTACAGTTATTGGCGGTGTCATAGGTAGCATTGGCGCATTATCGTTGACGTCTTTGAGGGTGACAATAAAAGATAGCGGCGCCGATGCAGCGGTACCACTTCGTTCGCGAGCTACAACCTGGAAACGGAAGTGACCAGGACTGGGTGGGTCACGGTCCAAGTTTTCCTCGTTGATTACAAGCATGCCATTCGAGTCGATGGAGAAAAACGTCGTTGTCAGCTCGAATGTGTAGTCTGGCTTTGGATCCTCTGGACTCTATATTTAAAAAAAAAATCGTTGATTATTACTTTCTGAAACTGAAAACTCAAACAATGTAATTTCACTTGAAACTAGATCGAAACAAATTTAATAAGAAATTTTTTCATAGCTACAAACATAGTTATCTTGTAAACCTTCAAAGAGAATATTCAAAGCTCCCGTCTCAGATAATAGAAATCTCGGTTCCACGATAATCCTCGCTAGATGAACGGAAGAAGTCAGACAAAAAACGGCAAACTACCGTGTGCATGCAACTTTCCTTCTCGAAATCTGCACATAATCTCAGCAGCAGTTAACCCACTTACTGCCGAAATATGTTTAGGTAGTAGAGTCGTTGCGGCAGTTTCCGACGCTGATTTATGAACCTTATCGGACCGGTCAACTTATACTTTTTCAAATATGTAATTTCTTTTTTACCTGCTATTTTTGTACGCGAAGAAAATTAGACTTAATCAGTATAGGTAAAGAAATGATAAAACACTTTTTGACGTTTCGTTAACTTATTCGTTAACCTTTTCAAAAATTGACTAAATAAAAAGGATAAAGAACACAAGATTGCAATAGCAAGTAGATAGTGCCTGTGGTGGAAGTAAAATTATTTTCAATTCAATGATAGCAAAGTTTGCTGTTAGTCGAAGCAAACCACTTTGTCAATTGAATAATAAAATTCATACCCAATTTTAAAATAGAACTTAAAGTTTTGTTCACTAGAAGTACTGTACAGATGTTATATGTTTTCAAACATTTGTTTAAAATCTCATAGCTTGAATTGTAAAGAATATAAATTGTCTTATTGTCAGTGTTAGTTTTACAATTATGTTTCGATTTATTATTGATTAAATGTGTTTTAATCAATAACGAATCGATAAATATGTTTTACTTTATTATTCAGTTGGCAAAATGGTTTGCTCCGACTAATACCACACTTTACTGTCATTGAATGTAAGTAATTTTACTTCCACTACGGAAAACATCTTTACTTAATATTCCAAACTTGTGACTCTTTTATTAGTAAATTTCTAAGGAAACTATCGAATTAGTTAACGAAACGTTCTTTACCTACACCGTTCGAGTTTAATTTTCTTTTTGTACTTTTTCAGTTAATTTATTTCTCAGATTTGCTCTTCAAGTTATTTACTTTAACAGTTAGCCGGAGAAAAATATAATTTCAGAAGTGATATTTGATTGGTTATTTATTGTTTTTAAAATATGACGTGTATTAAAAAGTGCTTCATTCAGAGATTAATCAATTACTGTATCGGTATGTTTATACACATTAGTTATTCTTTTCGCATTCATTTCAAAGTTAAAAAAATTGTTAAATAGGTATGAAAAATCTAAGTTAACGATATGTTTATAATTCGCTACCTTAAATTATAATAAGCAATGATATATAATTATTTTGAAAATTCCTATTTGACAAATCTATAATTTGATAACTATAAAATGTGAGTCAATAAAAAAAATACTCAAAATGGAAATAGCCAATCTACAATTTGCAGAAAGTTTCAAATTATAGCTTACCAAATCAGCGTCAGTAACGGAGAGAACAACTGGTCGGTTATAAGCGTCAGTAACTTTGGTTCCAACAGAAGCGTTTTCATCAACAAAACCTTCGACAGACGAGGCGTTAATAACCGGCGGATTACTATCAACTGGTTTAACGGTGATGCTCAACTTTGCAGTAGCTGATCGCTCCGCCTCCGAATCCTCCACAGCCTTTAATCATTGACAAGTTTTAGTTCAATCATCCGGAGAATTGATTAAATTAAATAAAAAAGAAAAAATATTGTAGTATGAATCACGTCAACCTTAATGATGATGTCAAATTTCTTGGTGACGCTAGTATCAACAGGTCTTATCTGCTTAACAGCTCCAGTACTTGGATGAATTTCGAAGAATTCCCGATAGTTGGCTGGATTGCCACTGAGAAATGAGTAACGTATTGGTGCGTTAATACTGTCCATGTCGACTGCTTGGATCTTCTCTGGCGAAATATTCAGAATTCCTGACAGTACACCACTGGACACCTGCGAGCAAGCGTAAATGAGTTTTTGCGCTTTTACGATTCCCAGCACTTTATGCTTTTGCTAATGATATTAATTGCTAGAATTTCATTTATGCTATCGATGCAACCACACTTTAGCGAGTATGCGGAAGCTGCTTGGAAAGTTCAATAATGCTTTGAGTGCATTCATCTGAGGTGCACATATAATCGTACGGTTGCTCAATTCCGTAAATATGGTAACATTGAAAATCCAATCAATGAGACACCTACCGATGCTGAATACTCAGGATTGATGCAAGCGCCATTCAGCAACATGCAGCCTTGATAAATAAACGAAGGATCCTGATCATCGTCATCGCGAATGTTTACAGTCAAGGTTGTTGTTGCGGTAAAACGCTCGGATGGTTTAATTGCTCGATCCTGAAAATACAAAGTCGAGAGGTTTAATTAATTCAATGATATACTCGAAGTCGTTTATTGACGTTTATTTTAAGAATGCATTAATTTTGGTGGTTGAATAATGGATCTGTGGAGAGGTACTCTGCATTGGTCGTATATAGGTCGAGGGTGTTTTAGTGAATGTTGCATTTGCAAACTCGATAATGCTATTCGACTGTCTCGCAGAAACTACGCGAACCAGATTTTCATGCTTCGAGTAACTATCAAGACAAGATGTACTTTCTACAATCAAAGTGTATTTGAAAGTAACAGTCAGAAAAGTAGACCGAGACAAGAGTTTTTTTAATGGCAGATTCTTCTGATGAGGATTTCTTTATCTAGCAACATCATGAACTGATGTAAACAATTTTTAATTATAATACGGATATTTGACAATAAAAATTAAACTATTGAAGCATTTAACAAAAAGTATAAGCTTCGACCAAATAATAGTCCATAATTCATCGGCATAAACAATATTCATAGGCATTACACATCAAATCGTCGCAAACAGTTGGTCTATTGTTCGAACCTATATCGACTGGTTTCCTTTTATTTCAAATCATCTCGAAAACAGCATTGGCAACTCTGTATAAATGCCTGGGCAAACAATAGTCGATTACCCAACTCTATTCATAACCATCCCTTTAAACATCGATCTGCGCAACTTACAATTTCTGAGCAAGAAAATTATTGAACGACTGCCCTTTGTCAATTCACATTTGCATTATTTTTAATATCGCCGACAAAGTAAGTGTATATGAAGATATCGCAAGAAGCTAATGCAAATACATAAATAACAACATAAAAGCACATCGGTGGCTATATCTTTGTGGACGTAAACTAAAAACCATAGTCAGCATACATCGTTTACTCTTATCAGGATTATTACATTACACAGTGCAGGTTAAAACTCTAGGGTATCGTAAGAGTATGAGCTTGCAGATAAAAGCCAGTTTTCACCGGGGAAATTGAGCTTGAACAATTGCTTTCCAGCTTAACTTAATTTTTCTCCTATTTCATATTTAAATAGGTGTTTTATTATAAAATTTCTCATTTCTTTGAGTATTTTATGCAAAATTTCAAAATTTCAATGTTTAATTTTATGAATATTTGAATTTTTTTCTAATTACTGAAAAAAAGTTTTAATAGATTATTTAATAGTTATTTTGGTAGTTATTATAGTTTTTTTAAACTATAATAACTACCAAAATAAAAATTACTACGGAAAATTACGATTCTAAGGATTCGGAAACTTAAGCTATAAAAAATAATGCTGACCTAAATAGCAGTAAAAAATAATTCAGGAACACTCAGGCCTAATGCTCATTCACATTTCACTTAGACTTGATGAGAAAAAAACAAGATTCGTTTGAAATGTCAATGAGAGCAGTTATCGAAAATCTCACAAGACTTTCTCCATTATTATGTGGTTACGATTCTCAATGGTTATAGATCTACAAAATTAAAAAAAATTTTGCTGTAAAAGTTTTGTTAGCAAGCAATTAATGCCCGACACACTTCAAGAGAGATTTACAGATAAAGTTTTCAGAGGAGTTACAAATCAATAATTTATGCAATGTATTTTTTTACAGTAATACTAAGTATATGTGAAAAAATGTACTTTTATGTATATCCGGCTTTGACAATAACTAATTAAAAACAGAATTAATAAACGATAGAAACAAATAAATGATTTCATGTTCATACTATTTTATTGTATATTATTCATTCATTTACGAAGCTATTAAGGCAGCGCTATATGCATTTATTTATGCAGGATTGTCATGAGGTAATACACAATCATAAACATAAAACCATCAAGAAGTTTCAAGTCAATATACTTATCTATATATAACTATTTTGGGACCAAGGAATATATTGTCAAGCATATACGTAATCGCTATAATTAATTTACAAAACGACAAAGACAGTAAATAAGGTGTTTGTACTTATAGATATACGATCGTTATTAGATAAATCACAACGCAAAATATAAAATCACTATGAGGTTTCAAGTTTTCAAATTACTCTCTCGGGTGAGAACATAAAACTATTTGTAAGCATTTTACGGATAAACAATATAAGTATACGATTGCCAATTTTGTCCCGTTGGCTGCACAAACATCACAGAAATCTTTTCAAGTTATCGACGAACAATTTTTAACAAATCATCGTTACATAACGAGAATGCTCGAGGCAAAAGAGGATCTAAATGGAAGTTTGTACTAAAACGGAAAATGAGGCAATACGTATCTCTTTCTCGAACGATTGATTTAGTATTAATATAAAATGATCAATTGTGTGGGAACTGGAATTGGGTTTATTGAAAAGAAGGAGATATGTATGAAATTGACTCACGGAAGCAAGTATTGTAACGAGATAGCGCTGCGTTCTTTCGAAATCCAGAGTCCGGTTGACGGTGACCTGGCCTTGATGCGGCAAGTTGATACTGAAGTATCCATAGCCATCGGCAGTGGTGACCCGATCACGACCGAGGCCATCGCTATAGCCGATGCCAGTCCCGTCACCTGGTGCTATCGAGTATTCAACCAGACCGTTTACACCTGCGTCAGCGTCCGTAGCAACTACATTCTTGAAGATCGTCGAGCCAACTGGTGTCAACTGTAAATCAAATGAAACAAAAAGACGTTTCCTCGCAAACTTTGCTTAGTCAGTGTTCTTTGCAGCGTTAGATCAATGGATTAATGATTTGAAGATAAAATATTTTCCGTGTCCTCCCCGGGGACGATAACAAAAGTTCTTGTTCCATATATACAGATGTACTGATTTTTATCGATTCTTTGCAGATACTACAAACTCTGTAATAACTAGTTTTAAAGTTTTTCAATTATTTGTGCTGTCGTGCGTCGGTTTTCATTGCTAAACGAGAGTTGAAGCGTTTTGCAAGCCAATACGTAATATTCATTCAATCGAAAATGGCAGTAGTTGCAGATCATAACGCCGCTTTGAGAAAAGTGCTCAATTCCAAATTATATGTATTTGGTGACTATACATAATACAACTAAATCGGATCGGACACGAATTGATTCGCATCTCGAGCTGCACGGGCTTGAGCACCTCGAAATAATGGAAGCCGCTCTTTTACTCGAACCATTACCGTTTCCTACATTTACTTGATGTATAATGGAGTCGCGGCTGCGGATGAAATTGAATCGCCTTGTAATTTCACTGCGCAGGAAACTGCTCTTTGCTTCGTTTTGTTCTTTCTTCGCTACCGGACGTGAATAATTGAAAACTTCGGAGACAGATAGACAGTTAAACGTACCATGATTAACGAGTCGACACTATTGATCAATTGTCTCGATTATTATGATTATTGTTTTCGCTGCGATCCGATTTTATACATAACTAATCTTGCAAATCGCTCTGCTTGGAATGGCAGCCGACTTGGCGTCATAAAAAAAGTTAAAAGCATCGTCGATGAAGAACTCTAAGGCGCTCCTCAGCTGTGCAAACACGTTAACCTTGTAGCGAATCGAGAAAAAGAAGATTCTACTCACCTCGGACACAGTTGTTTCGTAAGGCGTGTTAACGAACTTTGGCGCATTATCATTAATGTCTGAGACTCGTACTATAACCGGTATCTTTCGATTGCTTCTTGTCGCTCGTACTGTGCAGCTCAGCTGTAAATCATAGAGCAAAATGTCATTATAACATCAGTTTATTTTGGCGATGACTAACTTTCATTAAGAATAGTCAACTTTCTATGCAAACATTTTTTTAACTCATGAAATTTTTACCACTTCAAAGGCATGTGTATCGCATTAATCGTTGCACGCGCGGAGCCATATGAAGATATACCATCACCATTAAATAAGAAAAAAGAACAAGAAGAAGAGGTTCGACTTTGACGAAAGTTCTGGGCAGGTAATATACCAGGGGATGCAATAAACTCGAGCGCTCGCTCGTAAAGTATAAAACTAAACGGAAGGATAACCTGTACGGAACTTTTGCATTCTTCAGTTTCTCACCCGTAAAGCCGACTGTAGCCCATGCGATGTATACGAATATGCGGCTACTGCTTGACGCTTAGGATTTGCAGAACAAAAAATTTTTTTGTTCGTTACGTCGTTTGCTTTTATTTCTCAAGCAGATCGGATTAAAGCAACGTTAAAGAAGATTGTCTATGAATGAAGAAAACAAAGGAACATCGAAAGTGAGCGGCAACACACGTTGCGAGATATATAATAAAGACACGAGAGGCGACGCCTGTCGTACATACGTGTCGTGTATATCGATTCGTGACGACAGCTCGATGACCTGGTGAGATTGAGCATGAAATCCCCGACCGCGAAAGCCCACTCACATACTCACCGATGTATGTTTGCGTTACGCTCAAAGTTCAAAGCACCAATATTTTCCGCGTTCGCCGTTCAAGCATCGAAGCGCGACTGGATTAATGTCATTTGTTTTTGTATTTTTTACAAAGCAAAATTTAATGAACCAAATATATTTTATGAGCACACAGAGTAATGGAAATTTGTTTATTGAAGCGAACTCAATGAAACTTTCATGTACAACAATAAATGAAGAATCAGCTCGAAGAGTGATTAGAGCCATGCAGTACCGTAAATATCTAGAGTAAAAAACCGACAGACGGTGAAAAAAAAAGAACGAATCCTCATTCCGGCAATCCGCAGGGAAATAACCGTCCGACTTCATTGAGTACATGTCGTAAATAGTACACATTACGAGGTTTAATGCTTAAAGCTCCGCCGGCGGAATAGAATCTTTATAAGTCGGCCGATGACCTGAAAACTGCGATGCGAGCGGTTATTTATCGGTCGCGGCATTAGGCAATTTAATAGCCCATTCGGTTGGTCTGTTTTTCAATTGAAATAAACCGGTCCTCTCTGCCAACTTAAACGGCTTCACAAAATAAAATGACAAGCGAAGATATTTTTGTGGAACGAGAATTATCGAGTAGCTTATTATTATAGTCTACTTGAATAACGAACGGTCGCACTTAAAATCTGTTACTATTTCGGAGATAATATTTTTGCATTATTACACAATCCGTTATCCCAATTTCCACTACAAGCCATCGTAATTTTTTTAAGATCAATAGACAAGTTTCGCGCAAAACGCCTGAATTTCAAATCTCCCGAACCATCATATTTCCGTATGATACCTCTGAAAAAACATTTCCCAGGCACATTAAATAAAAGTCTCGATCATGTCCAACTACAATCTCACTAGAATCAACAAAGAAGATAAAAGCACTCACCTGAAATGTAACGTGCGAAAGGTTTTCCTCGTCTCTGTCAAGGCGCCTAAGCAACCTGAGCCTCTTGCCGTCAAGCTTGAAAAGCGGCTGCCTTCCCGTCGAACTGAGCTCCAGTATAGTCTCATTTCGTGGATCGCCGATCACAGGCAATTCCGCCGGTATCGTCTCTTGATCAGTCGCTACAAAGCAATAATTGCAGCTGATTATTTCATTTTCTTTGATTATTCGCGTGAAGGTGGTATATTTTCACAAGGAAACTAACACAAGAAACAGTTGGCAATGCGACTGAACGACAACGTCATCATCCACAATGCATGAAAGATTTAAAACTCAGCGCTAAAGTAGATCGGCAGAGACGAAATTGAATTGAAGACTGCTGGATGTACAATCAACAGCCGCCTTTTCAGTATAGCCGCGAAACTAATAACGGATAGTCAGAATCGCAGAAGCGAGCGAAATGCGCGAAAGAAGCGCGCGTCAAATTAAAAACTGTGGAAAAAGAACTCGCCGCGTCTATACCGTTGGTCCTCCGTGACTTCTCAGAGACGAGCAACGGTGACTGACGATGAACTTATTCGCGCGACCGTAATGGTCGTCCTCGGCGGATGTGACGCTATTGCAATTTGAAAAATAGTAGAGCTTTTTCTTTGCATGTTTCGCGTGCTATTTGTAAGTAACGATTTTACTTAGATTTACTTTTTCTTATCGCAATCACATCGGAATTCTCCGAATCTGGTAGTTACAGTGTTGCGGGATAAAATAGTGCGTGAAAAATGAGTAATGCATTCCGACGTTTATCAAAATTCAAACTTGAATTCTTCACTATATTGCAACATGTAAATAATATTGAAAGCAGTTATTTCCAGACGACGTATTTATCTCTTGCTGGATCCGTTTCCCAGTTTGATTAAATATTTCGCCGATTATCGAATCTCTCAATAAATCACATCCTACTGTTTCGATCGATGCATATCGCTTTGCGCATTGTCATTTGTAATGATAGCAACGAATATAGACACTTCAGCTTTTATTAAAATAGAATTGTCATTGATTTTCATTGGAAAAATCAAAGGAAAAGGAGGAAACGTTAATTTTTTTTGGCAAATCCTAAATAAAAATGCTTGTCAATAAAAATTCTTTTGTGGCAAAGACTTAGGGACGTCTACACCTTACCACCTCCCCACCGCGCTTTTTTAACGAACTACAACGCCCCAGCGGAAGAATAGATTTGCGTTTGTCTTTTCTCCGTTTTCCTTGTGCCAAAGCTAATTGATGGAGAAGAGCGTAGCTTACTGGAGGACGCATATGAACGAACGTATGTAATGAAACACTAGCTAAAGTTTCAACTCGATTGAATAAAACGGCGATGGCAGGATGAAACTGACAAAATATTACGTTGCAATACGAGTAAACATGTACAACGTACGTATCTTAACAAATTACAAGTGTCGGCAATTTTAAAGCTTTCATCGACAAAATCAAAGGCAACAGAACTGCGACGAAGTAAAATCCAGAGGAGAATTGAAGACAATGAACGACTGCACTGGTGATAATGCGGTTGCTCGTTGAGAGCGAACGCTAGTCTCTGTAATGTCGGAGCGGTATTGAAACTGACTCGACCGGCCCTTATCATCCGTTCTGTAATCTGATACGGGGGATACGTGGAGGAAAGGTAGTTTCGATGGATATTGCTTGATATTCAGTATCTCGTAGCAAAAAATGTTGCCTAGCCGCCAGCTTCCATGTAGCCTGCTGTTATTTCGGCACCGAAGTGATTGCATAAGATCAATTCTGGTGTTTTATTCCCACTCTCGTTATTGCGTTCAGCTCCAAATTGTAGAAGTAGAATCTAATAGCGCAGCTATTCGCTCAAGATTTATGAAAAGTTGACAGCACGGAATCATACTGATGAAAATTGTTCAAAGTCGCCACGTAGTTTTCCCAAGTATCGGATGGTATGATAATACCGCAACGACGTTCTCTACTTTAAGCAGCGCGTTCCACAAGTAATAAATCAATCGGCAATAAATCCAGCTGGCTGACGATAAATCAAAATAAAGACCTAACGCGACGCCACTTTCTTTCTCGCCTTTCTCGCGTGTGCGCGCATGAGTCGCGCGAGGGCGAGCGAGCGAGAGACAACACTGTCGATATTGTCCTCGACCGCGCGAAATTGAGTCGCGTGCACTGCACCGAGAGAGCTCGCAGGGAGAACAAAGACGAGCGGCAAATGCATTATGCATTCGAGCGCAGTTATATACGACAAGGGTGAAAGTGATCTGCTTGCTTGCCGGAATCGACATTCTTATTACCAAGCTTATCCCGTATGCAGTCACCTTTTGCCTTGATTATTATGCAGTTGAGACTTTTGCAAGCATTAATATACCTCCCCTGGCTAACAGTTTGAACCCACATAACAAATACTACTGCGAATTGTTGCAGTAGTTTGATATCTTTAAAGAACGTCCTAGATTTTATTTTTACACGCAATAATTATTGTTCGAATCACTTTAAAATACTAATTTCTTTTTAATATTTATAATACACGTCTCAAGATATCTTACAGATAACCAGCCAGACGAATCCTTCAATTTGTTTTAAATTGGGAAAAAAACTCTACGGCACAATGACGAATACATGGTCGTCGTTATTCAACACCGTTACCCGTATTTTTGTAATGAAAATTTTCAAAAGTAAAAATGCTACTTGTAATGTCATTACAGTTATTATTTTTCAAATAATTTTTTATTGTTGAATTTCATTGAAATAAATAAAAATATATAACATCATTATGAGTAATGAAATAAGTAATTGTAGTATGAAATATTTTGAAACTATCCATACTGCGAACTAAAGCTGAAGAAAGCAAATCCAAAGAAAGCGGGTACATGAAATTGACAGCAGTGCTTGCCAATAAAGGAAATGTGTAATTTTTGATTACTCGATCCATCAGAATTTTGAGTAGGTGCCTCGCTTACGAAGGATTGACAAGCATACAGGTGTAGGATGCAAGAACACGTAGGCCACGCGTAAAGAGGCTATGGCACATCGATAAAATGCACAATTGACCGGCCAACGAGCAGCGAGCCTTCTCGTTCTAGTTATCGACAAAATCGAGCAATAAAAAAAAGAAGCCTCAATACTTGACGTTTTCCGATAATGAGATTTGGAGCATGTGCCGTGCTGATCAGCTCGCTCACAGCCCTCCATAATTATTGAATTTCCGATCTAGCGAAAGGAATAACTCGATTGGTCGGGGGAATTCAATATTGGGAAATGAAGCTATGCAAGAGAAAATCGTGTATACTCACAGTCGGCCCTGCTCTCTTCGATGTCCAGAATGATGTTGGACTGATTGATCTCCAGCTCGCACAAACCTGCAACCAAATAATAACAACTGAAATTACTAGTCCAAGGTAAGATTCGTTAGACCTGAAAATGAAGCCTTGTCCGTATCTCGCACAAACCCTCATTAACGATCCGACTTATAGGTACGCACAGTCATAAATGTAACGGCGCTTCAAAGGCACAGAGGCGCAGCTATATATAACGTGGAAAAGGCGTAATTGTCGGAGTATGTTCAGGGAGGAGACGGCAAGGTGTTAATTCCATAATTTCACGCGTCTCTTGCGCCTCTCGCTATAGCCAATGTAATTGCAACGTTGCTCGGCTCTATAAATATTCCCTTTAATTACCATCCACTCGCAGAATATTTGCGAGTGACGAAGGAATAATTGAAGGTTAGTAATACTTCACTTCGCTTAGTTCGAGTTGACAAGCTGATTATACCCGAAAGCTTTAATAGAATATAACCAAAGTAGATGTCCATTCGCGAGTCGTATTTGCCGAATGAGGCTTTCGAGCTTTAAAGTATTTGCTTGATAATCACGATCAATGGTGACGTTATCCAATGTCGTTCAAATTTACAAATGTGTGCTGGACACTGCGATGTCGTGATTATTTCTACATCGAACGGAGTTCGAACATCCTCAAAGATTGATAAACACTACTCTGCTGATAAGAGCTTTCACAACTCACGACTGAAGCCCCACCATGAATAAGAAAATAACTTTACCGTCAAACAACGTCCAGCTAGTTGCACGAGAAATCAATGGGCCTACAAAAGCCACTAATAAAAGCACAATCGTAAACAAGCTATATAACAATGATCGTACGAAAGCTCGGGTTTGCGGATGTATAAATCCGCGCACACCCACTCTGAACCGGCGATAATAGCCGTTCGAGTGGGAGCGCATTAAGTATCGATAAGCGGCCCGCAGAAAGATTCCGCCGCCTATAATTAACCGCTTAGCTCTGGGTAATAGAATACCTCCCCGATAGATAAAGCGGACCCGCAGGGCATCACAAGGCGAACGCGAGCGAGAGAGAGATAGATAGCCCTAATGCCCGTCTGTTGCTTCTTTTCTGCCTGCTGCAAGCTTCGGGCGACACGCCGTTACGAGATGCACCTGACGTACAGTACAAATCTTTACTCCCAGTCGCGATGGTAAAGGCCTTTCTTGTCTATTTTTTCAGGCCTACTAGCAATTCACGCCGACAATTTTACAACTAAAACCGTCGGTTACGATACTTTTTAAAGCCGTTTTATTTTTCAAACTAAACTTCCAACTGTTAGATATAACAAATTCAGAGTTATGTTTTTCAGAGACACAAATTTTTATCGAAACCCGTAGGCTGCAATCTCGCAATCCATCGTAGGGCCGTAAAGGTCATAGTAAATAGTAGAAGGCCCCGCCGCAACCCCTGACATTTGCCAATTGTATCGAGCCGCAAAATTCGCGCATGGAAGGGTGGACATTCCACCCCGAATAAATCAACAAAATTAGCGGATTGCTCATCGCACGTAAGAGCATCGTGAATAATTCAGTGGCGTGTTCGAGCCCGAACGCATTGCTAATTGATGATTAACGTGTGAAAGAGAGAACGCGTGGTCGTTGAATAATGACTCGGTGTGGTAAACTGTCGTTGAAAATTCTCGCCTCACCGGCAGCTGGGACTTGGCAGACCGCTGACAATTATTGACTATCGTTATGTCCATTCTGTCTCCCCGAACGGTCTATATACAAACATAGAAACATCCACTTCATCGAGTACCGACGGCGCAACGTATCGAGGTATCGCGCATGAAAGACGTGCCGCTTTGTAAGGCCGTCTCTGTGGTCGGCAGCGTCGGGCACTTTGGGAACACAGCGGGCCATCGAATTCGGTGCCCATTCGTCGCGAAACTGAGCCGGCTATCACTGACGACGCGGCCCAGCAGGCAAAGCGAGCGCGCAGTCATATTGAGACGGCAGGCGAGCGAGAGCCAAGGTGGCAAATAGCACGTTGTCGGCGCGCGCTCTAGGCGCACGCTTCGCACAAAGCAAAGAGAGAAGCGAGCGAGTGAGAGCGTTATCTCGCTGGCTCGTAGAAAGCGTTTTAGAAAGCACCCACGCTGCACGCTGACGGGGTCAGGCGCCTTGCATTATACCTGCAGGCGCGCGCGCGCGCGACCCACATTGTCCGCTCGCGGCTGACAAAGGATCTGCGCTGTCGCTTTTGTGCTGCCCTCGGCGGATGAGCCGGCCGTCGCGAAGAAATCGGGGCGAGGCCCCGCGGAGGCGCTACCGGGCGTTCCGCTCGCAAATCTCGCGGCAGCCAGATCGCGGGCAAAGGCCACCACCACCTTTCGAGATCGACTCTTCGAAGGGGCATTCTCCCGCGAGCTCGTCAATTAACGTAGCTCGTCGGCCGCTCGCATTCCAAATTTCCAATCTAAATTCCAACGCAGAGGCGCGTTTTCGAAACGAGCGTGCTTTGCGACGCTAGCGAGCGCGACACGCGCGGAGCCTCGGCCCTCCACCACATAATTATCGGCTGTAACTAACGCGAGCTCGTCCCATTTACGTTCTTTCTGGAGCGCGGCCAACGATACGCGAGCCACCTGCGGCAGCTGTCAATTTTCGATTCCGCGCCGAAACTGGCGAGGCGGTCCGGCCTCGACCTGACGCGCCAGCCTTTGCTCCCTCGTTTCCTTTTTACGTCCGCGCTGCCGCAACACATTGCGGGATCATGCGATTCCGGCGCGATCCTGTCGCGGCCCCCACGCGCCAAGCCGACTGCTGATTTTCCAACTGCGAGCGGCAAAATATCCGCGCGTAGGTGAGTGGCGGCGGCGGCCTTGTCGCAACTGCGCGACTTCTTATTTTTTATTTTTGTGCATCGCGTTGTTTATATCCGTCAAAGGGTCTATTTTTCAAGAGTCGCCTTCAGATTCATGGCGATCCGATTTATACGATAAATCCGTGCTTTTACTCGAATACTCGAGTAGGCGCACACGTGCACTATTCAATATCACGTGTCGCGCGTCCTTGGCAGTAGACGGCAGCTGCCGCGGCGTCCTTATTCCTCCCAAGCTCATGTGCAAAGGGATGGGCTGTCTAGTCGCCCCTTACAGCGGACTATCGTGCTGTTTATTTTATGTCAGCGAATGCTTGGAGCGCGCGCAGTAAATTGGGTCGGTCATGCAACAAGATGAAGTTACGAGAGCTTTAGTCAAAGACGAGAGGGCATCTCGTTAGCGCCCACGGGTCAACGAAGGATTCGTGGAGAAGAGGCGCCGTACGAGTACGTTGTGTGTCTGTCGGTCGGCTACGCATGGGATTTGGCAAGACGACGCGAGAAACGCGCCCGTCTCGCTGATCGCAAGCTCGATACTTTGGCGAGCAAGCCAACAGCCGGAAATTCAACCGAGGGTTCGCTATACGGGCTTTTACCGTAGCACGGGTATCGCGTCGACAGTCGATTATTCAACCAATGCATAATGCATGATTAAGATCGCACCCGTAAATTACAGCAGCAAAGAAAGCTCTCGCTGCAACATATGCATGGGCGCACACATTTCATTTGTGATTTACTCGGGAAAGTCTTCTCGCGCGCACGTACACGGCGACAAGTGCAAAGACTTATCTGCTTATGTTTCCAAGCGATTATCGCGTTGCCCGCCGCGATCTCGTTGTGCAACCGAACGCGCTCTTTGTGAGCGCAGATCCGACAAAAGTCTATCGGATCGCGCTTTTTCCCCCCATTCGTACAATATACCCGCTGATTAAGGTGATTTAATGAAAACGATCGCCAGCCAAGTTTGGCAATTGATTTCGCGCGTGGGAAGCGATTTTAAGTGGGCTATATATCCCTTGCCTTTTCTTTGTGCTTCGGCCGTGACTAACTTTTTATGCCGCTATTCGGAAGAACTCTTTTATCACAGGATTGATCAGTTTATATGATTGTGTTTACGTATTTGACTGGCTCAATCTTGAAATTAATATAAGAGCAAAAATTAGCAGTACAAGCCCCGAATAGGAAGGACCTTAAACTTTTCTTTTAAATTCACACATATTTTACACTGAAATTGAAGTCACAGGATAACTTTTTTGAATTATCTTTTATTATTATTATATTACCGATAGTCGGTAGAAATCTTGAAGAAAGTTCGTGAATAACGAAATAAACCATATATTACTAGCAAGCTCTTTGCAAGCTTTCTTCCAGAGTGCCTTTCGGAAAAATATATATTCCACATGTTGCTCATGGGGATACTGCATCGTGTACTAATTCATATTTACTACAGAAATAATCACATAATATTAATTAATTGAAAACTCACCTTTTGACACCGCGATAGCTGGCAGTAGAGCAACGCACAAAAATCCAACGAGACATTTTGCCTGCAACCAAACAACCAATTAGACATTTAACAAAGAGCACAAATAAATCAGATGTGTATATTCTTATATGGGGGTACGAAACATAAAAACCGAATAAATAAGTGACGACATAATCAAGAAGAGAATATTGATTTGGACATGATAGCTACACTGCATTAATTACATTGGCATTACACGCCGGCGGCGATCAATCGCCAATGAATTGCGCGCCCGTATGTGTGTGTGCGTGCGAGTGCGTCCCCGAGTATATACACACTTGTTGGACGAGTCATGTTACAACCTCCCGTCGTTCAAGTATGAAAACTTTTTTCTCTTTATCGATACCTTTTGACGAGCGTTGAAAGCTATCAATAGACGGATTAAATTCCGGAATAAACATTACGTTTCTATATAATCTGCGACTTTTAATCGGGTATGATAGATACATATTCAAAATTCAATTAGGTCAAATACTCTATGTGTTCAATCAAAGGAAACAGATAAAATCCGGATTCAATACTATTTCACGCATTGACGATCCCTTTTTCTCCGAATATCGAAGAGCAAATGAATAAAAGTTTATTTTAATAATATTTTAATAATAATAAGTAGTTATACCAATCAAACTGAGTATATTTGACAAGAGGGTTGTGTTTCTTTTTTATTTTTAGCAACCATATGACGTGGTGCGCGCGAAACAATGGCATTCCTTTATTTTCTTTCAATCAGCTCGCGGCCGAGTATTTCATATTGCGACTTTTAAAAATAATAGTCTCGACTTTGCTGCCACGAGAGCCGTCGATTCTTTCACATCGGATATTTCAAATGTCAACGTTACTTGGCCGCTGCAAAAATCAGCACGAAGAGAAAAAAAAAAGAAGCGAGCGTATCGGCAGCTCGCATCGTTAGTGAAAAATCCCGCAAGCGCAGAGGAGAGTAAGCAAATAAAAAAAAAACACGAGAGAGTGAGAGAGGGAGAGAGGAGAGCGCGCGCTGGTAAAAAACGCCCCACGTGAAGAGGCAGAAGATCGCGCGAGACCGATAACATTGTTTGAATTTTTTTCCTTTCAATATTCTCTATAGTTAGACTTATATCGTATGTATATACGCGTATGCACGCGCATTAGCATTGCAGCTACTTCATATTAAAGGCCAGCAACGGCAGCAGCGCGGGTGGCTCATGTAGAGTAAGATCTTTTTCTCGCGATTAGATTTTTACGGGGCCGCGATGATGCGTATCCAGAAATGATTTATTGCAGTATGACTGATTGAGTTAGATTCGTGAAAGGGTGCACTCGATGAAGGGACACTGGACAAGAAGTCGGACAAACGATTTGTAACATACACAATGGAAAAGCAGACAAATGAATTTGATTTTGCCCGTGAGACCTTGGCCTGAATGTATGCTTTCGCGCGTACAACCAGATAATTGAGAGGACGATTTAATTGTCGCGCGGCGCAGAGAGTCGTCGTTTCCATTTCTGCGCAGATGTTATCCGATAAATAATCGTTCGCCGTCGCACCTCGATAACTGTCGAAATATCCGACCCGATCTCCGCCGTGAGTGCAGTGAGCTTGCAAAGCTCCCAATAGAAAAGCAAAGCAAGCACGCGTCATACCGAATATCATTCGCAGCCTCGGAGAGGCAAACACGCGCGCGCGCGCGAGCACACGGACGAACGAGAAGCAATCGCGCCCGTGAGAGCGTTTTATCTGTCTTATTAATCTCGATATGATGGCTTGCACTGCTGTTGCTGCCTATCTTACTCGGCCGCGAAAACTTTCCCTACCGTGCGCGCTCTGTTTCGATACAATGTGCGTCCGCTGGGATTTTTCCGACTCGCTTGGGGGCGAACCGTGATATTTTCCTTGCCATTGAGCATCAAGATACACATACATTGCGGTCTTTTGCGTAGCATTCGGTATATTTGTCGGCTTCCATGTAACGTCATTACCTCAGTCTCTAATTAGACTATTTCCGTTTGTGAGCTCACTTTTTATTTTCCTATTCCCAAAATTTTGCGCACTACGATAAGAATAGTCATCGTCTATTCGACCGCTCATTATCCCTTTGCACAATGATGCTGAACTAATGTTCAGTGTTCACGCACCTGCTTTGTCGGTGCAAAAACGTTTGTTTGTTATCGCATGTTGCTACACATTATTTCGAATGTAACGCAGTTATTGTAACGTTATCAATTATTTGTAAGGAAGTTTTGTTGAAAAATTACGGGGTTGGGTTATTTCCTTGATTCTGGTTTCGTGCACGTTTAAAAAATATCTTGTCGATTACACGCTTATGCTGAAATAATAATTTTCCCGGCCAATGAATTCTCGTGCTGCATCAGGACAAATCAGCTTGCTGTTTCTGTGAGACAGATCAAAGCCGCATGTATATACATCTCAATGTTCCACGATGCATTTCCTTTCGCAATCGGAAGCGATCTCGTTATAAGTCACATCGCCGCGGCAATCGCCACAATGCAACGTGTCTCTGGCTCTCTTACCTCTTTGTGGCAGGATCGAGAGGGAATTTTTTATTTTACTCCCTCTTCGAGTTCTTTAATCTACTTGCTTATTGTTCTGCCAGCGCCGTTCTGCTTTAAATATCTCACGATTGCGTCACCGTAAACATTACGCCGTGCGTAGAAAAATTGTTATTTACCGTTTAACATTCAATAGCAGCTGTACTTGAGTTTTTATTTGTTTGCTCGTTCCCTTTAACGCCGTTCCCATTCAGACGGATAAAATAGATTTTGCGATAGCAATCGAACCAATTTCCTACAAAATGTGAGAACGTAAGAAGTTTCAGCGTCGATCATTCGAAAACTACGCTATACAACGTCGCGAGTGTTACATTATTCATGTATACACGTCGGACGCGCGCACTTCTATTTTACGAGCTCGCTGTACAAGGAAAAATCAATTTACCAAATTATCCTTGCAAGCAAGCAGTCCGTCCAGTTGATTAACAAGCTGTTACAACCAACGAATACTTGGCGGCGTGCTTCAACGTCCCGCCATCCCCTGCTCATTTCTGTCAGAACTGCTTGCGCATTAAAGACGAGCAAAGGCTTTTCAAGGCCGTCCGTTTGTTACGAGCCAAAGGCAGGCGCATCTTCTGTACTTTTCGCGAAAAATATTCTTATTATGAGTGTCTACGATTCGACTGGTCAGAAAAGATGGTTCCAACGGCAGTTCTTGGAAAATATTCGCGTTTTCAGTTGCTGAAGTACGACGATGATTCATCAATCAAAGTATGTGTCAAGTCCGGTCACTCGTGATTTTACAAGCTATAAATTGATAGTGATTAAGAGAAACTTATTCTTGGAGCATAGAAAAGACGAAAAAAGTCTTTCGTAAATTCGCAAGACACCTCGTTACTGCACAAGTGCAAAAATAAAGGCGCTTGTCACAACTGATTCCATTCATCCCAACGAATACCGGGGCGTAATGTCCAGTCTGACGTCTAATATCCAGATTGAAAAATCAAAGCACTCTTATCAATTATTCATCCGCAGCAGGCGTCATTTCCCCGCGCATAACTGTCACACCGTTAGCATCACTCCGTCGGAGCCGTCATCATGAAAATTACGATCACTCGCTTATTTACACGCACCACTGCGCGTTCAAATGCAGTTTCCGTTCAACGTACTCCGCCGCTCTAACTGCCGTAGCCCCCGTCGCTCCCCGAGAGCTGTATCATCAAATACCTTGCGAAAGAAAGCAAATACTAGTGCTTTTGTGGACGCACAGCTGCGCATAACAGCCGTTGAAAATGTTGCGTAATGTGCATTTCCTTTTTTTTCACTAACATCGTATACCAGTGCAAGCTGCTGCTGCTGCTGCTGCTCTTGGCTGTTATTGGGGTGATTATTAGCGTATACTTGACGAATCAAGAGAGAAGCCCAACTGAGTGAACCATGCTCTCGATATACGTATATCCAATTACAGTTGAAACGCTACGTTGCGCGTTGAACCAATATAAAAGAGAAAAACAGACAACAAGCAAGATTGCATTGATAACTCAATACAACTCCGAGTCGAGCTTGAATGCGTGTCGAACACGAGTGTTTCGCGTGTACAACAAACTTCTGGGCTACAGAGTCGTAAATTACTGCCAACGCATATAATTGTAACACCCCCCTCCCCCCTGGAGAGGCGCAAAAAGCCGATCTTCCGAGAGAGCTTCGATACCGTCTTTTCGCTGATCCTTTTCGTTTTTCCTTCAGGCAGGAATGCAAGCTTAAAGCCGTCAGCTCACCACTATTTATCGCTCATTATATAAAATGCTGGACTACGTGGATTGCAGCAGCAGCAACAGCCAGCGAGGAGGCTCGATAAGGATCGAAAAGACTCGCCATGCACTGGCTCTCGCAACGCCTACAATTTATCTAGAGCCACCTATGCCTCGGCATGTATATTGAGCGCCTTCGCTTGCTTTGTTGCGGCTTTGGGCACCCTGGGATCTCTCCTTACCCAAAATAAAAAAAAACACTCTTACGTGCGCAAACGCTACACCTACAGACTGATAATATTCGAACTACTAATAATTTCAAGATATTCCTGACATAATGACAAAACAAATAATGATCGACATGGCTGTGCGATCATTGAATATCCTGGGAGAAAACAATCGATACGTCGACTAGGCTATCGTAATGCAGCTAATTACTACGAACAGGACGCGAGCTTGAAGTGGTATCTGCACGAATGACGCTTCTTCGACGACAATCGGTGATAAGCGGTGCATAGGTATGTACGATTCGATCGGATAGAGTCGCAGGATGACAATTCGATGGATCAGCGACTGATCGCAGAACACGCACAGGCGCGTGTCCGCCAGCCCGTAAAAAAGAGGAAGCGCAGCAAACTACAACTTCCGTCGCGCATGCCGTGCATGTACAAGTCGACGATGCGATTTTATCGAAAACGCGCGGACATTGTCCAAGCCGTACGCGTAATGTGGCCTCCGCGTCGATCAAGAAACGAGCACGCCGCTCGACAATTTACGATTCCGC